AGTCTGTGGTATGATTTATCTATAAATCCAAACAGCCTATCATCGATCTCCATCACGGCATTGTCCTTCTAACTTGCTCTTAGGTTTAACTCTAAACTCTCCCATCCAAGGGTCAGAATATAATTATAGGATCTTTTCTTCAGCTTAACTTCAATCTGTTTTTCCAATATCTTGACACCAATCGCGAGGTATTATATATCCTTATCGAATATTAGAATACTAATAACGATAGTATCTAACTTGAGGAGGTTGTTGAGTAATCTGGCTCTATCCGATAGCATCGAGATGTTTATAAAGAGCTTGTTATTTATTATCCTCTTGGAGATATAATCACGATCTGCAGCACTCCAGGCAGGTGCATGGCGCTATAGCTCCCGAACGGTTGCTAGATCCAGCGACGACTTTAATAATTCCACGCCTGAGAATATCTTACACCACACATAATTTATATGATTCCAATAGTTAATAATGAGATCATCGCAATATGCAGCGAAATACTTTGCGAAATTACCCAGCCTTAAGTCCTCCCAAAGACTGGTAAAAGGAATCATAGCGTCTATAGCCTTGACAAGATCTCCTCGGCCGAAGATCATCTTTAAATGCCTTTGTTTAGGGCCTTAGCTTTGAAGCTTTTGGCCCCATTGGTTTGCTTGATTAATATTGTTCCTTTGGACGCATTCGCTAGCTATTCGGTATATGAATCCATCGTTGCATACTAATAAGTTAGTAATATGCCTCTCAATTGATATATTATGTCTCACCTGAAGGAACGTAGTATAGTCTCATAACACAATTGAAATCCGGGCCTAGCACTTCTTTTGCTTGGTCAATAAACCCTTGTCCGAGCAAAGCGCAGATTTTGACTTTGACTATAGGTAAGGGTCCTCCATCCTGTTTCAAAGTGTCGCTGAGCTTTGTAAGGCCTATTTGTTTCGCGATGGCGCGGTACGTTTGTTGGTCAATTATTCCAAGAAGCTGCCTTCTTAAGTCGCTGAGAAAGCGGGGTACTAACTCAGGGCAACCATTGACCTCATTAGAGTAGAGGTATTAAAGAGGGACTTGCACAATGCCCCGTAAATGATCTAAAAGAATACTAGCCATTTATGAATTCTAATAATGTATTAGGTGGTCTAAACTACACCCTTTTAGATGTTGCGCCGGGCTTATTATTGAGAACTTAAATGTGAAATTTAGTGCTGCCCCGCCCCCAGGCCATCTATATATAATAATAGGGCACTAGCAACTAAGCAGTGCTAAGACGAGCACTAAAGTAAATTGCACAATATAACACTCGCCGCAAAGTCTATTAGAAATTCGCGCCAACGTGGCTGGTTTGCCTAGACCATACCTAGAGGAGGACTTAGCAGCGTATCAGCAGTTTAACGATATTAGACAGTGCCCCTTGATTATTCTTTCTTTTAACTATCCAGAGGATTTCCGTTTCTCAAATATTTATCCAAGTAATAGTAATAGATCAGGTATCCGGATAAGTTAGCAAGGGGACATGCTTTGGTTTGACTGCAAGCTACACAATATTTCAGCTCCCTCGCGAATCAAAGGCGGACCTCAGCCTATAAACATTGCACGACACCTCATACCACCGTCCATTACGTTAAAATCATTCGCGTGGTAGATCTATAGTAATGTGCTTTATTGCTTCAGCGACGCTCTCCTCTTTTTTATTCCCGAGCATAAAGGCGCTTCAGCAGCCATTGACATGCTCTATTATTAGGTAGCGACACTATCCCTACAGAATATCTATCGGCCGCTCCGTATCATTTTAGTCCACGCGAAAGAGAAGCTAAACCAAGAGAAGTTCGAGTTTGATCTCATAGCGACACTGATTATAGCTCTTCAGTCTTTAAATCCAAGCCATTGCCCGACCTTTCGAAGTATAAGGTTAACACTTCGTCGACTATTCCGAATTATTCATATCAAACTATCCGATCCCAATACTTATCGTCTCATAAGATTGGAGATAAATAAAGGGAACAGTGAAAGACAAAATGCGGGACTAGGATATTCACCGATGCACACAAAGATCCTTCTGCATACAGGGATTTCTTGGTTTTCGAAAGAATTGAAAGGCTTTGATCCTTTTCAGGCATCACGATCTAAGGTTCCGACGCCAGAAAATATCGGTTTCTATGTTGATATGCTTCTTGGAACTCATATCAAGGACTATAGGGCTAAAGAAACAGCAGCTTTGGTGGCTTCTGCCCTATCCATCGACGCGTATCCTCCAAGAATTCATAGTACGTATATCTTCTCAACCCGAACATCCAGACCTAGACTAAGAAGGCAGGGTTTTCGCCTAGTTATACATTCGAAAAATTATACCAGACACAAATTAAAATATGTGCAATTAAAGCTAGCCTGCCTGGATTATCTCAGATGATTAAACAAGAGTTTATAGACCAGAATAGCGATCCCTCTCATCTAACGCTGGACCCTTACACCGCCCATACAATTCAACTACGACACTCCAAACCCAGAGAAATTTTCGCCGGTTATTCCATCTGCCTAATAAAGGATCCCGTTTATCATCTCGGTTACCACCAAATATATGGCGACTGTAGTAGCCGTTGTGCTATGGCTTATAGCATCCAGAGCTGCCCATTTTGCGGCTCCCAAGGTTTCCGAGGAATTATCATACAGCCACTAACTATAGGAGCAAGGTTTTTGAGTCTTTATAGTGATAGACCGCACGATATCTTCAAATTCTTGAACTACTTGCAGAAATCCACCTCTACCCCTCTTAAATATCTTTTCGATAATATAATCAGCACAGGGATAAGTATAAGCCCAACAGCCAGTGTCTCTAATGACGAACTAATTATCGTTTTAATAGGCGTATTCTTTGCAATTACATTATTCCTTAAGGGTTGGTCTCTTAACGACTGCAGGCATCATCTAGGTCGGCTACGAAACATACGAATAAGCAGAGGTGTAAATCTCAGGAGCGTCAGTACACTTCAACAAGATATCCAATTTCAAACAATAAGCTTTGGGAAAGGCCTGCGATGGAAGTTCCAAGACATTAAATCATTCGGTAACACCAGTATCAAATCTAACGGTTTCTGCGATTCGACAATAAGAATTCAGTGAGTGTCCTATCATCATTAAGAGGGGCAGACTCTGACGTTATCACAAGACGAAAACAAAGTTACCCAAGAGCCCCAAACTTAAGAATAGATTACAGCGAACTCCCAGGTCTAGATGAATTACGATTTAGTTCAGAAACCTTATTAATAAACCTTTTTTATGTTCAAGCTCAGACTGTTCCAAGCTTTTATACTAGCCCAGATTCTTTCACAATAAGTATTTTGTGTCGGATCCCGTCTGGCCAGTATTTGGCTCGAATAATATCACATCTATATCGCCAAAAGGCTCATGTGTTCTATAGGAAGACAGAGGAAGAGTACACCAAAGTGCTACTTTGCAGCAAGGTTAAATTAGATACTATCATATCACACGGACTATTCCAAAGAGATCTCACTGTTAGACTGTTGTCGCTAGACACATTACTTGACTTCCAGATCTCTACATCAAATTTTATACATAGAATCAGTGGATCACCAATAACCCTAAGAGATCTAGCTGATTTACAGGGCATAACTTATGTATTTAGATAAAAATAGCAAGGAATATTATAAGGCTTTCGACTCTCTCTCGTTCAAACTTCCATTAATGAGTAACTAATGTGAACTACATATATTTTGAGACACTGAAAAACTAGGAGAAGCATTCATCGAGTAATGATATAAGGGCCTTCTTTTTTATGGATGATAATTGCCTTGCTTTTTTAATTGGTGATGCTGAAATCTCGATCATGCCTGATGGAACGGTTCTATAATCTATCGTGTGGGAGCGTGTAGGTGTCAGCCTTGTTGTTTTTGTTGATGCTGCGGTCGGTGTGTCTTTTGGAGCCGCTACACCTCCCGTTGTAGTCATCATCTCCTCAGAATATTCCGATGATAATAAGGATGTTTCTCGAGACATTCGGTCGCAGACGCGATCAAATTAATCGGGACCCCACAGGGTATTATCAGGGCACCGTGATAATATCTCGCGGTACAATCCTCTATAGGATTCATACCCATAGGACTAGCCATCCTCGTCTTGAATAAAAATAAGGACTCTGCTATGATAAAATCGAAAGTATTCGTGTGCCTTCTTGCCGAGCCCTTGTCGGCGATTCCGCATGCCAGCGGCAGGGTTTCTGTTTTGTTCTTATCGTCGTCGGGTCATATTATTCCTCTGTCGGTTTGCTGATGATGTGTGTAGAGCAGCATGGCCTATATCGGTTCTTTATAACAGTAATAAAACCCTTCTATTGCTCAGTTAGCGCTTATTTCAGGTGTGCCACGATTTAGCGCTTAGTCTCTAATTTGGGCGATAGGCCCTAGATCAGCGCTTACAGCCTAATTATAGCCAGCTGCGCACGCGCGCGCTTAGATCGTATAGGGGCTATTATATCTTAAATTAACTTTTCAAATTTAATAATTCGAAATTAGGGTGCCTCTTAAAGAGCTCCTAAGCTATTTCCTTAAGATCACTATACACCGTAGGAATGGAATTAGATAGTCTGTTCTAGTGCCTAATAGCACTCGTGTGCCTTTTTGTGGTCCTTGGTATCCTTGCCATTATATTATACTTCAATAGCAACTTGCAAGGGCTTTTTGTTCGCAAGATCAGCCAGCCAATTCTCATTCAAAGACGGCGTTGGGATAGCGTTACACGCCTTGACGCCATCCTTTTGCTATTCTATTTGTCGTTGAATGTATTATTCCTTCTAGTTCCGTTTACTGAGCTCTCTGAATAGCGAAAAATAGAGAAGAAGAGTGCACTTCTCTCTGCTATTCAGATCTTTCTTCTTTGTACGGGCATGCGCTTAGGCCCGGTTCAAATTCTCAATTTTCATAGAACATCATATCATATATTCCACCATTAGACCGGGCGCTTCGCCATACTTCAGGCAATCTGCCACTCAATTATAGTCATATCGCAACGGCCTGAGGCAGAAACGCCCGGAGCAAAGCGGAGGGTTTACACAGGATATAGTGTACGTTTCCTCATCTGATTCCAAGCGGCTGCTAACACACATCAAGCTCTTTAGGGGACTCCTTATAATTCTTGCAACCTCATTGGTGTGGCTAAGGACTACTCAAGGTAGATAGTTCAGCTTGTGTCACTAGGTATTGGCCGTCGTGGCTCTTGCGGTTCTTTTTTGGCATATTCTTTACACGTCAAGCATTATAGGGAAGGTAATTATCGGGTTATCTTGCTTCTGCTCTTCAGTTTCCCTTGGTTATAAGGGCTGGAAACTTCTCTTTCCGCTTTCCGCAACTATTTTTCAGGCTAGGAGTTATAATGAATCGAACATCGTCACAATTAAAGCAGAGTTGAAACAAAAAGGATCGCTTCATGTGACTCCAGGTAGCTACTTCTTAATTTCGGTCCGACATCACATACCTTCTATTGCCGCTATTACTGTTCTCTGCGGCTCGGAGACCAATAGGACCACGAGCGCCCTCAAATTTATTTTCTCGGAGAGCAGCTGGAATCAAAGCTTGATTGCACTCAAGCCAAGCGATAAGATCTCTCTTAATGGACCATATAGTAAAGACTACGGGCTTGAAAATTACGAAAATGTTATACTTCTCGCCAAAGGCATCGGAATCATCGGCCTTCTGCCCCTTGCTGTTGATCTTGCAGAACGCAAATACCACGATAGCGATATCCAAAATCAGATCTTAAAGCATAAAGCTCAACGAAACGAACTATTTAGAAATCGTTTCGAGGAATGGGAAGAGACAAGGCGGGATCTAGAGAGAAAGAGATGCTTTTTAGACGCCACCAAAAAGGTTATCATTTTATAGTGTCTAGAGGATTATTCCCAGATGAAGCCACTGACAGATGAACTATTAAAGTTAAAGAAACTAGACTCTGCTCATATAAGCCTTTTATTCGCTTCTTATCCCAATTTCTTTCTCCTTCTGACATTCTCAAACGTTTCTAGAAGCTTCTAGTAGTCTGGTGTCGATATAAAGCCCTGGCTAAAACGCCAACTGAAACATCGGAAACGGGGGTCAGTAAGCTAGAGAAATACTCTCCGCCGTTCTATGTTCCTAAAGATAATTAGTTTTGGAAATATATGAGTCACTCTTATCACGCCTTTGAACGGATGATGGCTACCAAAGTAGCTGACGAGCGAAGGCGGGAGAAGGGTAAAATGGTCGTAGCAGGTACATGCTCTACATCTATCTAGTTTTAGTTAATTTAACAGATTCTAGTCTGCGGCGACCCGAATTTCACAAAGAATATGCGGGAGGCTATAATTTCTGGGTCGGCATATATGCTAATAGATTTCATTAAGATTAAGTATCACCTAAGAGCAGGATATTAGTATTCACGAAGCGGGGGTTTATAAGAGTGGGAGCATGTAATTAAATATCAAGAGAAATAGCTTAGATCTAGTCAATTTAGGGAATTTTATTACTATAAGAAAATGCTATTCGTGCCAGATAAGTAATAGAAGCGAGGATAACGATCCCTTGGGTTCAGAAAGTACCGAATTTGGAGGGCATGACTGGAGTACTCCTCCCATCTAACTCTAACTCTACTCTGAATACTACGTGCTATGTGCCTGGCGAAGTCTGGCCGCTTCATCTATATAGTTCATCCCATCCCACTCATCCCTAATTATTCTCCCTAATTTCTTAGAAGGCGAATCCACTAAGGGACGTGTTCCTCCCATCCCACAAGCCCGTCCCGACTAGCTATAGGGCGCGAAGTATTCGTGTGGTGCCTGCATTTAGTTCTAAATGCGATTTTTAGCATATTAAACTTAACACTAGCTAAAATATATATTTAATCAGACGGGAACATATCCTTAGCCTTCTTCTCCTGGCTCACCTTTCATCACTATCCCGTTCTAATCCTAATAGCTACCTATATTGGATGCGCTAGTAGTCTAGATAAATCACAGTCCCAGATCAAGAGGGCTGTGAACTACAATATTGATAGTGCAAAATATACCGACAATCTTGATTTCCAAATTCTTATTACCAAAGATAGTACAGACACCAAAAAGACTCAAGATGCTCTAAAGCGGAAAGTGGACATCGTGAACATACAATACCTCCACGACTGTGAAAAACAGGGTAAACTTATGGAGATCGAAAATCAGCATCGGGCCTTAGTCAAGGGCGGGCGCGATACAAGTGGGGGGACTAGGACGCCAAAAACGGCTAAAGAGGAAGCGGCAGCGGCGAAAAAGGCCGGGGAAGATGCAGCGACAGCGGCATCATCAGCCAAGAAAGCGGAAGAGCTTGCGGCAGAGGCAGCAGTAACAGTGGAAAAGGTCAATGAAGCATTAACAGCAGCAGAGTGGGCGGCAGCCGCGACAGCAAAGAACACTAAAGATAAGGCGGTGATCAAGAAGGTGAAAGAGAAAGCGGCGGAGGTGGTGGCAGCAAGAGAAAAAGCAGTGAAGGCCAAAGAAGAAGCAGCGGCAGCAGCGGCGGCGGCAACAAAGGCTGAAGGGGAAGCAACGGCGGCGGCGGCGGCGGCGGAAAAGGACGCTGAAGATGATGCGGTGGTTAAAAAGGCTAGGAATGATATAGCGGCGGCGGCGGCGGCGGCGAAGAAGGCTGAAGAGCTTGCGGCAGCAGCGGCGACAACGGCAAAGAAGGCTGAAATTAAGGCCACCGCAGCGGCGGCGGCAGCGAAGAATATTCAGCAAACAACTAGCGATGATGAGAAGAAAATAACGAAAAATATTAAAGAGGCAGCGTCAACAGTATCAGAGAGTGCAAAAAGTGTGGAAGCAGCGAAAATGGAAGCCCAGAGGAAGGCAGAAGAGGTAAAAGAAGCCGTTACTGCGATGGAGGCGGCGAAGCTTTCAGCAACCTCAGAACCGGACCAAGCAGCCAAGGAGAAGTTCATGGAAGCAGCAACTAAGGCAGCACAGCGGGCCGAATCTAAAGCGAAGGAAGCCACGGAAGCCGCCAATAATGGTAAGGCGGCGTTCGAGAAAATCCTCGAGAAAATCCAAGAACTCTTACTTTAGGCAAAAAAACTAGAAGAATCTGAGGTAGATGATGCGACAAAACAAGCTGCGAGGGCTTTTGTATCAACAGCAAATGAAGCAAAAATCAAAGCACAGTCGGCTCTGGATGATGCAGAAGCGGCAGTAGCTGCCGCTACAGAAGCGAAAATAAAAGCTCAAGTACCAGAAAAGAGGAGCATTCATAAAATACACGCCACTATAACACCAGAAGAACTTCAAAATATTCTACAGAGGTTACGAACGCTAGAAAATGAATTAAGTTCAGCTGGGATCAGCTACGGCTAGGTTAAATCCATAATTCCCTAGACGAACAAACCAGACGAATTTGACAATCTTAACAACGTAAAGCCAATGCCACCCTTCAAGTATGAGGGATGCAATGTTTCAATTGTGGCTATTCTGAGATTCAGATCATGCGCTTTATGCATAGAAAATAGCGATCATCTACCTGAGAGTGAAAGACCTCGTTTTCCATGATCTTAGCTTGTGATAGGAGCAAATATGCTTGGGCAAGTTGAAAAATTTATAGAGCCAGTAAGCAAAGGGGGCTATAATGGAGCATACAAACTCCCTAGCCAGAAGGTATCCAATATCAAGTCGAAGAAACACAATAAATTCATAGTTCTTACAGTTGCAACCACGGAAGATAGCGCGTATGCCATGGTGGTTGGAAAAAATTCGGTGGACGAAAAGTGGCGGGTTTACTCAAAATCCACGATTTTATCAAAGTTCAGGAGCAGAGGGGAGAGACTACTTAATAATATCAGAGATGCATCTGGCCAGCCCAGGCTTAGTGACGGAGGCGAGACGGCTCAGGCCGATTATGAAGAGTTTGACAGAGCGCTCGGCTCGTTTGTAAAGACAGAGGGAGTGGATGATAAGATGATGCTGTCTTGAAGGCTAATTCCCTTTAGTTCTAGTTTTGTCCTTTCTGGCTGGTTACAGCGTAATTTAGCGCCGTTGCTTTGCTCTTGCCCCTTATGCCCTGTGTGCAGCTCTGCCCGTGCCCTGTAGCTTTGCCCTGTGCCCCGTGTCCCGTGCCCTGTGTACACTTTGCCCGTGCCCTGTAGCTTTGCCCCATGCCCCATGCCCTGTGCCCCGTGTCCCGTGCCCTGTGTACACTTTGCCCGTGCCCTGTAGCTTTGCCCTATGCCCCATGCCCTGTGCCCCGTGTCCCGTGCCCTGTGTATACTTTGCCCGTGCCCTGTAGCTTTGCCCTATGCCCCATGCCCCGTGCCCCGTAGCTTTGCCCCCCATGCCCCCCGTGCCCCCTGTACCCCCCATGCGCCGCCTAACCCATCGCAGCGTGATACCGTCTATGTAAACGCAGCCGTCGCCTTCGATCTTTAATTTTGGGGATATCGAATTAAGCGCCGCGCTTGACCCCCATTTCACATTCCGCCAAGCCACTCATCCAAAATGGCGCACTTTTATTAATAGCCTAGACAATGCATTCCATTTCGCTCCACACTCTCCTACTTTGTACATGTATACATCATAAAGCATTATCTCGCGACCTTAAAGCACCTTGACTCCCTTCAAGTACAGATATAGACTCATCTTGATCTTCTGCAGAGTGAAAACTCTGCCGGCCCACTACAACAGCTCTATGAGCAAATTATACTTTTGCAAAATCATATCAATATAACGCGAGGGCAGCTTGTTAGAGACCGCTTGCGCCTAATGGTTGCGGAAAAGAATGTGCGTCGACCCTAGAACCCCTTAATCCGTCCCGCTACTAATGAAGCCTCTAGATTGTCCCCACCGCCCCCACCACGTCGATAAGGTCCTGTGCTTGGCCAGAATCCCCAAGTGGGAAATCAGGTGAATAATTATGCGCTTTAATTAGCATATAGGACGGATGGGACGTGCTTTTGTGAAATCTTAAATTTCGTTTTTCATGCACTATAGTTAATATAACTAATGTACTCACTAAATCCAATATGTTAAATAACCATCTAGCTTATTTTCTCCCGAGTGGCAATCAGCCTCAACATAAGTTTCAACATACAGGACCTTGCCACTATATCCCTCGGCGATGCATTACAATATATCAATGCATTACCCGAGGGTACATCCAAATAGCACTACTATAACGTTAGAATCAATCCTATTTCATATTTTCAGAGGGCATTCTCACACGCTCTTCTGCTCCTAGTGGCAATATTTAACACAGGATGCGTTTTAAGCGGTTCCCATGGCCTGGACTTCATTATGCCCGGCTCTATAAGCCCTCTATCTAATTAGGACTTTTATATTCCAGGATACAAACAATCTATCCTTACTATAATCAAGACGTTGTGTATTTATGGTGTTACGTGGTCATTAGAAAGCGACTGCATCTAAGCCGGGCTTCAATCGCATGGTTTTGTATATATCAGGACTACTGTCCTAAGGAAGCTTACTTCATAGGTCGGATATCTCCCAGCTGAAATCGCAGTTAATATCATCGGAAAAGAAGCATATAATACAGTTCGGGCCTTTCAATCAGCTGAGAGGGATATTCATATACAGATATATCGAGTATACTTCGGCCCAGACGGCACTATTCAAGTTGCCCCAGACAGTGAGCCACCCTTATACGATCAATCTGGCAAACCGCCCGTCTATAAAGAATCAATAGAGAGGGAGCCATACGAAGATTCACAGGGCAACTATTTCAGCATCCTTTATAGGCAGATCAAAACCCCAAATGGAATCCAAAATGTCCAGCTTATTATCGGATAATCCTTTTCTGGGGTTTTAGGATGTATGAGTTTCATTAAGTCATTTTACGCTAGCCACGTTCAATGCTTTATTAGTGGATAGTATGCCAGGCATATATATTACTCTCTCGCCCATTCAAAGCGAGGCATTATTTAGAATAATCAACGCACCGCCCAAATCAAAAGCGCACTCGAAAAATATAAGTCGAGAGGCTACATTTTTAAACCCGCCAGGAATGAAGATAAGTCGTATGTTCGCACATTCATGGATGATGATTCCATGTTCGTGGACTATGGCCACATATACCGCCATTATATACCAATTACCGGGCATCGTTTACTTTCATCTTGGCTCGATAAGAGACGGAAAAACATTCAACTAATGTCCTGGAATCACATTCACAAGTGTGTGGATTTATCTAACCCTATGGGAAAATTCCACAATTTGCAAAACAGGAAGGGCCTCGCGCCATTACCTCGAGGGGAGATATGCCTGGGTGAGCTCACTAGACAAGAGTTCGGCAACAACCTAATCGAAGAAAATCAAGAATGGATAGTAGCGCGATCTAGTACAGTATGGAATACTCTACCCCCTGCCACATTATGGGCATAGATATTATAGATCACATAGAGAAAATCCAAATAGTACAGGGAATTATCATAATTCTTATAAGCACGGTAGGGAATCCCATACGCCGTGGGGCAAAAAACAATCTTAAAGCTAGGTTTCCGTCTTTCGATACATACATATCCAATAGTCGTATCCAATAGTGTATATATTCCAGTCTCCTTACTTCTTTCATTTAGAGTTGACTCCTTTGCCTTGCCTCTACCCAGCCGTAGTTGAGACATCGCCATCACAAGTCTATTGCCTCTAGAATATGGCCCCATTCGCCCAGCAGATTTTCCGACTTAGCATTAAATTTGAGCCCTTACCCGGGCTTGTTGGCGCTATCGAGCAGCTGCTTGTACTACAGGTTGTGGATCTCAAACACCACAGGCGACATATCCTTGGACACGCTGAACGGCTTCTTCTTAACTAGCTTGGTAGAGCTATTCTCGGCTAATTGTAGCAGCTGTTGAGGAACTTGTTCCCGGAGAGCGCTAGTAGCTCGTGCTCTAAACTAGCTCCCCTAAGTCTGCCGACAAGTGGCTCCGTGGGCCGGGCCTTGATGATCTAGCCCTTAGCCGCATAGTAGAGTCTCTCATTCCTGGTCGTTTTTGCGTTATTAGATTATTTTGTATCCTATGGCACGTGCGGGCTAGAAAGATTAACTTACGCGACGTCAAAGAAATACAGGTATCCTCGCAATTGTATGTATGTGCCCGGCGATGGCCCTAGATCATCTCGCATAGGTTGCTCGACAAGACGGTGGGCATTGTCTAGATAGCACGCTCGATCCCGACGTCAGAGGGAAACAGCAGCTAAAGTGGGTTGCACGCCTCGCTAGTGAAGGTGTTGATATGAAGGTTTATAACATCGCTTGGGATAGCAGATCTAATAAGTCAATCCCCTAGTTGTCGAAGAACGAGGCGCTGTCTCAGCATCTGTAAGCGGAGCTGATGGTATCAAAGCCCCGGGCCATAATGGCCAGGTCAGAGTCGGGCTTATGGCTGGTGTGTGGCTTCCTGGGGGCCCCAAGAGGCATCAAATCCTCCAACCTGTTCATGACGCGTAGATATCTAAGACTAAAATACAAGAAGTGGTAGTGTAGGCCTGCCTTTAACTTATCAAGCGTTGGGGCCATGGTGTGAGCTGTGTCTTCGAAAGTAGTGAAGCGCTTATTGAAGTCCCTTCTCCTTTGAATTAAATATTGATATGTAGAAAGAAAACTGGATAATAATGAGAGTCACATTTGGGGCTGGTGAGTAGCCTTCCTTGTGACTTGAAGTGATTGCCTCCGGCAGCTTTTAATAATGAGTGGTTGTTGTGTTTACAAATTACATATAGAAACACAGTTGTCTTTGAATTGGCCCTGCTTTCAAGTAAGCGCTTGAATTACATCTCTGAACGCAACATGCCGACCACAGGCCCAAGTACTGCAGTTAACTTCAAGTCGTCGGCTAGGAATCGTTAAGTTTTCTTCTAGCATTCTTCATCTGTCCTCATCCGTCTTTCTCAGCCCACCCAAAAACCTCGTCAAGCGCAGTGCCAACAAAGAAGTGGATGTAAGACCGAAATCTTGAGCCCACAGATGAGGCTCGTAATGCAGATGTATCAGCAGGGATCTGCGGTTTTGAATCTTCCAATAGTGGTTCTTGAAGTTTGATACCTCCCCCTTTCTGACCCTGAATATACTTAGTTGGCTTCCTCGTCTCTCTTTTCTGAAGTTCAGACCGCTCCCTCTTGTGTGTTTCTTTTAGAGCTTGCAACCTTGATACTTCTTCATTTTGAAGGCTGGCTCTTTGCCGTCGCAGTTTTTCCTGAAGTTTTTTCATCTCTTCAGTTTCCTTTTTATGTAGCGCCGGTCCTCGTTGTTTCTTTCCCAAATTTCTTCGTTCTATCGTTTGCCTCCCCTGGAAGCTTTGAATTTCCTGACGCTGCATCTTTCGCAGTGATTGCCGCTTCGATGCCTCTTGTGCCTGAAGCAGCTGTCTTTCCCTTGATTGTCTTCCTTGGAGAGCCTTCGATTCGTTTTTATGGTCATTTAGGCGCTCTCGGAGTGATTCGGCGGGGGTAGAACTATCATCTGGCAAGATTCCTGTGTTGCGGGCAGTCTCAAGCAATAGTACCTTTCTCTGGGGCTTGACCTGCCTCCACTTCGTCACTGCTTTGGGGTTGCCAAATGCGGAGACCCATTCAGAACATTGATCTTTTGGCCAGAGCTGGTATAGCATCCTCGAGGCTCCCGGTACCGTAGGATGCACAACATCGATCCTTCGAGCAGCTCGATTCCCCAACTTCCCTTTCACAATCGGCTCTTCAATAACCTGAAAACTGGTCGTTCCAGAAGGATGAAATCTTGCCGGGGGCGGCTGCGTCAGTACGGTGACGACGTCGCCTTTGCTTATGTGTAGGGCGAATACTGCAGAAGCTCCATGGATGTATTCTGTCCACTGGCGTTTGGTCTTCTTCCTTTTGGGGCAGAGACGATGGCTCTCGGCCATCAACGGGCCCATGGCTGTCGTCAAGGTTTGCATGTAGTTTTCATCAGCCCATCTTTGGGCAACTTCGCGAGGCATACCGGTCCATAGGACCTGATTATTAGGAGTTAACGACCTAGAAAACTGGTCGCTTATTTGCTCTGCCTCTTCCACAGTGAGGTGTTGGTCGATGAAGGAGCGGAGATTAGCGGGGATTTTACTGTTCATCATTTCAGTGCTTTGCGAACGCGATTTCTTAGCAGAGTAGTCGGTATCCTAGGTTTCATAGCCCGTAGAATTCAGAGCGGATAGCAGCGCCATGCACAGCCAGAATTCTCACATCTCATTGTATTTGTTATGGCCACGTGCTGAACCGCAGTTAGGCCAGAGAAATCCTGCCCCGTTGATGTTTGCTCTTCCCGCGTCCAGAAGCAGAGAGACAGTCGCACCGTGTCCGTTTCTGGCGTCTGGCTATTTTTCAAGATTTATCATGTCGACATTGGCGGCATCCACCACTAATAGTAATTTGACCATGTCATCCATGATGCATCTATGATGCAAGACTGACCATCTCCCCCAGAGATGGGTTAAATTTACGGGGTAAAATCGTTAGCCGAAGCTTTCCCACAGCACCCCGCGTTGAGGCTCCATAACTCAATCGCTCGTGCTCTAGCGCGTTCTCTGATCCGAGAATAGCGTGTCATGGACGCGAACATTGACGTTATAAAGTGACGTGGTCATCTGCATGCAGTGCCCCGTACTAGCTGCAAGTTGGGAGACTTCGGTTTACCACGGGATAGAGCCGAGATGGTGATTCTATGTGGAACCGTGCCGTATCTCGCTCCTGAGACCTCTTGAGTAGAAAGCGCAAGATCTCCTCGACTTCAGCTTGCTATTATAATACTTGCCAATTGAACCAAAAATGGGGTCTAAAGTAGCTGGAAGGGCCAGCCACGCGTCTTGATAAGAACGTGCTCATATCGCCCCCAAGTGCACAGCTAGCACTGCGCTTCAAACATGGAAAACTGTCGACGGTGCTGCTGCCGCCAACCGAGGAGCGATGTCTCCGATTGCCCGTAGACCCCCCGCTCGGGGCTCTCAACTGTCGACATTGTCCGCCTTCGAAAGGGTTGACCCAATTAGGAGCACCCCATGGTAGTAGGCTTGTGGGGGGAAGAGCTGACGTATGTATAGAGATCTTTGCCATCATATGTAGCCTTTTGCAGCCAGGAAAATCCGATTCTCCTCACTATATCTATCTGCCACATGCAGAAGACGGCAGGCAGGGGTATCTACGCCGATGTCCGACGGCTTTCACCTCTATTCCAGGCACAAGGCCACATCTTGAACATCCAGACAGCCAACATAAACGCAAGCGGTTTCCACGCACCATTTATCGGTTCGAAGAATAGGCAAATGACTGGGTTCGCCGGCGCGCTTGGCCTCTGTTGTCGTTCTGCCTCACTCTTCGGCGCCGGTTCGTCGGCAGCATTCAAAGACAGTAGGAGCGGTAAGCACTTCCTCAACTTCTGTTTCGCCACGCCTTCCTAAGCTTGACTGGCACCTTCTCCTATTGGTTCCTGCGATCTTGTAGGATCTGAAAGCTCTCCTGGACTTACTCCAACACCTAGCTTAACAAATTCCGTACCCTTACCTATCCCATTCGCAACCTCTCCGCTACCAAGCTCTACCCAAACCATCATTACTAGTGGTTCTCTCGATTCGGGTCGTCTCTGTGTCGCCGAAGGCTGGTGGAATTGCCTCGGCATTCATCGTGGTGCGGGGGGGATTGGACCCCACGACAACAACTCGCAGAAGGAACATTCCGTACACCAAGAATCCATCCAACTCTAGTGTAGAACAATGTATATATTTGTGCGTGTGTATAACAGCCTGGATCTTTCCAAATTAACTAACTGAAACGAATGTAAATACACAATAAACGGATTGCTAGCAATCTAATTCTATTTCTGAGGACCACCAGGAAGTAAAACTTTCTTATAGCTTAGCCGTTGGTTCGTTCAAGTTCCTCCCTAGGACAACACATACTAGCTGCCTCATTATGGCCTAAAGCAATAGGACCTGCAAGTCTGATAATCCAGTACTGGGTGGCCTCGAACGATGGTTCGGGAAGTAAAAGCTGCCTGCTGATATATAGTGCCCGCTCCGTGAGAGAAGCTAGTGGCGAGTTTCGGCTGGAAAGCACACAATATAGCGCCTGGATCATCCGTGCCAGTATCTCTATGTATAGATCTTTGTTTCCTTTTCCTTGTAATACGTCACCGAAACACTCAAGGATGTTCTGTTTGACGTAAGCCTCCCTTGAAGGGCGCATAACCTTCGGTCCCAATGCCCACATTTCATACGCCCATAGCGCCAAGAGGTGCAATGGTAACATTTCGCGAAGTTTCTTCTGCATTGTCTAAAGCTGTGGAATACGAAGTATATCTCGACTCCACGTAAGTAGACGCGAGTTATCTGCTAAATGCGATCTAACTGGTGGTGGTAATCGGCGGTTAAAGTAGATAGAGAAGACTGATAATAAGATAGTCATCTCTTGGCGCGATTCTATATTGAGGAAGGGCAGGGCTTGTTTCCAGAGTATAAAATCAGTTATTTGAGTTATAGGAAGGTTCCAGGCTAAGTGGGACTCCATCTCAGGAATGAGTATTTCAGTGCCCTCTAAAGAGTGCCTGATCTCCTTATCAATCGCTATTATATTTTGTCCACGAAAGACGCGGCTAGATGCAAGCTTCTGGTGGAATGTCCAGGAATTAAGTTGCTCTGGGTGATCAAGGCCTAGGACTCCAAGACTCTCTGCAAGGAGATTCAAATTCTGTAATGGCGTTCGATTGCGAGAAGGCTGCACTTGGCTCCGCACGGAAGGCCACAAAACTCGACGCAGGAGGGCAATCACCTGAATGCCATCCTCTGCGGTACTGTAATATGGAAGAGACTGCATTATTTGCTTCACAACTTCGTTGTGGTCGGAGTTCTGTAAATGTAACATAGAATCCCTATCTCCCGCAACATATAACCCCAGGAACACTGCCCTGCGGGCAGCCTCTACAACGACATTAGGACGCATAGCATATAGGTCACAAGCTAGCATTGGGCTTTCAACCCAAGCAGCAGGCTGGGTAAGCTGCCTACGATACCATTCCCCAAGAGGGGGATGTCGCGTGATCTCAGCGGCGGCGTGCTCCATTTGTTGAGCATTCGTTACTTCTGCGAGCGGCGTTCCAGCAGGTAATGAGGGTTCGTACTGTTGCCTGAGTCGTACCCAAGAATCGCAGAGCGGAGCTGAGCCGATTTCGGTGGTGGATTGAGAACTCGCCATCTCGGTGGGGAGAGTAGGTACCACGAATGGTTCCAGTTGTCCATGATGACTATAACTGCCATAGTGTGGCGTGATATCTTGTGCTGGCGTAGAGGTGGCTGCCTGTGAAGGAACACCATCTGACTCTCGACCTTCATATTTTATATACTTGTTGAATAACGGTATTGGTTGGGGATCTTGCAGTCCTGGGGCTGCGGAGCCATGGTATGGTAGTGATAAGTCCGCAGACTTTTCCTGGCATTCCGATGCTTCAAGGGGCTCAGGTTTAATGGACCGGAGTTGAGAGTCGTCGGACCTCTGATAAACCAGCGAGGAAGACATGTCTAGTTATTGGTATGGGATGCAGTTGTCAGAAAAATTGTCTCAGTCAAAGACTTGTGTTGGGGTAGGCAAGGAGTCTACTTTGCTGTGTGCATGAGTGTTCTCTTATAGTAAATAAATAGGGGCAGATGATAAAAATAGCTCCCGCTGGCATCACATGTCTCCAGCCCTGGTTACACCATCAAGCCGAAGCGATTGCAGCTTCGATAAGGGCAGAAATCACGAGTATACCCATGACGAAACTATCCGGGATAGCCGAACAAGATCTTCAAGCTGCGAAGCAACGTTGACCTCACTGACTAGAGGGTGAGGCTTCATCCACGGCTTCTTTGTCTCTTTGCCTATTTTCTACTCCCAGTGTACTCTCCTGTTCTTCCTATGCTATCGGGACATCACTCCTTGACCACCTTAGTATATTTTCAATAAAAGCGTTAATGAGGCTTAAAACATGCTGTCTCACCATACTATCCGAACGGCTTACAGCGTGTCCCCTCAAACTGTCAAAATCATCATGTTGACCGACTCGCCCAAGTCCAAAGAGGGGATTCTCTTAGCGGCTGCCCTTAAGAGCATGCCTGACGAAACTATATCCGAAAATGCTCCTCCTATTGGCAATGTGGACCTACGACGGCGACGTACAGAATTTCTTTTCCGAGTTTATTCACTGGATCTCAAAAAATGGACGCCTCATTTCCAAAGGCCAAGCTTTCCTCCAAAATTACACCGTTGCTTGATAAGCCGGACGCATCTCACGTTGTACGAGTCACTGCCTTGTTTTCTAATCAATGCGCCCCCCTATGCTATGACCCAATTCCATCGGATCAACAGTAAATAAGCATGTAGCTATGAGCGTAGCGCCATCTTGAATGTTGTATGCATCTCTCACAAGTCGACATATCTTCAAATCATGATCAGCAATGCCACATAGCGGCCACCGGGCACACTCACCTGATCTGGATCCATTGGAGGAATGATGATAATGCTATGAGTTGGCATATGGGTAACAGCTGCCGCAGGCAAGCTACCGAAGACTGGAAGAAAGTGCGAGGTGACGAAGGCTATGTCATTGAGCTTGGAAAGCTCTTTCAGTCTTTTATTGTTTGCGATGTAGACCTCCACAGTTTCGCGCCATTGTCCAAGGCACGCCAGAGGCTGCCATTGACACCGGGATAACGAGCCACTCAGATTAGTGATGGTCCATTGCAAAGTCAAGGAGGCGGCCGGATCTTGGATAGCCACGTCAAACCACCCCTCAAGCACGTTGCTAGCCCGAGCGACAGCCCGATCCAAGCGAGTACGGCGTTTTGTCCGTCGAGCCTTCCCATCCCGTAGAAATGTGATTGTAATCCCACCACCGCCTGACAAGATCCGCGGGGCCTCCGTGGTGCAATTCATGTTACTCATGGTGTTGAGTGAAAGAAGGAGTAATATCGATCAACAGACCGACAGTTCAGCGCCTTATATAGGCTCCCCGAAACCTCGTGCAGCAACCCAACCGCTGCATCACCCGGTTCTGACAGTGGCCGCATGAGCCATGCATGCATGAGTTGTCACCTCGCCTAGGAGGGTGCAGGGTCTTTCATACCGCCTGAGGCTTGCTCAAGATACACGCCCCAACGGGCTCAATAGAACTTTGGTGTAAAGAAGCCAGTATTCATCACAAAGCATCAGATACAGCATAGGAAAATCACACGCGCCAGGGCCAGAGCCAGATTTCGAGAGCTCGTCAACACTCTCAACACCAGCGCGTGAGGGAAACAACGTAAAACGCAGTGATCGCTACCTCTCCACCATGACGGAAACACCTGACGCGAAGCGAAGATTCCAGAAATGCCACGCCCCTTCTCCACCCTGGTGACCGTAATCGAGTCGGTAGTGGACGTAAGAGCATCTTATTCGTTCCCCAATCTTTCACCACGCGGTTAATATCCTGTGCCAAGCCTGTTAGTCGCTCGTCATGACGCCTTGCCTCCACTACGAAGTACTCTTTTTTTATTCGCGGTTGATGGGCGAGGCTGTGATCTTTTATTTGTGTCGGCGGGCCCTTCTTTTGGTCGCTTAACACGGATCGCCGCCTCGCCTTGATCGATGGAGTTTGCTGCCTCAAGCTTCCTTCTAGTCTCCTTCTCCCTCTCCACTGCTGCTGCCATGTCTGCCTCTGCTTTTTCTGCTCGAGTTTCTGCTCGGGTTATCGATGAAATCATGTATGCCAGGTTTCTTTCCAACTCCTCAGCTCGTCCCTCAGCCTCCTTTCTAGCCTTCTCTTCCTCCCCAGCCCGACACTCTGCATTGTCTCTAGCGTTGACTGCTGAGTTCCTTTCTTCCTGGAGTTGCTGCGCTCGATGATGCGAGGCAGCTTCGGACTGGTTGGCCACGGCAAGTTTTTGCAAAGCCGCCTCCTCTGCCTGAAGTGCCTTCTTAGCTTTTTCATTGGCCAGTGCTTCTGAAATAGCCGCAGTATGCTGTGTCTCGTTCATTACAGAAATTGCCAATGCCCTTCCATGCTCGAGCTTGGTGTTTTCTTCTGCTGCTGATTGCAGCGCCTTCAGATTCTGCTGGATTTCTTCATCCTTCTCCATGATAGCGTCTTCTAACACCTCGTACCCGACTTCGGTTTCGTGTAGGCACTGAAGCACTTCCGCTTTTTCCGACTCTAAATCCTGGAGTCGCTCCTCTATCAACCTTATCTCTTGTTTCGCACGCTCGATGTCCCATTTCGAGGTCTCAAGGAGCTGATTAATGGCCGTCGTCAGTTGTTGTGCGCAATTATTAACTTTGGACACGACCTCTATATGATCCGGTATGCCCGGATACCGACTTGACGGATGGTCTACACTAGTAGCCAGCGTGCTTGGTGTGCTAGTCCTCGGACTCTCCATCATAATGGGTGTACGATATTAAGTCTGGATAAGCAAACACAGTGTATAGGCCGGTAATGAAGGTGGAAAGAATCGTGTAGTTCGTCTACTTCGGACGGTGAGGATCACTGCTAGTATCTAAGTTGACTCCCCCAAGGCGAGTAGAGAGTAGAGGAGATAGTCGCGGGAAAATGTGAAGGAGAAAGAATATGAGCTGAAATGAAGGGGGGTGAAACTGGGGTGAAAGAGTTATATGTGGGGTTGCTAGGTCTAACGCTAGCTCAAGTAGCAAATCGGATAATTAAGAGAATAGTGACTAGTTAATAGTATTATCGAATCATATATATGTACATATGTATTATGTATCTATTTAGAAAGGAGATCAAAATGCCGGGTGCTTAACTAGAGATAGAATGATTCCGTCCGGACCAATAAGGTATTATCTCCTCTACTCCCCAGGGCTCACAATCTTGCCATATCACTTTTTATCCTCAGCCGCTACGTTTCTGCCAGTATCCGCCTATCCTATTCTCTCTTTTGCTAACACGATATAAACAACCTCACTATACGCCTAGATTTGGTCACTTTCTCGAGGCCTGCGTCTACCATCCGCTATATACAGGTACCCGAATCCAAGATTTCAAATAAGTAACCTTCTTCTTACGCGATTTAGTGTACTATATATATGTCCTTTCCTGAAGCATGCCGTTATTCTATGACCCAAATTCATCCGATCAACGATACATAAGAATATAGCTGTAAACGTAGCACTAACTATGTAGGTATCGAGGTAGAGGTCCTTCTGTTCCGTGGAGGTGCATATCCGGCTATAGTATCAAATTAATTGCTTCTCAGGCTTCTTCATTGTTGAGACGATTCCCCTCTTCAAAAGCCCAAGAAAGAAAAGAAGAAGCGAACAGCTTCCCGAAACCGCCCTATAGAAGCTCGGATCACAGTCAGTGTGTCTTCCTCGAGGTCGTCCGGTCGCTCTTTCCCAATATGTATTCTCCACGCTTTGGCGTAGTGTCCGTTCAAACGAAGAAGCTCCTCGTGTTTACCATCCTCCAGAATCCTGCAACCATCGCCGAAGTAAATAATACGATCCATCTTAACCGCATTTAACAGCCGATGGCTAAAGTGATAAGAAGCTATACGTCAACTCATATTCTCAAAAAGGCGATAAGATCAGATACACCTACGTAATCACAATCAACGTACTAGAGAATTCTGCCATATGAGCCCGCAAGCAGGCTTCAGTGATAGAGTCAATGGCGCTAGTACCTTCGTCTATATACATAATCGCTAGATTCTTTAAGAACACACAGGCAAGCCCGATGCGTTAGAGCTCACCTCCCGAACAAATACTAATAATTACGGTTAATAGGTGTTCCATATCAGGGTGGCCAGCACTTACTCCTTCCTGATCTTTGTACTAAGCCCATCCGTCCAACTCATAATAAGCTTATCAATGTAAGCCTTGCGACAGGCTTCGAGGATTTCGCTATCTGTCGTATACGGCTTTCCGTATGCTATTATTTCCCTCGCAGAACGCTCAAAGTATACAGGCTTCTGTTCCATTAGACCGAGAGAATAATATAGGCTAGAAGTAGTTAATATTGAGGCTTCGAAGTATAAATGACCAAAACTTACGATTCCTTAGAGACTTTAGTAATGTCTTGCCTATTAACTTTAATTACACTATTCGATAATTCTCCCTCGCGGAATAAGACGTTAACCACAGTCGATTTTCCGATGCCACTCGGCCCAAGAAGTGCAACGTGTGAACCACCAGCAATAGTGAGATTTAAACCATCAATGACCTTTTTCTCACGACCTGGATATAAGAAACTCACATTCTCATACACAATTTCCCCCTCTATCACTTTCAGCGTGTCCCCTTCATCCTTCTCAATTCTAAGTTCCATGATCTTTCTTAGCGGGTTAGCATCAAAAAGAGTGCGGACAACCGTCCTAGGGTACAAAGCAAAGAAACTTATGTTGCCCAAAAACATAAACAAAAGCCCTCTGAATGCAATAAAGTGGTCCATTTGGTTAGAACCCCTTAATACGCCACACATAATCACATGAGATGCCAAAAGCAACAAGAAATAATTCATAGTGTTTTGCAGGCAGTCAAACCTAGACATAGTAGAGTAGTAACTGTTAAGCAATCCAGACCACGTCTGTATTTCCTTTTGGTATTGTTTGATCTCATGATCCTTCCGTGAAAAGTTGGTGATAGTTCTCCATCCTTATAGACTATTATATTGCTGGGACTACTATATATAATATTAGTGATTGGCTTTCTCAGCCTTTGGCACAGTTGATGAGAACCATCTCTGTTCCAGCACAATGCTAAGGAGAAAACCACAGAACACAAGTAGCCTCACCCAGAGGCCAAATATTAAGTATATCTTAGCAGAAGCAAGCACGAAGGTGATTGATCGTGGTATAAAATCGAGGAGCAGGGAGTTAAATAGCGTGACAATACTTAATGCTTTGTCTACTGCGTCCTTGAATTGCTCTGGATTAATACGAGAATGATATTTTCCATCTAGTTGCATAATATGCCTATAAGCCGCTATCCGCAAATTTTGTCTGCGATCTTAGTTAAGTGTTGATTGCTCCAAGGAACATAAGTATCGGGTCATAGGTAACAACAATATCAGGAGGCCGTAGTAGGCAAAAACCTTGAAAGCTAGTCTCCCTATTGTAAGCCCTGAGCCCTTAACATTTTGGAGAGTATCAAGCAGTTCGCCCAGCTTGCCATGTGATGAATATTCTAAGTAGTTAGCAACAACAGCTACCAGAGCGACAAAGACGAGCTTGTTCTGCACATTCTTTTCAGCCGGCCATATAAATTTCCAGAATATAGAGAACGTTTTAATCCAAGGCCAGTAGCCTCCCATCTGTTCAATCTCTTCCATAGCATCTTTTTGAATATCGATCATCTGCTGATCGGCACTTAATTTGCTTTCTATTAGATAAGTAGAGCTCTGTTCTCCTAGGCGGAGGAAGGTCATTGCTACCAGTATGCCGTATATTAAGAGCTTTGAGGTTGCAATACTAATGTGCAGAACTAAAAGCAAGCTTGATGGATAGATCAAAAACACAGCCCATACCTCGATTGTTCCAGAGGCTATCCAATAAATAACATAGCTCAACCTGTTTGGTTTATCCGTCGTGTAGATAAAGGAACGCTATTAGAGTATATCCGCCATGAAATATCCCATATCAATACAACTATCAAGCAAACTTACGTCTTGCACATAGTATTCAAACAAATGCACAAGCCCTTTTACCAGAGAGAGGGTGACCTGACCAATCAAGAGATAGAGGAAATAAGTAGTCCGTGGAGTGGTGCTAATTCGGTAGATCGTTCCAAATATGCCAAGAAAAACAAGTATTAGCCCATAGACCAGGCGGAAAATAGAAAAGGAGATTATGATGCTAAGGCACGAAGTAAGGAAGATGGTGAGGTGCGATGGGCTAAGTTGTAAAGAAGGAGAGGGGTTTATATAACAGATTGACAAGGGAGCAAGACAAGGAGCATAACATGTGGAGATTTCTGTCCACAAAGATATAGTTAGCGGCTTAGTCAACGAGGTGAATGATTTGCCTCCTACACCTCGCTAAGCCGGTGGGTCGCTGATGCAATATCGTCTCACCTACACCGAATGATTTTGCTGAACTCCCCCTCTGTATATTGTGTTTGATGTGCGATCCTTGAACCACTTCGCGAGCCTCTTCAATACCTACTCTTTCCGATTATGCCTTCAATATCACTATAATAATACTTATCCTAAGCTCACAAAACTCTACAATAGAAAATCTATACACATTATTCAAGTAAAGGATTTTTAACAGAATGGTATCCATATCAATAAGAAGAGATATTCAGCTAAAGAACAAATGTAAATCTTAGTATACAAAGTCGACGATGGCCAAGTTGTTTTGCGAATTCAACCACGCTTTAGAGCCCAATTACTATAATCAATGGATAACCCAACCCTCACAATAGTAAGGTGCAATCATAACTTCAACTAGGTTCAGGTCTTGTTTCCATAAGAGCCACACCATTTTATTGCCACAATGTCTTCAAGCAAGGTAACCAAAGCAAGGTAAACCTTTTTTCTCCGATATACTTTCAAGGCAAGCATAATGACCCGGTCCAGGGAACTAGTGCAGTTGCGGCAATTTGATCGAAAAATGTCCCCAGACGTTCAGACGCTGTATCTTGGTGGAAATTTAGCAGGGGGTTATCGAGATTCTTATACACAATTAACATAAGACGGAGGCACCCTGCCCTGTGATATAAAGGAGTCGAGAGAAGAGATGAGGAGCAGGTTTAGGTGCGGTGGTAAGAATTAGGTATTTGCATTGTATGTAGGGGGCAGCTTGGTGATTTAGGAAAAGCCACTTTACCGGTACTATGAGCTGCGGGCCATCTGGTGTTAGTCTTGTTGCCCTGCCTCTGGTTTAGATGCTTATACTCCTCCTTAAGTATTAGCTTATCATCTACTTCGATCAGTAGAAGAGTCTGACTATCTACATATTTCCTTTAACATTTAGCACTCGTTCTTAGTTCCTTCACGTCTTGCATCTACCTTCTTGGCTTCATGGATCTGGAATAGAGGCTTGACGACCTCAGCTACCGGATCGAGAAGGGTCAGGCTGAGCTAGCTGCCAGTGCTTACAATAGCGAAATCGCTCAGACCGAGCCTTTATAGTATTAAAACCAAACGTTGACCGACTCACCCAAGTCCAAAGAGAGAATTCTTATGGCGGCTGCCCCTGAGGGCATGCCTGACGAAACTATACCCGAGAATACTTCTAATGGCAATGTGTGCTACAACGGCGATGCACAGAATTTCTTTTCTGAGTTTGTTCGCTGGATCTCAGTAAATGGAAACCGCATTCGAAAGGCCTCCAACATCACCCCGGTGTTTGATAAGCCGGACGCATCTCACGACCTGAAGGCGCTACCATTGATTAAGGATAGGAACCGACGCATCTAAATGTTAATTTCAGGATCTAGGCTTATCCCTGGAAGTAAGAACTATGCCCTGGATGTATACGATGAGCTAGCGAAGAGCCTCAGGTCCATCCATAGCGCTGCCGAATGTAGCGCTACCCAGCTCTTGAAATATGGCAATTATAAAGAAAAGATTATGGAGATACGGAAGCAGATGAATGAGGTGCGAGAGATGGCTATTAAGGAGATTGGTCGAATGGACAAAGGAGAGCTAGGAGAATGAAATTAGGTAGAAAGTATTTATAGCTATAACTAAGCTCCGGTAAAATGAACGTGTTAGCCTTGGTGCCCTTATTACAGAAACCAACCTAGCGGGGTTGAGACTCATATAATAATAGTTGCATATGTACAATAGACGATGGCAATTAGAGAATGGAGGCATTGGAATTTAGCATATGTATCTCAAGCCTCTTGAAAATGTAATGTGACTCGACTACTAGCGAGAGAGAGGACATGCACTGTCTTTGTCCTCTCCAAATGTTTATACCCCTGGGCATTGTCCACGTAACCAGCCGGAGCATCTCACAAGCTTATGTGTGTCCGTCTTTCCATAGCAGGCGATGAGATATCCAGCTTGAGGCAAGGTACCCAGTCAGAATTCCACCTTAAACCTGCAGCTTACGGTATAGGAAGTCCACCTTACCGCACTTCTCAAACTCAAGTTGCGAGACATCCAATCCCTCAAGCTGAGCAGCTTTAATCCACGCATTATATTCATCCTGGGTAGGTTTAGCACTATTCTTGCTGGTCCGGTATTCCCCTAAATCCAAGATTAGTATCAATAATGTAGTTTGGCCTATTTCCACTTATATCTTTCCCTATTATCACTGTTGACCTTTCCGACTTGTTCTCCTAGCTTTAAGATGTCATCATTTAGGGGAAACAGTTCATACCCTAAGTCGGAGCAGATCTTGTACCTGGCTATGGCGGTTGGATCATTTAGTGTAGCCCCTAGGTCCTTGATAAACTGGTCGATGTCGGCCTCCGTGAAATTTGCCGCCATTTTAAGGGATGGAAAAAAAAAGGATAACTACCTCTGTAGGATATGAGGTATAATGTATAGATCATAAGGATGAGTTTAGGTAATTTTGAAATTAGTTTGAGGGGAAGAGGGGGTTACTAGCGTTTTTATACTTGGGAGGGCCTACGAGTTGGCCCCCCTATATGACGAAAATAAGCAATGCGCTCCCCTACATAACTTCGTCATATAGGGGGCTGACTCGTAGACCCTCCTGGGTATATGGGATTCTGGCGCGTCCGCACTGACCAATATATTTCAGCCTAGGTTCGAGCGGGACATCTAGTCTCCCATGCAGTTTCCCAACAAGCCAACCGATTTTCCCAACCCATAGATGAATTGACCAGCCCACCCTTGCTCTCAAAGAGAGGACTTTGAGCTTGCCTGCCGATCAGAGATATGGGCTATTAAATAGCTTCTGCACCTTATCCTTAGGGTGACTCTTACAATATACCCAAGTTGCGTAGCCTACACAAGGAATCCTTTCCTTAAGCATGCCGGACTAATGAAAGCTTATGTTATGACCTAAGTCCATCCGATCAACAATACATAAGCATAGAGCTATAAACGTAGCACCATCTTGAATGCTGCCTGCACCTCTCACAAGTCGACACATCTTCAAATCGTTATCAGCAATGCCACATAGCGGCCACCGGGCACACTCACCTGATATGAATCCATTGGAGGAATAATGATAATGCTATGAGTCGGCATATGGGTAACAGCTGCCGTAGGCAAGCTACTGAAGACCGGAAGAAGGTGCGAGGTGATGAAGGCTATATCATTGAGCTTGGAAAGCTTTTTCCGTCGTTTATTCTTTGCGATATAGGCCCCCACGATATTGCGCCATTGTCCAAGACACGTAAGGGGCAGCCATTGACACCATCTGTGGGATAACGAGCGACTCAGCTTAGTGATGGTCCATTGTAAAGTGAAGGAGGCGGCCGGATCTTGGATAGCCACGTCAAGCCATCCTTCAAGCACGTTGCTTGCCTGAGCGACAGGCCGGTCCAGGCGAATGCGACGTTGTGTGTCTCGAGCCTTCTCATCCCGTAGAAACGTGACAGTAATCCCACCGCCGCCTGACAGAATCCGCGGGGCCTCCATGGTGAGATTCATATTACTCATGGTGTTAAGTGAAAGAGGAAGTAAAATCGATTAACCGACCGACAGTTCAGCGCCTTTATATAGGCCCCCGAAGCCTTGTGCAGCAACCCAACCGCTCCATCACCACCCGGTCCAGACAGTGGCCGCATGAGCCATGCATGCATGAGTTGCCAACTCGCCTGGGAGAGTGCAGGGTCTGTCTTACCGCCTGAGGCTTGCTCACAGTACACGCCCCAACGGGCTCAATAGAGCTTTGGTGTAAAGAAGCCCATATTCACCGCAAAGCTCCCATTAGATACAGCATAGGAAAGCACACGCGCCAGGGCCAGAGCCAGATTGCGAGAGCTCGTCAACACTCTCAAAACCATCCAAAAGTTCCTTCCCATGACCCCAGCTATCATCCGTCAAGCCTTTGTCCACTTCGACTTCGACAAGCATTGTCTCTTTACAACTATTCCTGTATTTCTGTCCGACTAGTAGCCGATATCTCCGGTAGACCTCCACTAGTTTATCCATCAGATGACGCCGCGCCCCTACTCCTTTCATATTACCAAGATCCCGTTCAGCAGCTGGATGGCAGTGCCCGACACGCCCGAGTGAGGACGCCATTCGTAGCAATGCGCCTCGCGGATTTTTGACTGGGTTACCATTAAACAGCTTAAGGAACTTAGGCAAATCCCAGCCACAGGCAACCTCTGCACCCTGCGTAATAGTCTCAAGGAGTCGATCGTAGAGTTCTGACATCAAAGCTTCGACGCCTTTCACCGTTTGGTACTCGAGGGCGTGGGCGAAGGCCGCTGGCAAAGCCTTATATAGCCTCGGCGAATACCCAAGTGGCACATACATGTGCATCCCTTTAAGCCAATCCAGCATCCGCCCTGTAACTTTTAAGTGCTGTTGCCGCAAGAGAAGATCCATTACCTCCCCACTCCAAAATGAACCAACCATCAGGGGGTTGGCAAAGTCAAGCTGAAAGAGATCGCCAAGAATTGCCATGTTGTCGTTGGTTGACAGCTTCGTGTTGAACGCATGCTGTAAGTCATCCGTTGCACCACCAGCGAACTCACACAACCCCCGGAGCAGTGACACTTGGTGTATCTCTGCCCTCGGGTCCTCGGCCGGCTTTGCCGTCTTGATCGTGTACAATTGTTGGAAGAACTTGTGCCATATCTCCGGCTTCCTCTTGATCGAGGCAATCGCTGAAGGATTGCTTAGGTTACCCTCAACGTGCAGGCAAAGGAACAGAACCGATAGCAAGAACCGATCGCGGGTTTCCGCATCCAATTCCTATTATAGGTCAGTCACCCACTAGAACTCTCAACACAGGAGACTTACAAGTATATCAGTAGTTAATATTGCCCAGTGGATGGCTGTTTGCATCCCCTCGTCTAGCGTGGTTCGCTGGTACAGCCGACCCAAGCCCCTGCCGCGCCGTGAGTTAATGCCCCTCCCCGCATTCCGGATGAATTGCCGTCGATACTTCTGCCTCGCTTCACGTATGCCATAGGCCATAAAATATACGGTGCTGAATTCATCCCCGTGATACTCAACATCGGCCTCAGGCACAAGCTTGAGTCCGACTCCATATCTGCGAATATGTTGGATGCAAGAGTCAGCAAGCGCTACCACGAAGAACTCATCATCTGGTGTCTTTCGAACAACATGGATGAGAGGCAAGTGCTTAATCTGTGTCCAACTAGACCCTTCCCATTGGTTAGCCGGGATAAGGTAGCACTACCATTCCTCTTTGTCTGGTGGCCTTGCTAGCAGATCATCAACGTCCCAATGTATTCGCTCGACCGTCTAATATGCATGAGCAAAAGCATGTAACATTGTTATAGGCTTCTTACTTGGTTGATCAATTTCTGACAAAAGATTTGACCAGCTTGGGGGGCGTCATCGGCTAACGATGCCTCTATATTTGGAGACAGTGGCGGCGGGACGGGGGCGGTGGGAGACTCAGGATCAGCAGACGTCCAATCGTTAGGTAGAATATTTTCCGTTACGGGGGAGGACGGCTGACTCAATCTGCCGAACGTTTCCCCAGAAAGTGACAGGTGAACAGCCACCAGCATGATGAATAAGTCGGAGCTCGTGGTGGTTGGGAGAGACCGTTAGAACAATGTACCTGCGCCAGGGGATTGCAGGAAGGCAGACAAGGCAACCAGATGCAGCCACAAAGTGCAAGCCTTGGGGCGGGCTACGTAAATATTTGTACCTACCTGTGGACTCTTACACTCTAACTTGGTTGGTGAAAAGGCTAGGTCATATGAGTGCATCCGTCATGCATACGGGGACGCTAGGGACCACGGATCGATAGCTCGAGGGATATACAAACGCTCGTCCCGGTTCTTACACTGGACCGCCTCATTGACCTCCCAGGAGGCAGGGGGGGTCTGAACATGCAGCGTCCTGTCCTGCTAGGATAACTCCGAAGGTTTAGACCCCTGGACACCTTAGGTTACTTGTCGGGGAATGGTTTACCTTCTTGCATTTTGATGGGAGCTATATCGTTCAGCAGCCAACATTAATATCCAGCCAGATGAATGAGGGTACATAGCCTTCAAATACTGTATGAGGGATGGCTTTCGGGCGGACGCCCGTGCTTTTTAGCCCCTCCTGTAAAACGGCGTTGCTCAAGCGCGCAATCCAGCTTGGGCCCTTCAGATACCGTCTAGTCTTGCGAAATTCAGGCAAATAGATCACAGCCGCCATAGATCTAATCGGGCTTGCCTTTAGATTGCCAAAGTTTGCGAGACTATACAGTACAGGTTCTACACACATTTAACTCTATATCGTAGATGTACACAGAATCTAGTTTAACGCATGAAGTACAGTAACAAGCGATGTGAATAGCTGCTAGATGAAATTTGAAGGCGAATACGAATTGAATTGTCAAAACAATGAAAGTAAACCAGCTAACTGCGGCCCAAGAGTTGAGGCGATGTTTCGGGATATAGCGCGTCCCGGAATTGACCACTAATATTGCACGATGGTCGAAACCGTATGGCCCAAATAGCCTGGCAATGGTGTAGTCCATAGGCATAGTAGTGGCCGCTGTTCAGTAGGCATGAGCCACAGCCGTATGGTAAAAATAGCTGTAATAAACGCCGCAAGTTGGATGCCCATGCATAAGTAACAGATTAGCTGTCCCCACGTTGTGCAATACTTGGGATCAGCCCATGATTTCCCCGTTGGACAAAGTACTATCGTATTCTGCGACTTGGTTAGACTTGGCCTTTCGTAGTACTATCTCAACTCACTAAGACGAAGGTTGAAGAAGCTAATATCACTAGTCTGCATGATAAAAGCCACCAGTAAGCTGATCGGTCGCTGGTTATACAAAATCGTCTTATGGTGCTAATAAGGAACAGTATGATACTAGCAGAAGTTGAAATAACGAGGAATGTCAATGAGAAGGTGGGAACCTGCTGACGAACTAAGAAAAAGTAACCCAATCCACCGACAGAAACAAGAAGGGTGGCGCCTGTGGCGGCAATCTCACAAGTAGCTATCGGGTCCATGGCGGGTGGGTGGCTGTTGGCAGACGACCGAAGCGACATCAGCATTTTCATGGTAGAAACCCTCATATATGTATATATATCGTGCTATTCAGAAAAGGGAAATACGGCACGCGAATAGGCATTGGCATAATTACGCAAACGTGCTACAAGCAGCATGGATCGAGCGTACCGTCGTTTCTAATTTGGCAAGGTGATTGGAGTGGCATGATGCTACGTCAACAGAATGAGAGCCAATTCAGCAGATGTCACCTTTTTGTTATTATATGATGGCTTTGTCGACTATAAAAAGACTACGATTTCTCCTGTGTATTTCACCAGTTTATTCCATTCAAACCTTCTATAAAACCAACACCTATTCAGTCAAACATCACTTTCATCTATATTATCAAACATGGCCCAGTCTACTCCCTCTGAGCTCGTCAATGGGGTACGGTGTTCTAATCCCAAGTGCAACTACAACAACCCTAGTTACGCTACGGAGTGCGAGGGATGCAAGTCTCCGATTTAATACTCCCTCTCCTATCAACCTAGAGATCAAAAGACTTTCGAAGCCCAGTCCGATACTGGCCATTCGATGTTGTGTTTGAGCCTTACGCACCATCTTGGCCAAGCTTCAGTCTTTTCCATACATTAGGTTTCAGCCGGTTGGGACGATGTTGTTTCGAGCAGTGGCGACGGATAACAAGAGCGGAGATGAGTTATATATTTTCTCGCAGCTAGCTAAATTCAACTTGTGAGATCTTTCAAGCCATACCCTTGTACCAATTTTGAAACTCAATGTCCAGTCGCTTGTAGCCATGGAGTTCGAGTGCCTGTCCTAGAAGCTGTCCCCAGAGCTGCTGATTATCAGTTTCACATTCCAGTTTGAAAGCTCCAAGAGAAGTCTTGGTTGCTACCCAGAAACGTGGGTAATAAGCTGCGGACTCCCAGTCTATAATCCCAGAAACTTTGCCTTCCTCTAGCACAATGATATTTTTTGGTCCAAGGTCGGCATGATAGAAGTGGAATAGCGGGCTAACAGTAGGAGGGGGGTCCTTTGAAATTTTCATCATATAAGCCTGCATCTCCTGTACTGATAAGGGGCCAAGTAATCTTGGCAGCCAGAGAGGATGCTGTATTGGTGGCTTATCCTGAAGCCATGGTTCACGAACTCCGTAGCCATTGATCGTTTGAAAAGAAGGTGCAGTGTTAAGAGCAAGCTTAACAATATATTTAGCAATATCCTTAGCAACCTGGGTCCGTTGGGATAAGGATAGTCGCGGCCATGCTTGTTCCAAGGTTTGTCCGCTAACGCGTTTGGTGATGAGAAAGTTTCTGTTGATATCATGATCAATCCAGCTATAAATAATATCTGGCACAGGAACCTCAGGTGCCTTGTCTTTCACAAATTGAATGTTATTAGACTCAAGCTCCATACCCTCACGCCAAGCATGGACTTTAAAAAAACATTGTCCAATACACCAAACTGCGGCTGAAACCCCAGCAACATACACCCTACCAAACTGTGCGTCCCCTTCTGCCGTAATGTCATCCGGGGTCCTTTCGCGAAGATAGAAGGTTTCTCCTTCGTCTTCCCAAGTAACGAGGGCATCAGCTGGTTTAAATAAGGAGGTTTGGACTCTCTCGCACATCATTGTAGAGCCAAGAGTCCATCGATCGGGGCTTATCCGAGTAATCGAATGCCCGATTGGAGGCGTCATTTCACTACCACTGCATTAGAGGTATTTCACCAATAGTATTTGGGTCTGGACATACCAAACCATAACGGCTTATAGTTGTATTGCGTATCGCCCTTTGTAGTTGTGGCAGAAAGGAATAAGATGAAGTCAGAGCAGATAAGCTATTAATGTCATGTGCTACAACTGAGGTAGGGAGGGGTAGGGAAATCCCCTTGTCTCAGTCAATATGAATAATCAAACCGAAGAAGCGCCGCTCGGTAGGATATTGCGGTGTGAGGCGGCTGAAGCAATTGACAAGGAGATCCAAGCTGAAACTTTGATTGCCCAAAAGGGGGGAAGTGAGAGTGTAAGAAACGCGATTGCAGAACTCGGCTCGTGACACTTGGGCGAGCAGGATCACTCCCTATACCTGTGCGGGGTGATCTGTGCCCTTTATGACTGACGATTAGGCATCCAAGTTCATGGTTGATGGGAACTGTGGATACAACTGTCTTGCCTACGGGACCGAATTCTGCTGAAGTGGCCGCTGACCCAGTTGGGCCCACTATTTGGGTACATTCTAGCTAGAATGTACCCAAATAGTGGGCCCATGTTTCTCCACTTTTACTAAGCTGAGCCTCTGGGCCACGATCAAGAGGTCTAGGTCATTTAATTAGATAAAACCAACATGAATGGAACATCCCTGTTATTATAACTTCAGGGGTCTGCGTCCATTCTAGCTGACCCAGACGGAAAAATGTACCCAAACAGTGGGCCCGTGTTCCTCCACTCTTACTTAGCTGAGCCTCTGGGCCACGATCAAGAGGTCAAGACAAAACGTCAACACAGATTCAAGGGACACAGATTCACGGGAGTTTGTTTACATTCGTCATGATGGTCACTCAAGAATCCATCATAACGGTAACACAATGCTCACATACGAAGCTAGATCCATTACGCCTGACAATTTCAATGAATGGTCACAAGGAGGTGGTATGGTTATCTTTTCAACCGTTCAGTTTCTCAACGCCCACTGGTTATTATCGATGCGATCCTAAGAGTGTACCGTGCTGCTTATCTGGCCTTCATAAAAAAAATATCGAGGAAGAGATAAAGGAGCGTTGCGACGCAAAATTTGGAGCCGGGTATTGGGTATACGGCGAGTTAGCAGACCCCCTTATGGAACCGTCCACTTGCCTGCTCTGACAAATCTAGGCTTGACCGCGAAGCCCCGTCAAAGCCAAGAAGTATATCGTGCAATGATTGGCAGGGCGAGCGAAGCGATGCTGCCACAGCGACGAACTTTCCACAAGCAGCGGAAGACGAGCGCCAGGCTAAACGAAGATGTACTGATTTCAATGCCCTTGTGCAGAGCCGCAATGGGGTCAATGGCCAGACTCGCGATGGAGAGAACGGCCAGACTCCCGATGAAGAGAACGACCAGAGCCATGACGAAGAGAACGGCCAGACTCGCGATAGAGAGAACGGCCAGACTCGCGATAGAGAGAACGGCCAGACTCCCGATGGAGAGAACGGCCAGACTCCCGATGGAGAGAACGGCCAGACTCCCGATGGAGAGAACGGCCAGACTCCCGATGGAGAGAACGGCCAGACTCCCGATGAAGAGAACGGCCAGAGCCGCAGCAGAGAGAGCGGTCGGACTCACGATAAAGAGAACGTCCAGAGCTGCGATGGAGAGAACGGCCAGACTCCCGATGGAGAGAACGGCCAGACTCCCGATGAAGAGAACGACCAGAGCCATGACGAAGAGAACGGCCAGACTCGCGATAGAGAGAACGGCCAGACTCCCGATGGAGAGAACGGCCAGACTCCCGATGGAGAGAACGGCCAGACTCCCGATGAAGAGAACGGCCAGAGCCGCAGCAGAGAGAGCGGTCGGACTCACGATAAAGAGAACGTCCAGAGCTGCGATGAAGAGAACAGTCAGAGCCACGATGAAGAGAATGGCCTGAGCGATGATGAAGAGGCTGCGGAAAAATTGAAATGCCTTTTCTTAGCCAAATTGAAACTAGGGTTACGAAAGCTCAAAGAGGTACCTAAATCGACAGAAATCAAAGACCTCGGTCCTCAGCTTGCTTTATATGCTGCAAACACAGAGAAAGACGATGGAAAGTTGGTTGAGAAATTACTAGAGGCGGCCAAGAAGGTGCCGGCGTCAATCGGATGGCAGCTTTCTTTCCACCGTCTCTTTGTTTTGTACAGACGGCGCAAATTTGAACCAAGACACCTTGAGACGGGCAGCCAAGGTCGAGAGAAACCTCTGAAAAAAAAGGAGTCTCTTTGCGAATTTTTAGGATGCATTGTGAACCAATTAGAGTCCAAATGGGGCATATGTGCCAGTCTAGTATTCAATATTCTTGAAGGTAAGTCCAAGACCGCATTCCCTACGTCCACTTCTCGTCCACTTCTAACAATTGCAGAAACTAAATTTAAAGCATCCATGCTCCGCGATATGCGCAGAACGGCCAGAATACGTGCTGCAAATCTGATTACCGATGAGTTGTTAAAGATTGATCAGATTGTTCTTTGGCAGGGTACACAGGTGCTGAATCCTGTATTCTTTATTAGCTCTGTTATGGGTATACCGTATGCTATCCTATTCAATAACAACTGACAAGGCTGACGCACTATAGACCATATATCGCATTTGAGAACATTGGGATCGGAAATCTCTCTAAATACGATATTCAAAAGCCGATTGAATGTAATCAAAAACATTTGAGCGAGCTTGGTTTATACTGTGGAAAAATCCACTTGTGTACACTCCTTCAGGTTGGGTCTTTCAAGGAACGTCAAGCCCCGAAGTCAAATGGTAATTTGATTACCATCAATTTGTACGCCTCTGTTTTTTACACCTTGGAAGCTGCCAATTAACCATAAACAGCAAAGATAAAACCTACCATCTCCCCCTACTGGTTGCAGAACCAAACCAGGGATCACGCAGCTCTCTGTCGGTAGTAGTTGACATCGGCTCTGGCAGCGGCCCTCAAGAACACCATCCCACGGTCGATCCAGGTGTATCGGAGAACGGAGTCAGTGCTGCTCTCGCGAGTAGACACGTGATTGAATCTACCGTGGTATCAGCATTGAGTGGTGCAGGATTGGTCCAGGGGTCGCCACTCTCGTCGAATTTGAATAATCACGGGGAGAATAATCAAGCATTTGAAAACCAACATACATTTGGTTCCCCCGTTTCTACTATGGAAGGCCTTAACCAGCAATGCGCCTTGCCCCCAATATCAAGTTTCTTTCCGGGCCACGATGCTGAGAATCAAGCGCAACCTTCTATCTTCTCTGAAATACCAGTTGAAGATTTGGATATGTATGATGCTCCTTGCTTGTTGGGAGGTGCCAGCATGCCAAGCCAACACGGACCTCCAGAGAATAGTACCCTAGGTACAAGCAGCGGTTTAGACGCCGCGCAGGACCACGCTACACAAAATAACACCTCACAACACGATACCGCACAAGCTGAAACCGCACAGGTTGACACCGAACAGATTGGCTTGAACGTTCATATGCACGATTTGATGGACTTTGATACAGATTTCTTTTCGAGTTGGGAGCCTAGTTAGATGTACTCAACTGGTATCATTGTGAAGTAATACAAGAATCTGTTCCCCTCTTCTTCCTCAAAATCCACTTTCGTCCCTCCCATAATCAATAAACATTCTCCAGTCTTCCAGTTCAGATGCTGTGTGCCTTGCTTGGATATGATTGAGATTGGAGTTGTTGTTGAGACAAGGACACCCATCCCAATGTAACCAGGTTCTGTATGAAAGCCACCTCGATCTAGACCATACACTGATGGTCTAGACGACTGGGCCTTGCTAGGTTTTAGCTGTGCATCAGCAAGGAGTGCCTTAATATCGTTGGCCTAAACTCTTCTCGTTAGTGACTTGGAAGAAACGCTTGTATTGAGTAGTTCTGACCTTCTCTCGGGCTACTATTCTTGAAAATTCTGTACACGAGTCCGGGCTACCGTATAAGTACACATCCAGACCCCGGTTGATTTTCTTTGTTGGCGTAGTAGCGTGAATGTCACTCTGAACCTTGCTGAAGAGCTGCGTAGCTTCATCTGGCAGATCCAGCCTTATGTATGCGGCATTTGCCATTTCGTAGATGGTGCCCAAGTTGATTAAATATGCAATGCCTCATGTGCTAGAAGTGAGGGCATCTGATGTGTATTTATATTTTGAGAGATAGTCTAGCAGTCTGCGAACTGAAGCCGGGGATGACGTAGCCAAACTACACACGAGTTGGTGCCAGGTGTCAAATGTGAAGGAATCATGGATCATGGTTATGTAAGAGCCGATGTGCCCCGCCATTGATTCCAGCCAATCATATGCTTCACGGACCAAAAGGAGAGCTTCAGATGGAGAATGGCCAGTGTTATATTTCCAAGTAAACATCCTTCAAACTCAGGGTGAAGAAGATTATTTGCTCAAGGCTTAATTTAATTATATCCGAATTTATTTTCTTCTTCCGATAGCAATGTCTCGGCAACATCGCTCATGTCCACTTTCATATCATTTTCTCCAGGCCGATCACGACTCTTCGCTTTATTATCATTCGAGGCTTGATCATTCGAGGCTTATACCTCGGACTCTTCCTTCTCTCCATTGGCCCACTTGGATTAATTTGAGTCCATAATACTTGACTTGATTCCAACGGCGGCTACTTGAGAGGTGAATGGTGCGATGTAGGCAAGCTCGAGGGGTGCTGGAATATTCGGAATCATCGCAAGGATAACAACGACGGGTACTTCGATGCATTCGAGAACGATAAGCCATTTCCATCAACATTATTACTAGCCATGTCTCCCGCGACCATGAATGGTGGATCTTAAGGGAGGCGAAAAGACAAACGCAAGTTATTGAGGGGCTAGCCATCAAATAAGCCTCAGCCGTCTGGTGTTGTGGTCCATGGTTGTCGGATACAACAAGGCAATATTAGTAAAAAAGTAGCAGTGACGATTGGTTAGAGTTAGTGCGGAACCACGATGATGAGGGGACACCGGTTCTACTTATGCTTGCAAATAGGGTCGCACCAAGAATGACTTTAGACAGCAAGGTCAAGGTCTATCAAGAAGGCCGTCTAGGAAGGGTTCTTTTCGTCTTCATTCATCATGAGGTTGTTGGTAGAGATCTCTCTGTGGAGAAGGCCCACCTTGTGCAAGTGATGATGGCCGTCAATACAGCCTTCCAGCGCAGAAAGGAGCGCAACGCGGGAGCTTGCTTTATAGATTGGTTTCCCGTAGTCGCTAAGAATAACTCGCCGGTGCACCCAGTTTGGTGGTCGCTCGCCGCTTGTCTTTGTTGGAGACGTCGGACGGGATCGCTTAATCGGCGGTAGAGTAGCGTCAGCATCGCTGGATGGCCGCTTCACGCCAGCGCTGGTACTTCGCCCTTTGCGGGAAATAGATACGCTCGTACTGGACTGCAGCTTCGCACGTCCTGGTCGATAATTCGTGGCTTCCGTGACGTCCAGACCCTTTCGAATGTTTTGTTGAATATCGTCATTGGCACCTTGCCAGCCCAGCCGCCCTTCGGCAGCCATGCGGCGTGCAAGTATACTACTTCTGCTCTAGTCCGGCTGCTCTCTTCTATGCTAACAGTCTTTCTAGATGCACTTAGATAACGCTCAAATATTAGGTATATACTGTTTATTATTATCTATTGATTTCTTTTGAATCTATTCCTTTAGCATTTTACAGCGTCTTACCTTGCGCCGCCGCCTCTGCTCAACTTGATCTGATGTCCGTAGTATGATGCCATGTGCCTTCTGCATATGATTCCTAAAGCTATCTAGATGCGGAAATGAAATATCTCTACATTTTGAACCCTTAATCTTAGATTCAAATCAAGTCAGGCCGAAATCAAGGCATTTGCCACAGCAAGGGAAAACATTGGCGGATCTGCTTCACCGTAAGTGCAACTTTGTGTTTCGTATATATGCAATAATTTCCATGCCCCTCAGCATCAATGTAACGAGCCTATTCTTCCATACGGGAACTTCTTCCCGGTAAGTGGGCGTTTGGTGGTGGTAGAGGTCTGCTGAGGGGTCTGTTGGTAGGTCCGCGAGCAGGTAGAGACTGGTAACTGTTGTGCCGTCGGGCTGTCAATCGCCGAAAATACTGGTGCTAAGTAGCCGGAATAGCTGGCCTCCCATGAGAATCAGCGGGCCGCAAGACGATCGTCAAGCTCAGTATAAAGAGTCCGCATTGCACGTATAGTAACCTATCTAACAATCGAGCAAGTGACAATCCAAGCACAAGCAAGGATATCAGGCTGAAAACAATACCCGTTGTGAGTAAATAGTCAGCTAAGTGCTTGGTCGGACGCTCCGGGAGACCTTTAGATGCCTGCAGTATTGCGATGAAAGCCAGGGTCTGCGAGGTGAAGGGCACGATGTACGCGAGTTCAAGGGGAGCTCGGTTTTGTAGGCATAGAGCGCACACTGTAACGGCTAAAGCCTCGACGCATTCCAAAATCACAGCCCATTTCCACCATTCCCTTTTGACGTATGGAACTGCAAAGGGGTAGGTGATTGCGATGATCTGATCATGTTCTCAGAAGAATACTAGAGGAAGTTGAAGATTGGGACTCACTTGAATGTTGGTAACTCCACATATAGATAGAGTTGCCAAAGTAAGGCGTATAGAGTTTCTCAATATTTGCGGAAGGTTCGTTCTATCGCTATCATGCATGATACAGAGGACGAGGGCGGTGATTTCCAGAAGTGTCCATCCTGCCACCAGGAATCGAAACCATCTTTGCTCTAGCCAACGATCGCAGGACTTCAAGTAGACGAAGGTAGCAACAAATGTAATAGAGAGGCCAGATGTCACATAGACATCGCCAAGTTAATATGTAGAAGTAATGTCCATAGTAGTCTCAAGAGAGAACGCGTAGACTGGTCACGACTTATGCAAGTGTGAGGGGATCAGCCCATACTTATGCTCTGGTCAGAGCTGGGTACGGAGAGAGGTTCGGCGACGAGCGTTCCGCAGGCTCCGTTAAACAAAAGGACCAACGCAGCTTTGTGTGGAACCACGATGATGAGGACACCGGTTCTATTTATACTTGCAAATGGGCTCACACCAAGAATAGCTCCACAACATCAAACAGCGCGTGATTAATGAGACAAGAAGGCCAACACGAAGACGGTTATGTGCCTCACTCCCTCATGGGTTGTCAATCTCAGGGGTGGGAGGATCATGACCGACGGCGGATGAAAGCTGCGTTTTTCCAGGGACCTTCTACGCCCATATGATCAAGTGAATTAAATTGCACCTTAAATGCAGGAGCCTCTTGTGAAGTCTTCCCAAATGACGCTATCGAGATGGCCCTCAGGGCAATTACGGAGTAATGAATGTAGTATTGCTTAACCTTGATGGCGGCAGACTAAATACAGTAAGGTCTGGCAGACGCACTCTTGACTATTCCTTAACCCTCTTATTCTAATTGCATTCACTCCCACAGCCGTCCTTCAATGCCTCTTTCCCGGTCTGCTTTTCCTAGAGGAGACCATCCGCCCATTAAACACCAAAAATAGAATATAGGAAGGAAAAGAAAAGAACTATATTTAGTTCCCTTTGATGAAGTTTATCCCGTACTTGGCTTCTTCGCTTGGTGGCAATGGCTCAGAAATAGTGCTCATATCAATCCCTCCTCGCTGCTCTGGGTTGTCTGCCTTAGTTGTCGTTAGGTTTGAAGTTAATAACTTTAGGATTGCTAGACTCGCCTTGGCCTAAATCAATCCCAGTAGGGGTGCTTGGGGGAGTTCGAGGAGGCTGCTGCTGGTCTCTCTCTTCTCCTCCTGGGAGGTTTGTGGCATTATTGTTCCTTTCAATTCCTCCTGGCTGCCCTAGGAGGTCTTCCATAGACGTGGTATTCTCCATCCCAAATGGATAATCGGAGGGTGTCAATGTACCCACGTCTACATGGCCTGAGGAAGACTGAGGACGAGGAGAGGAATTATCGATGCCGTTGGTTTCCTTGTCATTGTTCTCCGTACCCTGAGATAGTTTTATAATTAGCTTGAGCCACCTAGGATGCATACAATCATACCTCGAACGAATGAATTGTTGCGCTGCCTCTAGACTCTACATCTGTTAAGAGTTGACTTATAGAGATTCTATTGTTATCATGAGCAGGGGAGGATCGTGAAATGGGCCATGGTGCTATGTCGGGCTGCCCTAGGATGCCTTCCGTAGACGTTGATCTATCTATCTCAGTTTGTGGCGGCTGGGATGGCGGCTGGGGAGGAGGCTCTTCTCCATTAAGTTGTCCAGGCATAGTAAGAATCTGATTGGCTCGTCGTAAGGTCACCTGGTTGTATCGTGATTGTTGTAGGACAGTCAGAATGGCTTGTGAGATCTGGGCTGAAACGGCACAGTGGGGTAGGAATGTGTCAATGTTCAATGATGCAGACAACTTGCAGTAATATGGTTAATTATGATCGACTTCCTGGCATGGTGACTTTTTGGGCAAACAAAGGGGAATTGTTGCTCTTCTTATATGTTACGACCCATTCATCTAGTAATCAGTCGTCCAAAACAAACCTGCCCATGTATAGGATGACTGCAACCTCGTTTCTTCCAGTTTGACCTGCACCTTGATATAGACTAGATCAAAATAGTTCCGTCAGGGGTGGTGAGTGAGTGATTGGGCAATTCCTCAATTCCGCGAACGAACTTCTGACGTGGTCAGCGTTACGCTAAGGTTACTGCATGGCCGCGGCCACCCTTTACTCGATTGCATGTATGCATGTTATCCTTGTTGAAGCCAACGTGCCATTATTTAGGAAAGCGTCACACTTCTCTACTAGGGGGCTGACTATTCATTGAACAGACTAGTCAATTCGGCCCTGAATTACTTATCCCACCCAAGTACTAAACAGGCCATGGCCACGATCAAGCTGCGTACATTCTGACCGTTCGATAATCATACAAGATCCAAGCGAGCTCGATCCGTAATCTCCATTTGAGGAGATAATAACCATCACTCCTCCTTGCATGCTGGCCAGTTCAGGAAAGACCGGCACGGATGAACGGGGTGGCTTCCAGACTGCAGATGGGCAGCTGTCCCTGCAAGCCATGTTCAAGTTGTCTGTAGATTAGGTAGATCAGGCATGGCCTATTGACTCGAGAGTGCTGAAAATTCACCCACTCAGAGTATCAATCCATATCTCAGATTGCCGGGAGCAGGGTTACAGCTTCCGTAGCCTCCCTTGTCCTGCTCAACCTTCCCCGGTGATCAGCGGGTTGGTTAACCCCTACTCGTAGTTACCCCCATCTGTGGTTACCTCCATCTGTGGTTATCCCACTCTGTGGGGCATCTATTATTATCATCATTTATTTATTACGCTCGGGAGAACGGATCTCATACTACGCTAAGCTCGGACCACCCAATATAACCCCATTTTTCTTACCAGCCCCTCTCTTTTCTAGTTGGATCTGGCATCAAGTTTCTTTTTGCCGGGACATTTATACGCCTAATCCGCACGAGAGTTTTGATGTTATGTTTAGTGCTCGCCGAGGCCTCGACCCCTGAGAGTTTGGATGCACTTTCGTCAGGGACGGTGCCGAACGAGGTTGGGTAAATCTGCTGACTGCTCTACAGAGCGGCCCCTCGACCCACTTAAAATGTGGCAGTTGAGAGATGCGGGAGTGGCCGCGATATCTCATCAATAGCGCACAATTTTAAACTTATATAGATCAATAAATCGAATCTTTACTACGAGTGTCATCAACCGGCTTTTTGGATATTCGTGGAAGACAAGCAAGATATTAATGTGGGGGAAGCACGCTTGCAAAGTCATGGCTTAATATGTATTTACTCCTCGCTTGGACAATTAATTTACGCCTGTTTTTCGTGGGTCACTGGAGTTGGCCTAGAGCTGGATTGTATCCCTGTCTACAAATCCCCACACATGTGATGATCACGAAATATCTTGAGCATGGTGCATCTGCATCAGCTTAATTACAAGGGCTCCGCCGTGTTGAAAATGAAAGGCAAAGCAGGCGAGATGATAAGCGAGAGCACATTGATACGGTTTGGTTCTAGGTGGGTGGGCGTGACATTAAAACTTCGACCTGAGAGGCGCTTATATGCTCAAGTACCTAAGGCTAGCGGCACTGGACGCGGCGGTATGGGCGAACCGCAGGCCACAACTAGCCGTAAATGCTTTCTTTTTGACGTAGGTCGTGGCATGGCGAGCTGGGACGGCCAGATCGTCGGACTCGGTACTATACGATGCCGTGTTGTCCTTGCGCTTGAGAGGTTGCATGAAGGAGGGAACCGTTGGCTCAAACGCGCATAGTGTAGGAGAGAGCACAAAGGACAAATACCCGAGACAATCGTTAGCCCACTCCAGAACAGGGCCCAAGGCTCACTAGGATTGACAAATCTAGACAGTGCTATCCATGGCGGATTGGACGCAATGTGTTTGGAACAATACATTACAGCGTCACCGCTCGTGAATCTGCTCCACAAGACTTAACTTGTGACGGAAGGACAGGTGGTTCGTATTCCCTTCTCGCAATCATTCCAATGCCGAATCTGGTCGGATTTACGTCATTGTTGGCTCCCCGATAAGGCCAGAGACACGGCGACATTAGTTATTTGATTTAGATATCATCACAAACTCATGTTCACTTTAGGGACATATGTCTTAATCTCGCTGGTGCATTTACGCATTATTTTTGGAGGGACAAATGGGAGTTGGCCGAACCCGGAGGTACCAGCGTGTCGCTCGTGTTCAGAGCTGATTGAACAATGGGAAGTTGCAAACCTAAGGCGGCAATGTTCTTTGTAGCCATGACGAAGTTGGTTCAGAAAGCGAAGCGAGAGATTGTCGGAGATGTGAGCCGAGTATGAAAGTGGAAATACCCTTCTTAGAAGGAGAGAGCATCTGGCATTATTATGTCTCTCAAGGGCACCAGTTCCAGATCAGTTTTGAGCTCTACCATGTAACAAACGGGATGTTTTATCACACCCAGCCAAAGTGCCTACGCCCCATGGACGAGCTCGTGGACAAGTATCACCGATCGGAAGTGAGTAGGATGCTTCGAGCAGCTAGATACTAATAAACCCGCTGGAAATGGGGTGACCACGAGTCCCATAACAATCAGGGTCACCGCGAAGCTGGGACACCTTGAGCCCCACCCAGCAGTATGATACCACAACTTGCAGTTACCTCGACTCCCACTAAGACTGCGGTACCCACGTGCCGTTTTCTAAAATGGGAGGAGAGGCCCGGACGGAAGCTTACAAATAACGGATGAACCTCGGCATAAATCTGGCTCGCTGAGTCATCAGATTTCGGTATTACATTGGTCAGGAATTTCCAGTTTTTCCGATGCCAAAGCTTTTCCCCGCTAATAGAGAAAAGAAAAAAAGGCCAGGAAGGTGACGATGGCATCTCCAGCATAACAGATTTAGTAAAACGACTCGTTTCGCCGATGACGTCAAATTCCTTCTCGCTCGACAACGCGAAGAGATCTCTCCATGAGGACGGTTTCTTCGAACTGTCCGGCCCAGATGTGGGGACACAAATTGCAGAGATGGAGGAGAAACACTTTCCCTTCCTGACGCCCTACGGCCTGACCTTCCTCAAGACGCTAGTTATAGACGATACGGTAAGAGAAAAGGGACGCTACTCGTAACCAGCTAATGCTCTATAGCGTATTCGGCATATTCTCGAAGCGTCCTTCGAAAAGTGTACCCTGGGACACTGGTTGAGATATAGGGCATTACCAGGTCATATCGAATCCTACTTTCGAAACGACCGAGATCCAGATAATCCTGATGATGCTGGTCTACATGGCCTTGCCGTTCAGTTGTGGGCAAAAGGTTCGGCCGTAAGGTATTACCGCGGCTCACATCTATTGAGTTTCCCTACCGAGGAAAGTGAACGACGCTTGTACGAAACGTCCAAGGACGCCATGGATGAGGCAGGGTGCCCTGCTGAGGATATAACTTTCCCATCGGGCGGCTTGTAGGCAAGCACACCATGTTGAAAAGGAAGTGTACTGACATAGTGCAGGGTTGTACTCGATGCTCGAACGAGGTTTGAATCACGGGAGGGATATAAAATCACTGGCATCTTTGTGACAGATCAAGTGTTGCAAGAATGGCCTCAAATTGTCCTTCAAGACTCTAAAGAAACGACAGAGATGGCCAATAGCATGCAAAGTGAGAGAATTAGGGTGAACTTTTACATCAAACATATGACTAGCAGTACACAGACGTAAATGTGGCCTTCTATAGCATGTTACCCCCATGTCCCGGTCCGTATGTTCCCCACGTGTTTTGACTGAACTCTGGAAAGTATGGGCTGGAACTAAATACACGTAAGAGAGGCGCATCGATACTTCTAGGGGGGGCAGGCACTTGGTTGGAGTATGTAATGCTGGCAAAGTCGATCAAATTAACACCAGTAGTGCCGTGCCCGCCGTTCGAGACTGGCGCGAATTCCGTGATCGGATGCGTGGAGGGAACTGAAGCGCCCCGATCCAGAGTCGGGGCAGCTTGCCCAGTACTGTCAACTGTTAAAGGGCTTTGTGTACTTGCCACGTTCGGATCAACCAACTTCACTCTTTGAACCGCCGGCACGTCTGAAGCTTCTCCCGCCCACAATCTTTTCCTACTTTTATTCTCAAGGGATTGTTCTTTTCCGAGCTGTTCTTTGACGAGGCGGTCGAGCTCATCATACTTCGTTTGCATGTATACAGCTTCTGCACTGCTTCGGTCTTCGTTCTTATGGTTGCACTCCCAATGTCTAATGAACTCGCTTGCTAGGTTAAACACCTTTACGGGTTTGAAACAAAAGGTGCACAATGCTTTGCACGACACGTCTGTAGACCACGCATTAGTGAGCGGTCCCGTACCGTTAAAAAGTGTGGTTGAAATATACGTAGTTGAAAGTGCCGTCGTAGTTTCTGCTGGGTTGGGAATGGCTTTTCCCTCCGTGGACATCCTATACGAGGACAGGGCTTGCCAAATGTGACCTCGATGGTAGGAGTGTCGGCATTGTAGTCGTAATCCTGATCATTGTCATCGGGGACTCTCGAGTGCGTCTGGCACTTCTCGAGCTGGGAAAAATGGTAATCTGCTTGGTTCTGGGGACGTCAGTTATGCAACGGCATGTTGTGGGCGTACTGACCGATTGTTCTTCAATGTGCTCGCCCAATTTGTCGCGTGTCAAGAAAAAGGCACCGCAAGCACATTCGTGGTTCTCGCCTGACATGTTGTCAACTGAGGAGAAGCAGGGAGAGACGTGGACCACCGACGCCATTTGGCCCAATTATAGTCGGGCGCACGGACCATACGTGGTCCTCAGGCAGTTGGTGGGCAGGAACCGGCCTACTTAAATAGCCTCGAAAGGCCCCAAAAGAATTCATCAATGTTGCCGAGCATTCCCTCCGAAGTCACCTATTCCGCTACCCACCCTCACAGCGATGGCTAACAACAACGTATGCGAGACCTGCCAAAACGAAGGGACAGTTGGATTTGCATGCCCTACCTGCGGGAGGCGAAAGTCTTAAGACATAATATGATGAATCTGGTAAGCACAAACGGGAAATAATTGTCTGTGTGTTATCCTAGCAGCGTGTTGACGCCTTCGTAAAGGAAGTATTTTGTGCGTTTGAGCACGATATATGGCCGACGCAGTTCTGTTTCCCGTTTCAACAGGCGCGATGCACTATTTGCAGTGGCGACCCCTACATAGGATGGCTGAACTGAGGTCATTTATTTCTGTCGCTTGGCTGGCTGATAAAGAATTGTTCGATTTGGTGTTTGCGTCATTTAGGCATAGCGTATAGGCGTGGCTATGCATTACGTATTACCGATGATTCCCCGTACCGTTTTCTCTCTCGAGTGTCATTTAGAACATCCCCCCCAACGGAGGTACCTTCAGTCTCTACCCAGCCATCGGCTTTGCCTGTGTGGTTGCCCTCCTCATGCCCCCAGGATCCTATGGGTTCTCTATTTGTTTGTGCTTCTGTTTTGTTGCCTCCGACTGGGTTCCTATGTGGTTGTGTGTTTGTTCCGTGTGTGCAGCCTCTAACGATGTTGGTCATAACCGTCAACTGCTTCATGTAATGCAATGTTTCCGCTCGTGGAACGCGCTATTCGATGTGAAGCGGATCGACCGACGCAAGGAGCGCAGCCGGCCATTTCAATTCCTACACACAAAAGCGACGAGAAAAGCGCACAGGAGAGTGCTGTTTAGCTAACCGGTTCGGACGATAGCGTAGTAAGCGCGCCAAAACATTGGGCGTAGTCGGTTCCCCGCTTCGGCATCATCGGGCTAATCCCGCTGCGACCAGGTGGCCCACCGTTCTAGTAAACACGTGACCTGTCGCGTCTACGATAGTTTTGTTTGCCTTCCCTACCAACCTCAATCTTCATCACGTCTGCGTTCCTATCTAACTACACAATGGTTCTAGCACAGCAAGCGATCGATATCATTTTGAAGCGCCCACTGAACGATACGCTCGAGCACTGTCGACGCAAATTAGGCGACTTGCACGATACTAAGCCGCGCCAGGAAGACGTTGCGAGCATCCTGGGAGCTTTGGTCGTGTCTCCCGTGGCATTCAGCCTCATCTCCCCTGATGGAAATGGCAGTATAGCAGCCAGACTTCTGTCAATCGCACAACTTGTTCGAGGAGGGGGCACGGGCGCGGATCTCGATCACTTCCGCCCGCTTGTCCGCCACGTCGCCGCCAACTCCCCCGACATCGACATCTGGTCAGCCGTCTTCGATCTCATCACTACCCTCAGCCCTTCCACGCCCCCTCCCTCCAACATCGGACCGACTTTCAATGGGACACCTGTCAAATCGAGCTCGAGCCGACTAGCCGACAGCGAGACGCGCGAGACCATCGAGAGAGAGCTTTTCTACGAGATCAAGGACTGCACCTTCCGCAATGTTGGACGTTTCTGCGACAAGTTTTTCAATCCAAAAAACTGGTGCAAGGAACAGAGGGCGATGCTGGAGGCGGTGATGGCAGAGCACGACGGCAAGAAGTGGATGGGATTCCCGACCATTCCCGACGAACAACCTGTCTGGGCTTGGCTTCGCTCACTCGAAGAGCTCGCCTTAGCCGACACACCACACAAGCTCTATACCACCAAGACAGCCCACCAGTTCAAGGAAGGGAATGGCCAGATGGACATTTTCTTCCAGACCCCAGCTACGAAAGCGAGCGATAAATTCGAGCACAAGGACGTTCTTGTAGTCGGCGAGCAGAAGAAGTCGTACGACAGCAGTCGATTCAAGGCGGACCTCCTCCAGCTTACGCGTTACATACGAGACATTTTTTACGACCAGCCGACACGCCGATTCGTCCATGCGTTCACACTCTGCGCTTCCATGATGGAGCTCTGGGTCTTTGATCGATCTGGGGCGTACAGCTCGGGGCCATTCGATATTCACGACAAACCTGATATGTTTGCGCGTGCTCTCGTCGGCTACGCCACGATGGACAATGAGGCCATGGGGTTGGATTTGTTCATCGAGCGGGAGACAGATGCAGAGAGCAAGGAGCATCGCCACGTCACACTGGATGACGCAAACGACAACGCAACGAGAATCAGGCTGGTGCAGGCAATGGTGAGGCAGAAGGCAGTCGTGTGTCGTGGGACGACGTGCTTTAGGACCGGAAGCAACCACGTCGCCAAGTTCTCATGGGCATCGGACAAGCGGAAGCTAGAGGTAGAACAGCTGAAGCTGGCAGAAAAGAGGGGCGTCAAGGGGGTGGCGAGGGTCGTGGCGCATCGCCAGATCACCACCATTGCCGAGCTGCGGGAGGGTCTCGACTTTCAAGAGCGACACAAGTTCCGGAGTGAAGAAGCCAGCTTCGAAGATCCGCCGTCGGTCGCGAAGAGCACAAACAGGTCGAGCAACAAGCGGAAGTCGTCGTCTGATCACAACTCCGATGCGTCCGGGTCTAAGAGGCGGCGGTCCAACAGTCAGAAGAAACTGGTCCAGAAGCTGAGTAATGGGTTGTCAATCGGCAAGGTCAAGCCAAGTCTGTACAGCCGCAGCGAGGATCTATGGGAGAATAGGGTTTATTCCTGCCTCGTCATCTCACCAGCAGGCCGGGTGATCAGCGACTTTAAATCGGTTAGGGAATTGCTGGAGTCAATGCGGGACGCGATTAGGGCACACCAGTCACTTTACAAGACGGGCAACATTCTCCATCGTGATATTTCATCAAACAACATAATAATCACGGAACCGGATACAGCAGATGGTTTCAGGGGTATGCTCATCGACCTTGACCTGGCGAAGGTTAGGGACAGCAGCCCAAGCGGAGCACGGCACCAGACAGGCACAATGCAGTTCATGGCTGTGGAGGTGCTGCGTACGGCTGACCACACCTACCGGCACGATTTGGAGTCGTTCTTCTACGTGTTACTCTGGATGTGCGCCCGCCAGTCATGGAGTAATGAATTTGCTAGCAAAGAGAACCGACCTAAGGAGAGTCTTCTTCGGAGATGGGAAATCGGCAGCTTTAAGTATATTGCAGCCGCCAAAGAAGGCGATATGACTGTAAACGGCCTCGAGAGGATCATGGGTGAATTCCCAGATGCGTTGGATGTTGTAAAGCCGCTATGCCTGAAGATTAGGAAGGTTCTCTTCCCCCTGGACAACGAGGAGAGGATCAGCTTCGGAACACCTGCGGGAGACCCGGACCAACTATATGCACCCATTATAGCAACTTATGATGAGGCAATCCGCAATTTGTAGGAATCCGTGTAGTTTTCCAGCCAAACATGATCTCGTGAAATGCCTCACGAAACCTAGAGTACCGAAAACACAGACTGTCTCACAATAGGGAATGGCTGGTAGTGGTTAAGCCAAATGTTTTAGTGTACCCGCTAACATGGGAGAATTGATAAAGATACAGCAACGTGCTCGCGAACTCCTCCGATTCACCGGTGGCGCCTCACCTCCGGTGCCCGGCAAGAAGTTGCATTCATACGCCGCTAAAGTCAGTGACTCCGATCTTGACGCCATTGTCGGCTTATCACAAGATATCGCGTTCATATAATCGTCGCTTTTACGATGATCGTTCGATTGATTACAGAATTTCCCGGGGTCTGAACATGAAAGTCTTGCAAAGTCGAGGCAGGCGTCGTGCTACCCTGTTCTAGCCTCGAGTAGCCGCTGAGACGGAAAGAGCAACCACTAAAAATAGCAAATATAGGATGATACTCCTCGTCCATATTAATGCGGTTCAACCGTGGGAAGTAACGCATATGCTAGCAAACAGGTCCATACGAGGGGTGTCTGTGGAGTTACCTGCGTTCACCGAAGCGTACACAGGATGGAGGCTGTACGGCATCAGCCATATGTGCATGTGCAGTGGGGAAGATCCATAGTACTTGCGTTGTGCTCGCCCGGCGCGCCATCGTTATAACAGTACTTAGCTATTGGCGACCTGTACCTGCGATCGCGTTGACGCGAGTGCGTTTGTTCATCTGTTGTTGCTCCATCAAGCGTTAGCTTTCGGTCACGGGAATTGTTGCATGTTGATTAGACAGTGCTAACCTGATTGGCTGGCGTGCGTGATTTGCGGTGCATTTCATCGCGGGGCCTTCCCCGTTGTTTTCCCGGAAACAAGCCGACAATCTCGTTACGCCGTGTCCTTCAAATCGTATGACATACGTTCGCTTGTCTGCGTTCGTCAATCCCCACCTCCTTCCCCGCTCGATGACGACCGCCGAACATGTCAGACCCCCAGCTCTACACCGTGGGCTGGATCTGCGCTATCGCTACCGAGTCTGTCGCAGCTCGAGCCTTCCTCGACGAAGAGCACGACGGACCTAGCCACGTCGCTCAGCACGACAACAACAGCTATGTTCTCGGCAAAATTGGCAGGCACAACGTCGTCATCGCCGTCCTGCCGGATGGAGAGTACGGCACTACCTCGGCGGCGGTGGTAGCGCAGGGTCTCATTCACAGCTTTCCAAACGTGCGCATCGGGCTGATGGTGGGCATCGGGGGCGGCACACCCAGCTCAAAGCATGATATACGTCTCGGCGATGTGGTTGTCAGCAGCCCTCATGGTGGCAAGGGCGGCGTATTCCAGTATGACTTTAGCAAGACGATTCAGAACGTCGCGTTCCAAGAAACGGGGTTCTTGGCCCAACCCCCGATGGTATTGCGGACGGCTATAAGCTCCCTCAAGAGCACCTACGAACTACGGGGCCACCATCTTGCAGACGAGGTGGAACGGGCCTTGAAGTGCATCAAAAAGCGAAAGAAGTACGCACGACCCGCTCCAGCACGCGACAAATTATACAAGCCCGGCGCCGTTCACCCGATAGCAGCCAACAGTTACGACGATACATGCGATATAGCTTACCTAGTGGCCCGGGACGATCGAGATGAGGAAGATGACGATCCCGCCATACACTACGGTCTGATCGCTAGCGGAAATCAGTTAATGAAAGATACACGGATCAGGGACAAGCTGGTAATAGATAAAGGAGTCCTCTGCTTTGAGATAGAGGCAGCCGGCCTGATGAACCACTTTCCATGCCTGATAATCCGTGGCATATGCGACTATTCCGACTCGCACAAAAACAAGGAGTGGCAGGGGTTCTCTGCCATGATGGCGGCAGCATACGCGCGGGACCTTCTGCGGCAGATCCCGCCAAACAAGGTCGAGGCGGAAAGACCGATTTCCGAGGCCCTCCATGCTAGTCAGTTTGCAAATCCTTTGTATTCGCTCTATCTAACTCGGCGTAGTTAAACACAAAATCGACAGGCTGCAGCAGACCACAGCGGCAACGAGCGCTGATCGACGTACCGATAAGATCGAGCGATGGCTTCGCCCCCCCAATCCGTCCACAAACGCCAACCATGCGAGGAAGCTTCACCATGAGGGAACAGGCGTGTGGCTTCTGGAGCACCCAGTCTTCCAGGATTAGTACTCAGGCTCGCGTCGACATTTATGGCTGCACGGGCTCGCGGGATGTAGCAAGACTATCCTCAGTACAACTATGCTAGATCATCTCGCAAAGCGAAACGGCCGTCTTATCCTCAGCTTCTTCTTCGACTTTAGCGACGAGGCAAAGAAAACTGTGGACGGCATGCTGCGGTCGTTTGTCTTGCAGCTTTATCAAGGGGAGACTGATTCTGCGCGTGCCCTCGACGCCTCATTCCAAGCACATCGAGATGGCCGCGACCAGCCTTCGACAAAAGCACTCTCGGATACTTTGTTCACGATGCTCGCAGCTCAAGAGCAGGTTGTTATCGTTCTGGACGCATTAGACGAGTCGACATCGAGGGATGAGCTTCTCCGCTGGATCAAGGACACAGTGTCCAGGCAAGGCCTCAGCCCCATCCAACTGATATGTACCAGTCGGCCTGAACGCGACTTCCAGTTTGATATGCCCTCCTTAATGGGCGAAGAGAACAGCTTAGCACTCGATAAGCAATCCGTCAACGTCGATATCCGATCGTACATTACAGCACAGCTTTCAGAGCGGCGCGATTTTCGGGACAAGCGCTTATCCCCAGAAATCCGCGACGAGATACAGCGAAAGGTCGGAGACGGGGCCGACGGCATGTAAGACAATACTACATCAATCAAAGTGTTGATACCTTTCTGACAGCGTGTTTAGGTTCAGGTGGGCATTTTGTCAATTGGACAGCCTGGCCCGGTGTCGTCACGAGGCGGCGATTGTGGACGCTCTCGCATCTTTGCCACCGGACCTGGCAGTCACATACCGGCGTATGATTGAAAGTATACCGACAGAGCTCAAGATCGACGCGATGCGGCTCCTGCAATTTCTAGTGCATGTGGAGCGACCACTCACGCTGGCGGAGGCTAAGGAAGTGATAGCCACACAGATCGAAAACGAGCCGCGACGGTTTGACGTCAAGCGTCGACTATATCGCGACGCCGACGTGTTGGACTACTGCCCTAGCTTAGTGACAATCGTTCACGCCACCGATGATGAACTACACCTTGCCCACTTTTCCGTCAAGGAGTACCTGCTCAGGGAGAACAAGTTCAATATTATAAATGCGAGTAGTTCTATTACGAGCACGTGCCTTACGTATCTTACGGATATCAAGGGCAGCCATCCGGGGATCAAGCAGGATTTTCCGATGGCAAGATGTGCGGCCGAAATCTGGACACGTTATGCTGTCTTCGCTCAAGCGTCGAAAGATGTAGCTCGAGCGATAGTCAATTTCCTTGAAAATGAAGAGACTTTCCAGCGATGGGCTTGTTTATATCAACCTGATAGGGCTTGGGACCGTGATCCAGGCCTACCACGAGGTTCTCAGCTTTACTATGTCTGCTACGAAGGGCTCGTGGAGCCTGCGCGAGGTCTTATCGCCCAGGGAGCCGACGTTGTCGCGCGGGGTGGCGAGTGCGGTAACGCCCTACAGGCCGCCTCATTGAGAGGTCATCAAGAGATTATCAGACTGCTATTAAATAAGGGAGCCGATGTGAATGCGCAGGGCGGCCTGTTTGGCAACGCTCTCCAAGCCGCCTCATGGAAAGGCTATCAAGATATTGTGGTACTGCTGTTGAAGAAGGGGGCCGATGTGAATGCGCAGGGTGGCGAATATGGCAACGCCCTACAGGCCGCCTCATGGAAAGGTCATCAAGAGATTGTAGTACTGCTGTTGAATAAGGGGGCCGATATGAATGCGCAGGGCGGCTTCTTTGGCAACGCCCTACAGGCCGCCTCATGGAAAGGCTATCAAGATATTGTGGTACTGCTGTTGAAGAAGGGGGCTGATGTAAATGCGCAGTGCGGCGAATTTGGCAACGCCCTACAGGCCGCCTCTTCTGAAGGCCATCAAGAGATTGTGATACTGCTGTTGAATAAGGGGGCTGATGTGAATGCGCAGTGCGGCTTCTTTGGCAACGCCCTACAGGCCGCCTCATGGAAAGGCTATTAAGAGACTGTGGTACTGCTATTAAATAAGGGAGCCGATATGAATGCAAAGGGCGGCAAATATGGCAACGCCCTACGGGCCGCCTTATGGGAAGGCCATCAAGAGACTGTGGTACTGCTATTAAATAAGGGGGCCGATGTGAATGCGCAGGGCGGCTTCTTTAGCAACGCCCTACAGGCCGCCTCATAGAAAGGCCATCAAGAGACTGTGGTACTGCTGTTGAATAAGGGAGCCAATGTGAATGCGCAGGGCGGCCTGTTTGGCAACGCTCTCCAAGCCGCCTCATGGAAAGGCTATCAAGATATTGTAGTACTGCTATTAAAGAAGGGGGCCAATGTGAATGCGCAGGGTGGCGAATATGGCAACGCCCTACAGGCCGCCCCATGGAAAGTCCATCAAGAGATCGCGGCACTGGTTCAAAAAAGATTGGCGCGATTACATTATCGAAGCGGCCCGGTTATAGGGCTCTGAGCAAACTAGTGAAGAAGCCACGTCTTTCGAACCCTGAACCTGCTCATTAAATTTAATAATTCATTTAGTTATCTCTTCTCTAGGGTTCATCTTTTGCCCAGCTTTAGGCCCTATCAGTTTTGTTTGGCGTAGTCGCAAATCGTGATAGGCAAACAAGAGGACTACTTTACGTTGGCCTGTGACGAAGGAAAAGGAGACTTACATCAACACGGTGAACCATCGTCCACGAGTTCATCTCGTTATTGTGACAGGAGCCGACAGACGAGACAGAAGGTTAGAAACTCTGCTCTATCGCGTCATAAGAAACAGCACCAACCCCGCCGCCAAACCCAGCTGATGCACCAACACCCTGACGCCCTCGACCACCTTGAGCCCTTACTAGTCTAGTTGATCGGGCAGTGTACCCAGCAGCCCGCGGTGACTCTTGGGGTTAGTATTTATGTATTACCATATCTCATATTTTTTAGTCTCAAATTATCGTGGCTGGGGTCACAATATGGTTTTGCATTCGTTTGTTTCTCTGGTCGTAAGCTGTAGGTCTAGACGGAAATTCGCTAAGCAAGCATACGGCGCCAGAGGATATTGATTGATCAGACACATTTAAGACGAAGCTCCTCTCGGCCACCGGGCTCTGTATACTCGTTACATGATTGCACATAATTCCTAGCGTTGGTATACTCCGAGTAGCCGTCAAAGTACCTTTTCAACCGAAACAGTCAAAACCAATTAGTGGAACAATACTCTCTCTCAAGAAGAGAAATAAAGACAACCAACAGTCCACCAGCCGAACTCTACCGAGACTTGAATGGTAGAAACCTCCCAGTTCGATGCATACTGTTAAGGTGGTTGATCAAATCAAGCCCTAAAGTCCATTGTGCCGTATCCGACAGGCAGAATGGGCAAAAATATATGGATCTACCACCCACAAGCCTAAGACCCTCGATGCCCGGGGGTCAATTATGCACCCGCACAAACCCATCCAGGTAGTCCCTCAGTGGCCCACGAGGGAACATGGGCCAGTTCTTCTGGAGGGCCCGTTCCTTCTCCGACTCCGGGACTGATTGCGCCGCCGGGTTCACCGCTTGGTTGACGTTGTTGAACGGGAGGGCGGTCTGCTTAGGCGGGCCCAGAAGTTGGCGGACATCTTCAGGGCTTGGGAGGCCACCCATGGCGGGCGTGGTGGGTGAGGTGGAAGATGCCGAGAATGGAGGGGTGATGTAGGGGCTGGGCCCAGGAGCCAAGAGTACCTCAGGGCCTGCTTAGCCGCCATTTGTTGGTGTGGAAATAGGTGGCCCTGCGCCACTCATTGGAGATGTTTGAGGTCGAGCTTGGGTTTGTCTTGATCGAACAGGGCGAAGCTGGATGCTGGGAGTTCGACGAGCACAGGGCCGAATCACCGGATGCGAATTCGGTCTGGGGACAGCAATTGTTGGGGATGGCGTCCAAGCTTGGGATTGAGGCTGGATCTGCGGCTGGATCTGCGGCCCAGCCTGTGTCTGCACACTGGCTTTAGATGAAATATGAAGTCTTTGCAGAGAGTGAGGTGGTCCCTGAGGCTGAGGTAGCACTGGACTGAAGGACTGGACTAGGCTGTGGGAGTGAGTCTGGGACTGCGGTCCCGCCAATTTCTGAGTTTGAATGGGAGACTGTAGTGGTTTCTGAGGACCAGGATAGATTTGTGTCGGAAAACGGGGTTGTAGCTGAGGTTGCGGCTGATCATGGTGCTGAGCTGACACATATAGCCAAGGTTGACTATGAGCTTGGTCTCGAAATTGAGAGTTTGAGTGAATATAATATTGCATCTGAGGGACGGTTAGTACATGAAGGTCAGGTCTTATCCTGGGCTAAGAAGCTGTAAGAGGCGGGTGCTATATCTCCGGTCGGGGCTAAGAATAAGATCCAGCCTGCGGCTGATATTACATCTGGGTCTGACGAAAACTGTGTCCAACTTATGGGGTGCAAAATATCGGTGTTTCAAACCGTTCTCGAGATGGAACCTGGCCCTAGGGTTGATACCCTCGATTGTTACTGGGCCCCGCTGGGGGGTCGTTTGTCATTTCTTGGGGCATGTTGCCATAGAGTCGAAGCTTTCCGACCTGGTGGCTTTGCGTGTGGGAGCTTTGGCTGCTGGTGGTGAGCGTGGGGAATAAGCTCCCGACCGGTGAGATTATTAAGTCTATGACCTGGGCCTGAGCTGTGATTGCTGAGCTATTCTTAGGAGGCGTCATCACCTTTCCCGGTCTACCCGGTCGAGTAGATAGCCAAGGGCCATTAGCAAGCTGCTGTGGCCCCTCTATATTTCCCACTGCATGCCTGGCATACTGGCTCCCAATAGATGAGGTGTTAGAAACTGCATAGCAAAGCTCCATTTCTTGCTGATAACGGACTTCTCTTGCTGTGGATACGTTTTAGCTCCCAGGGGTTTTGCCTGGAGTCGGGGAAGTAGGAATAGGCTGTTTCTCTGCATTGGTTGCAAGTCGCCCTGGGCCAAGTTCATCAGACGCAGCTTGGTTCTCTAAAGGATTTCCAGGGCCATCACCCATCGTATCTCTTGTCAATGCCCTCGGATTGCCGTGGGATATATCTTTCACCAGCTGTTCGCCCTCACCGCTTGAATCGGGTGAGGTGCTCTGGATTGAGACTGCTCTCGTGATGATGGGTGGTGGACTCTGGCTTCTTTTCTCGCTGGAGGGCATTTCTGTTGGTCCATCTCCAAATTCCGCATGGCTCAAGTACGATTCACAGGCGGCCGCCCCAGTCGGGACTGTAGTAGCACCGTTTAGGGACGAGCCTTGTATTGTTTTATCGTTAGAAAGAACGGGTGTGTTTTTAGACGTCGATTGTTGACTTGGACTATGCTATTCTAACGGTCCGGGGGAGCGATCCATGCTCGCATCAATTCCTTTTTGAGGCTCGCTCAATCGATTCCCGCTTTAACGTATACTAGGCGAACTGATGCCACTTGTTCCCGAAAGGCCATTGTTCTGGATGTTTTCAGCATCCAAGGTGAGCGGGTCATCGTCTTAATTCTCTCCTCGATCTGTTTGGCTATCGAGGCCAGCATCTGGTCTTTCTTCAACATCACCCCCTTGCTTGGATATATCATCGGGTTCAGTATCTTTGCCATCAGCTCTAGGGCTCGCGCAACTTTCGATATCAGTTCCATCTCTAACATTTCCCGAGTTAGTGGGACGTTAGCTGCCTGGCTCTGTAACAGCAGTCGCCAAGATGGCTGATCTGTTCACATTGGCCTGCTATATGAGGCGCAATAATGGCTGGTAATACTCCTGCTTCATTATAACAGGGTCCGTCAGATCAAAATTTCCTAGGCTTGTTCCTTTTACCCACACTGGAGGACACATCTCCAGCGTGTTGTGAGTTAAGCATAGACCAGGATGTACTCGAGATGATTCGAACGCTCCACCATCCTCATACCCCTTTTTCCACCTGTATCTTCCCGTGGCCAGCTCATAGATGCAGCATTTAGGCATAAATTGGAGCAGGTTCAGCGTCTTGAGGTCGCCGTTGATTCCGATTTCAGGCATATTCTCAAAAGGGAGGACGAGAACTGGGATATACTCTCCCCCAAGATAGACAAGGCATATGTCGCCAGGTTGACGACGTACATACAATCTTTCGTTTCCTTCATTAGTATCATCGTACTTTGACGTTTTAGACCCTATGTCGTTGTAGACGGGGTCTTCTGTGTCCCGACTGCTCCGAGATGCTTCAGTTTTGTCGCTCATCAAGGCCGCCTTTCGGGTTCCAAAAGCCTGCCTCCCCCTTAAATCTTCGTCTTTGCTACCTGTGGTCCGATCCATCAACGTTGACGAGTTCTTCTAAACACCTTCTTTCGTGAAAGCTTTATTGTTTTGCTCTGCACGGCTCGCCGTACAGTACTTGACTCATATACCTATCTGATCGATAACATCCTTATAGGCTTTTGAGTATTTATCGTGCTGGAGACTGCCCAAGTGAAATGCGGCATCCATGAGTGGATTGCTACCTCTAAATTTAAGCCCGTGTTCCTCGCATTAAATTATATACCATCGGCCATTATTGGCAGGATACTGAACAATGGTCTTCTTGTGTCCAGCAATAGTATTATCATATACCTCTCTATAGCGGATTGTTCTCTCCTTGCTCTGGTTTTTGGTGGGTGGCTTCTTCCACCGGTAAGACTTCTTTTGTGGTTGGAGACGGCTCGTATTAGAAAGCTTTCTTTTTCTCTATCGGCTTATTAGTATGTGAATGGTCCTTCTCACTAATAGCAGAAATCTTACTCCTAGGACAAGGAATTCTTCGCCTACCTTCGCACTCGGGGTGGATTGATCGTCAACCTCTTCGGAATCATCTTCGGCTTCAGGCTTAAACTCGGAGTCTAAATCGATAGCGCTGCTTTCACTGCCCTCAGCCTCCATAAAAGAGTGATAAGTAGTCTCTGCATTAATTTCCTTTATGCGGCTGCTAGAGAGAGCATCAGGGAGGGCCTCGTTCGACTCTGCCATTTCGTTGTGGCCGATTTGGCTCGGCGCTTCATCACAACTTTCTTCATCGTGAATTCCTCCGTTAACATCCTCAGCCTTAGATGATGTACCTCCGACAACTGCGACGTTATTAACTGCCTCAAACTCCTTTTGTGTCTCTTAAGCAGTGTGTTGAATATCCTCATCAGGCCGCTGCTCCTTAAGCCCTGTTCTTCCCTGAACATTCTCCGCTCCGGGGAGCATCATCCCACCCCAACTATCAGCAGGGAAAGAATAGAAAAGAGCTATCTAGAGCGGCCTCAGCAGCTCCATTTATCGTTTCTCACATGATTCCTCCTCCTCTGTCTGGTTGGCCTCGTGCTCAGCCCGAAGACTCCATCGCTATGATAGTAGAGATTGTAATTTCTCTTCAATGCTTTATCTTTCCCCTGGACTTGAAACTTTATCGAATGAGTCTATGACATCATAAATCGAGCGGCTCATCTCGTCGTCCTTCTCTTGGTATTGCTCTTGCCGAGTTTTGAACCCGTTGAGGGTCTGCCTCTCAAACTCGTTCAAGTACGCCTTTATCATGCTAAAGACTCGACGGATGGTGGGTTACAGCGGGACTTATCCGCTACCACCCTCTTCCGCTGCTATGATTTGGGCTAATAAATTTTAAGTGTATTCATTTAAATATCAAACGAGGCGGTTTTAGCTAGGTAAGCTTAGGGCATAGAAGCAGAGCGGAAGCTAAGTCGGCCAAGCCTTATGTCGCAGAGGGGACAAAGGGCTAATAATTTTTTCTTCTCCCGCTCAATAGAAAGCCGAAAGCGTGGGAGGACAGAGCGGCGAGGGCATAGCCAGGTATTCAAAAGCCTCCCATTACTAATGTTGGTTATAGAGTGTTGGTTGTGAATATGCAGTTAGTCCTTATGTCGAACTCTTTGGTACTAGGCGGGTGGAGTATCGTCATCATGCCTACATGGATGGGCTGGTTCGCAGCACCGACATGTCCCGTGAGTAATATGACCGATTTTGGGTGGGGATGGGGGAGTTGATTCCCTGTAAACCATCCATTCCGGTATCTGGGAAGGGCATCCGCTAAGCTGGCCAGTCTTCTTAGTTATGTTTAGTAAGCGGCGGTTCACCGCTGCAGAATAGAAAGGAACTAAAACTCTCACCTACCACTTAGTGTAGGGCCCTTAGTCGTATTCCATCCACGAACATACCCTCCTATATGAGTAGCTCTACTAACTCAAAATAGTATTATGTAACGGAAGAAGCCCACATAGACTCAGCATTTAGGCGATAGCCTAACAAGAATGCTAAGACATTCTCGGATAAGATTAGTTAAGCAATAACTTAAGAGGTTAGCTGCTTGTTATTTGTTGTTAATTATGGTCAGTGGCCATAGGTGCCCTACGCTTTCACTCTCATTACTGGCAATATTATTACTGGCGGCCAAGGCCTAAGTGCCGAGATCGTAGCTGAAAACTGGCGACTACAAGGATGAGGATGAGGGGGAAGATAAGGACTAATGCAGGCAGGCTGATTGAAAATAGCATTGAGGTTTCTGCTTTTATAGGCACGTTGGTTTCTTTTCTTCTTCCTCGGTGCGTCCTGTGAGTATGCGACTATCTCCTATACACTGGCTCAGTGTTACGCTGATAACGTATATGAAATTAGCCACTGAATGAAAACACAGAGCGAAAACGGAAGGAGAAGGAGAAGGAACGAGCATACTCCAAGAAACAACGGACGACAGCGGGCGTCGTGATTGTTTTTAAGCCCTTGAATCTCCTCGAGTATCACGCGCATTTCTTTGCAGCTTCGCTCAACGGTGGCAGGCTTTCCCCCCTTATGCTGCCAGCGGCGAACGTCCTGCTACATCTTATCGTAACAGCGAAGCTTCCTCCGTATGTAGTAACACACTGCACAAATTGTAGGCTGTTCTTCGGTCTCATAGACCAGCATGAGGCCACAAACCTGGCCTATGCGGTATTCCCTATTACACTGCTTACCGAAACGACCCTATCGCTAATAACCATATTCCTAGAGGATTTGGTGATAGTAACACATGCTTATAACGTATAGGATGGGGATCGGGATAGTGAGCTTATAGGCCTAGTAAGCTTAGTACTAATGGGGAAGAAAGAACAAAACTAGGAAAACGAATCTGAGGAAGGGATGAAAAGGCCCTTTTTATAGAGGCGAGCTAATAGTTTTGTTGGCTCTAAAGCATGTCCACGACCAACAACCCATTCTCAGCCTGGTGTGTGTGTGTGCCACATGTTGCACCACTGGTGGAGGGGTAGAGAGCAAAGATTTCTGAGCCCCAAGGATTTAAATTGGATGCCACTGCGTAACGTCACTTGCTTTGCTTCATGTATTCACTTGTTACTGTTATCAGCCGGTGGCCTCGACAGTAGGTTACGCGATATCATCGCAGTGTGGAGCATGGGCATTTCCCTTGTACACTACTGGCTGGCCAGCCGAAACAACACGTTGAGTGAGACTTCTTTCATGAGTACTTTGTATTCTAACAATTAGGAAGTCATTTAGAAGCATCTAGATGAATGGCTTGTAGGCCAAGCACATATCATAGGTGTCCAGGTAGCTATAGGGTACCTACCTAATGGTCTTGTGGGATCGTACTCCGAAAGTTGGCGCGGTTGGACCGTGAGAACGGTCGGACGCTTGTCTGTCCCTGGTGCTGGGCTTGTTGCAGGGAGTGGGGAGGATCGGCCACTGCTGGGGTAATCACACTGTGTTTTTGACTAACAGCGGAGCCACCGCACTTACGCTGGTGGGTTTCTGCATGGAGCGCGCGCCAGCACAAAAACGTGACCTGGGTTCTCGATGAGACTCCACTCGTGAGGCTGTCCAAGGGTGTTGTGGCGGCAACAGCTGGTGGCAGTGCCTGCACGAGGTCGACTGCTGGACCGTCTGTAGCAGCCTTATGCGTGCGTCGAGGTTTCCCCTCATTTCCGTCGACGTCCAAGAGCGTCCCTTCCTTTCCTCTCAACAATGTTCCGAATCTCCCATCCCACGACACCCATCTCGATCAACGATTACGCATCGAAGAAAGAAGCATTTGTAGTATACTGCCAGGTGGACACTTCGGTTTGGTGGGCGGAGACGACTTTGGACGCAAAACCACACCAAGGTGATGGCCTTTCCCCGTCAAAAAGAGCAGGTAACCCCAGACGATGACCTAAGAAGTGGGTCGCCTGCTTCGCACGACCAGTATACAATCGCCTGGATCTGTGCGCTACCCATAGAGATGGCCGCAGCTCGCGCCATGCTAGACGACGTCCACCAAGACCTGCCCAGGCATACGAACGACACCAACACCTACATGCTCGGCAACATCCAGCGCCACAATGTCGTCGTTACGTGTTTGCCGACTGCCCAGTACGGAACGAACAACGCGGCGAACGTGCTGACCCACCTCATACGAACCTTCCCATCGATGCGCCTTAGTTTGATGGTGGGAATCGGAGGTGGAGTGCCGAGCACGGTTGATATGCGTTTGGGCGATGTTGTTGTCGGGACGAATGTGATATAGTACGATCTAGGGAAGATTATCAGAGATGGACAGATTCAGCGCACTGTGATCCCGAAGAGCCCGCGTCACCTACTCGGCACGGCCGTATCGTCCCTACAAGCAAGGCATGAACGCGACGGTAGCCGAATCCCGCTCATATTAGAGGGAAAGTTCGACGGACACTCTAAGTACGGCCGCCCAATCACGGCAGACCGCCTCTTTTTCTCGACGTACGATCATACATCTACAGCACCTAGCTGCGATAAATGCGACCATTCGAAGCTAGTACCTCGACGCAAGCGGAGCACGGATAACCCGATGATACATTACGGCACGATCGCCTCAGGCAACCAAGTCATAAGGAACGGCGCCCAGAGAGACAACATCGCTCAGCAACTAGACGCTATCTGTTTCAAGATGGAGGCTGCCGGTCTGATGGATATTCTCCCCTGCCTGCCTATCCGGGGGATTTGCGATTATTCTGATTCTCACAAGAACAAGGAATAGCAGAGATATGCTGCGGCCACCGCGGCTACATATACGAGGGAGTTACTAGGGGTGCTCCCGGTTGCCGAAGTGCAAACGAAGGTTGCTCCGGCGCCGAATTCTCGTAAGTCAAGTCCAGTGTTTCCGGACCATGCTCTCGTCATAACGGATCACGCCTAGTGTGGTACAGATATCGAGCGCATCCTCGAGCGCATCCTAGAAATAGGCAGCAAGGATAGAACCCCCGTCCTATCTCCAATACAACCCAACACGTTGTCATGCGGCCTCAAAATGCTGACGTCAATGTCTTGTAGTGCAGACTTCCTTCCAAGTCGCCTTTGGCCTACAAGGCGTGCCCGTATCAGACAAGTTTGTCGATAGACCAACCGACAGGGCTGCGCTCGAGCAGTGTCTTTTGCCACAGTAACCCCCTATCGAACGACGGAAGGTATGTGTTTTGCATGGCCTTGGCGGCATTGGCAAGACGCAACTGGCCATCGACTTCGCCCGTCGTTACAAGGCCACCTTTAGTGCGATCTTCTGGCTAGATGGGCGGTCTGAGGATCAATTGAAGCAGAGCTTCGCCAGATGCCTTGGCAGAATCCCTGAACTTCGGACCGCTAGCCGCACCGACTTGAACCTTAACAGCGAGGAGGATCTTAATGTTATAGTAATGAAAGTGATTGAGTGGCTCACTAGACCGAGCAATACTCAATGGCTGCTAATTTTTAACAATATCAATCAAGATCAGCAGCAAGGTGGTGCCACAGGGACCTATAATATCCGGCAATATTTCCCTAGGGATTAGGGTTTAATTTTGATAACGACGCGATTATTACGCTTGCAATAGCTAGGTAGCTTAAAGCATTTAACTAACGTCGACCTAGGCTAGAGCAGGGCCATTCTATAGACGTAGTATAGAAAAGAGCTAAGTGAATTACAACCCCCGGTCACCCTTCAGTCCTTGCTATAGCGCTAATTTTAGTTTTAGATTAGTGCCTAGATTACAACACCCTTCTTGAGTTATTACAAGGTCTACCACTAGCTTTAGCGCAAGCTACGTCATACTTACGTGAGATAGGTATAGGTGTTATAACCTATATCCAAATTTATAACCAACAATAGCGAAAGCTTATAGAATCTGATGATCCTCTAACGGATTACAACCAAGGAAGTATTGCCACTACATAGGTAGTATCTCTTAACGCGATTAAACGTAAGAGTACAAATGCTATAAATATATTACGGCTGTGGGCGTGCCTCGACAATAAATAGTTCTAGCATAGTTTACTCAAAGTAGCTAAATCTACAGACTCTAAAGAGCAGTGGCCACCTTAGCTATTTCATATAGCAAATAATGTGACCTGTTTTATAGATGTGATAAGGCTTCTACTCTATTATTCAATAATCTAGGTCCAAGTAGAGCCCAGCGGAAGTTACACTATGCACCTAGTAGTTTATTAATAGGTAATGCATCTGGACAGTAATAAGAAGAATAGGGATTTTGTGCGCCTAGCACTTATATTAGTCGGCCGTTTAGTACTAGACTAAGAGACGAAAGAGTATTAGATTCTACAGTAGAGGATCCTTCCCTATACAGAGCAATATTCAAAGTGGATATAAGAGGACTTCTTACGATCGGATGAGACAGCTACTAATGTTAAGGCTATAATAGCCTCGGTTCACCGTCTTAGGATTCTCTACGCGGACTAAGGCAAGCTTAGCGAAGCTAAGGCGATGTACAATCGAGCACTAGAAGGGTATAAGAAGGCACTTAGGTGTGGCCATACGTCGACTCTTGAAACCGTCAATAACCTAGGTGTTCTCTACTAGGACTAAGGCAAGCTCAGCGAGGCTAAGGCGATATATAATTAAGCACTAGAAGGGTATAAGAAGGCACTTAGGCGTGATCATACGTCGACTCTTAACACCGTTAATAACCTAGGTGTTCTCTATAAAGACTAAGGTAAGCTTAGCGAGGCTGAGGTAATATACAATCGAGCACTAGAAGGGTATAAGAAGGCACTTAGGCGTGATCATGCGTCGACCCTCGATACTATCAACAACCTAGGGCTCGTCTACTAGAACTAGGGCAAGCTTAGCGAGGCTGAGGTGATATACAATCGAGCACTAGAAGGCAAAGAGAAGGCACTTAGGCGTGACTATATATTAACTCTTAACACCGTCAACAACCTAGGGCTCGTCTACTAGAACCAAGGCAAGCTCAGCGAGGCTAAGGTGATATACAATCGAGCACTAGAAGGGTATGAGAAAGCACTTGGGCATAACTATATATCGACTCTTGGAACTATTAATAACCTAGGGCTTATCTACAGGGATCAAGGCAAGCTCAACGAGGCTGAGGCGATGTACAATCGAGCACTGGAGGGGTATAAGGCACTTGGGTGTGGCTATACGTCGACTCTCGATACTATTAACAACCTAGGTGTTCTCTACCAGGACCAAGGCAAGCTCAGCGAGGCTGAGGCGATATATAATCGAGCACTAGAAGGGTATAAGAAGGCACTTAGGTGTGGCTATATATTGACTCTCGATACCGTCAACAACCTAGGTGTTCTCTACCAGGACCAAGGCAAGCTCAGCGAGGCTAAGGCGATGTACAATCGAGCACTAGAAGGGTATAAGAAGGCACTTGGGCGTGATCATACATCGACTCTCGAAACCGTCAATAATCTAGGTGTTCTCTATAATGACCAAGGCAAGCTTAGAGAGGTAGAGACAATATTTAACCGAGCACTAGAAGGGTACGAGAAGGCACTTAGACGTAACCATATGTTAACTCTTGATACCGTCCACAACCTAGGGGTGCTTTACAAGGACCAGGGTAAGTTTGAAGAGGCTGAGACAATGTTCAACCGAGCACTAGAAGGATTCCAGTCCGCCCTTAGATAAAGCCACCAAAAGACGCAGACTGTTACGCATAACTTGCAGCTTCTGCATTCCAGCCAAGGTGAGGGCCACCAAACTATGATTTTGTGTACACATCGCCTGATCGAGATAGATACATACCCGAGCAGACCTATAAGGATTAAATCAGAAAGTGGGACGATGTTTCTCAAAAAGCTTGCGGACAAATTTCGCAATAACGCCCAGTTTCGCAAACACCGGAAACGGTAAGAAAGTACAATTGGCATAGGCATCTTCTCTAGGCAAGATGAATTCGCTATCTGTACCTGCTAAAAATTACTTAAATTGAACACAAACCAACCCTGCATAGAGTAGAGACCTCTCATTATCACATCGAATTAGGCAGGTGTTTGAGTTTAGTCGAGTACCGGCTTAGATCGTACCCTAAGAGTGATGTAGAGGCGCACGGTGGATTTCATCCCAAGAGCGGCCGGCCTGTCTCATCGTGCGCACTATACTTTCCTCCTTCGCTGTCTACTTTCAGCGGGATAGCGTCGCCCTATAAAGCAAAGCCGGGGACGATCCTCTATCTTCGGGATGCGGAACGGATGTCTAAGCATGTAGCTGATCCGACTCAGGGGTCCATTCAAGCTGTAGTTGAAACGTCGTCCTGCTAACCTCGGTAATACGCTTCAGACAAACGTTGCTGAGTGGCCATTCCTTGAATCAAGCAACGCATGTGCCAAAATCGGACGGGGACTGCACCTGTTCGCGGTATTGCTGGGCTGTGTGATGTTCGACACCTCCTAGGAGACCGCGCAGGCCTTTTTGGAGACCGTATCTGACAAGAGCTCAGAGCGCCGAGAGGCGAGGGGTAAGGGGATAAAGGTACTTTCCGACGCTGGCGACGATTCAATTCTTCGTCTTCGTGATTATCTTCAGATTCGTATCTCTGAACATCCGGTAACGAAGGACAACAATCCTCGTCACGACCGTGTTGTGGAACGTGAAGACCATCTTCGCTATCAGAATATTAGGTATGTGTATCCCCTCCATCCTAATCTTGCACCATCTCGCGTGTGCGGAGGGATGTGGGACAAGAACGATGTTGAGAAAGCCCCTCACAGGACAGGGCGCGTTTAGGTTCCCAGTAGCGATCCAGGTTCGGCCTCCGAGGAGCCAGATTCAGTGTCACTAGATGAGCGGCTCCTGCGGCCATAGTCTTGGCCTTGATCTAGTGGCAATTCAGTCGACAGGGCTGGTGATAGGGATGGATTGTGAACAATGGTAATATCGTCTTGCTCGGCGCTCAGGCAAACTTCGCCATCGGATAGCGGCGTCTGAGCCCTCACCTCGGAAGTGGGAACCATGGGACTGTATGTGCACCTTGAGGGAGTAACGGGACTATTTTGCAAATTGCCAGATTCTTCGTCAGACCCGTCATCAGCAGTTATCGCAACAGGTTCGCTGGATGCTGGGATGGCTTCGGTGAAAGGCTGCTCGTCTGACATAGTCTGACATGGCTGGCTTTTCGTGTTGGTAGGGGGGCTACCAAAGTCGACATCGCCGGCAGACGTGGAGTTCGTCTAGCAAACAGTTTGCGCATTTGGCTCAGGATCAGCAGAAGGGTCCAAATGTGAGCCGTACACCGGGATAGAGTCGCCTTCCACTCCAACCTGGGACTCTGTTGGCGTATTTCCCATCGTGATTGCAGCACCCGCCTCTGTTGAACTGTGTTTGGTGCCCATGCTGTCTATGTGCTGACTGTCAGGGCTTGCCCCGGGAAAAGTCCCAAAACGAAGAAACGCACTAAAATGGGTTGCGATGCTGGTTGCAGTTGTTGTGTATGACTGCGGGCTGTGGGAATCTTCTCCCCCGTAGCCCTCGTCTTCTGCATCGCTGTCCTCGGGTATCACAATGGCGGTGTCCTGGGATGCTTCAGGACCTAAAAAGTGCTTCTCCATCGCCCGGCGGTGGAGTGTCAGCGTGTAGGATAGGGGGGGCACAATTCTGCCGCAATCATTGTTAGTCGGCGTCAGACGATGTCGAGGCCATGTCGGAGTTATGGAGTGTCTGTAGGCTAAGGAAGAAGGTTGGTGTCTTGGCGGTGCGTTGAAGCAGAGGATGGGTGGGAACTTTGCAGCTTGTATGCTCGCACTTGAGCTACACGGGTCGCACGGTCGGCAGGAGCTCTCCCCGGTGTTATTCTGCTATCTCTGTGCATCACCGAAATCAAAGCGAGCCAGTTGCAAGAGACAGAAATTGTAGCCGCTCCCGCTTTGTGCCAATCAACCCACCGCCGGGCCACACCGATGCAGCCATCCTGGGCAGATGATCTCCCCTCGTCCTAGCTTCGCTGCAAATCACCGTGGGTCAAGCTGCTTGTTGGCAAGGCAGAGTTCTCGAACGTGCCAGATCAGGCAGGTCTTGGGGGTTATTGGAGTGTCAACGCATGACGTGTGACCACTCCCAGCTGGTCAGCATCGGGATGGAACTTCCCGGCAGCAGCAGCGCTCCCGTCTGACCGTGATGGAGCCCGTGTCTGTGCCCGCATATTTGATCGTCCCCAACCAGAAATTTGTTGGCCATTGAGAGGGCTCGAAAGCTCTGTAGGCTATCACAAGCGCTTCAAAATCCTACAAATGTGTGACAACCAGGGTTAGCATGCATCCAACACGCCAACAACTTGCCAGAGTATGCCCGTATCCGTCCTCTCCGCTTCACCTAATCACCCCTGAAGGCATGTTACCTTCTCTTCCTGCGAAGTTGCTGAGCCATCATGAGTGGCACAGAGACGGGCGAATCGAGTGCCAGCAAGCAGTACTCGAGAGAACATCCCCGCAAGCGGTAGGCGGACTCGGCAACCCCTGAACAAGGTAATGGTGACTCGGCCTCGGTCGGGCGAGCTGTCGCACACTTTGGCCAGTCTGAGGACCAGCCAGGCGAGCAAATTTATGCCGGAGCCTCCGTATCAGCTTGTGCTCGTTTTGGGAAGGAAGCCAAAAATGGGACCACCCCCATTATGCATGGGAGGAGGCATTGATCAGCCACTACGGCATTTTCGCTATTGGCTGACCATCTGCCGGAGGCCTCACGAGAATATGTATTGTCGCGTGATGTTCAGCTGTTGCGTAAACCTCGCCGCATTGCAGCATTGCAAAGCGATCCTCCCCCTAGGGTGCGCCTCTCGACTATTGAGCTCCTTAGATCTTGTGAGATAAAGATCCCAAGAGAAGTCGTATAGGAAGTAAGGTAGAAGTTTAAATAACATTAGGGAGGATGATGATCATAAGTAGTAGAGCATTTCTCATAATCCTCGCAATAGGGCATTGCGATAGTCGGTCAATCTAGTAGACGTAGAGCTTGATTCTAAACAAGAATGATGACTTGGCGAGAGTAGACAAGGGGGGTATGGTGAGGCTGACTATATTTGCGAAGGAGGGAGAATCTAGTGTAGGCTAAGGTGGAGGATGGGAGGAAGTAGATGTCAAAGACGCATGTTCACAGGGTTAGATGTAGTCGATGTCTCTAATACGATAAGTCATGTGATGCACGGTCCAGCTGCCATGCGACGGGCACACCTTGCCCAAACGGGCGTGGCCGCTAAACTGGAGGCAGCAGTAGCGAGTCCACGGTTACTCGATGCAAGCTTGTTCCAGATCTTTTCTTGTTCCACTGCGAACTCAGTCCAAGGATGATATGTCGTGGGTAGACCCAGCTGGTGGGCTTTGTCACGTCTCCTTGTGTCGTCAAGGAACGGTCAGTCACGGCCTCCACAGCTAGGCTGAGCGAATGGCATGTTTCGAGGTATTGCTGGAGTGGCAGCGGTTGAGATGCGCTTGCGCGTTCCTCGGCTTCTCGACGTTGCTGTTGCTCTCCTTCGCGTTGTTGACGTTCGTGCTGTGCATTACGCCCCGCAGCTTCCCGTCGACTCCTTTCCTGTAGTAGTTGGGCCCGCAGTTATTCAATGTTAATGCCATCCATGGGCCTTGTCGTGTGGTGGGGGCTGACGTTTAGTGTTGATAATCGGCCGGCGGATGCGCAAAGAGATCGAGCGCCACAGCCTGCACAGCCACATCTATTAACAGAAGCCAAACACATGATGTGGCTCCATAAGCGGCTACTCCATGACTAATATTCTACTCGCTTGTAACGAAACCACGGTCAACTTAGCGCACCCGGCAACACCATCATCCGAGAATGTGGAGTCTATGACATTGACTGATATAATAATGCTAGCAGATAATAAATTTATTAGTCAGCCGTAATATCGCTATCTTTGTCAATGCCTACTGATGATTGGACTACCTAAATAGCGCACACACCCCTAATACGGATTAACCCCCGCTCTAAGCTTAAGCTATTTCAGGCAGTAGCTGTTCCACCAGAAAGTGAGCGTTCATTACGGTCACCGTTTTCTTATTTAGGAAGGTGGTCTAAAGTGTATTAAAAATCATTCTTCATAAATGAAAATATCTAAGAGCAACGGCTGCTTTAAAGAGATACGTCAGGTTCCAAAGATGGAGACCAAGGGATGACCTTTTGGGTACCAATGCTCCCAGAATGCGAGGACATGACGGGATCCCGTATTTTCCTTTGGGTATGGTCGTATGTGACAGATGAAGCTATCATGAGAGCTATATTACCCACTAGAATGGCATGAAACAAAGAGCAGACATAGAGCAAAAAACATACGACAGCAGGTACTCGCAGTGAACAAACAGCATTATCCGATGGCGTCCGCTGTTGTAGGCTGTTCCAGATCACAAGAACACCTGCGCAGCCCCGGAGGCATACAGTTGGAGAGATTCGACCAGAGCAATGCAAACAAGGATTGAAGCGATACATAATAACAATTCCAAGCATCTGACACATCTATATATAGTAAAACTACCCTCGGACTATGTTCATGTTGCTGCTTAATGTTTTGAACTTATATGTGTTGAGCGAGGGGCTCGCAGTATTGAGCGTTATTTAGCTTTCTAGTAGCTGGTGGAGTTTTCCTCTGAGCAGTTGTGGGAAGGGTCCTTGATAATCCTTTGGAATAAACCCCTGAGAGTTCTGGAAATACGTTGGGTTGTTTCGTGGTTGATGTGTCTGCGGATGTGTATATCTTGAATTGGTTCTTGCCATAATAACCACTAAAGATGTGGCTTGGTTACCAACAGAAGTCACACCATCCAGACAGCTGTGTTGGCCTTTGACGCGGAGCTGCTATTACTTCCAGGTCGCTTTCTTGGGGTCAAAAAATCTTCGTCAACCTCTCATAGTCTTCTGTGGCTTTCGTCACAGTCCACAAGTTGACTACTGGGGCGCCGTCCGCATCGACGGCAGTGAGATCAAAATTGTTTAAGAAATTCATTTTGAAGTTGGCAAAAGTGGGTCCAAGTCCAAGGAGGAATAGATGCACAAGCACACCATCTGATATATATATGTGTCTTCCGCACATTTGGCAATCATCCCTCGCCCTCAAGAGCCGGTTCGAGTAATGTGTGGCACTTTTGCATTGGTCTCGGGTAAGACTAATGAGTTCCTCAAAGCGGTTCATGAGAAAAAAACTCCCGGTTGGCTTGAACTTGCTCTCGATAGCTTCCAAGAGGAGGTCAACTTGGTCACATGCCTGTAGCTTCAGACGTCTTTCTGGGCTGATTCTTGTGAGGACCGCTGTTATGGCTCTTCCGTGCTCGTCCAGGGAGTCCTGTAGCGCCTCTATGTCGTCGTCCGGTGGTCGCGGCTTTTGTTTGCTAAGCAACGGCCCGCAGCCTGCCGCTCTAAGACTGATATTTATGCTTCTCATCCATCCGTAATAATCTTCGTCTCGCTCTAGAATTGGAACCCTTGCAATCCAGAGGCCAATTTCGTCGAACTCGGCATTACATTGGTACTCTTGCTGGGTTGAGATGCGCTCGACTTGCCGGTTGTCGATCGACGGGTTACGTCCGGTTGAATGAGTAGAGGAACAGTGGCCTGAAGATTTACTCCTCTTCGCAGCACGGGGGAGCTCCATTTCTAGTTTAGGTCTGTCGAAGAAAGTTCAGTGTGCAGAGGCGTTGATATTCTCTCCCAAGATGTTTGAGTTCCTGCGTCTGTGGGTCTTTAAAGCCCAGGAGATATCGAACGATCGAGCAAGAGACAAGGCTAGGATTGTTTTATCCTTCAATCTTGGCCGTAGTGAGGATGAGTTGTAGCTAGAAATTTGATGTGTTCATGTTGTCATTGATGGTGCCATTTCAAGTCGCGAGGCGGTGAAGATGGACGTTTGAGCCACTAAAACCCATGTTTTCAGCCAATTGTAAGCCGCCTTTTTATTCTTCGGCACTTTCATACATAGGTACATGTAGTATTCAGCTTCTTTATTTTCGAGTGTATATTTGGGTGCACGCTTGCGGGTTCATACTCTACCGACAGATGCATGAATGAAATGAACCAAAATAAGGTTCTGCCATTATATACACATTCTACAAGCGGAATGTAACAACTGGCCAAACGCTTGACTACCAGGCTAGGGTATATGATAGGCCTCAACCTGGTCCTCCTACAGAGGGAGAGATACGCAAGTACAGCTATATCAATTATGATTCTGTACCTAGGTGCCCTAACAGACGGCGAGCGACGTATCTTCAACCGAATTTTATCACACTAATATGCACGAGTAGATAGTCTTTCTTCAATCTATCGAATAATTGTACTAGAATCCCATCAACGTCATTGTGAGTTAGTTCTTCTTCTTGAGAAACTGGGTAAGAAAAGCATCCTCTGTTAAGTCCTGCGCCGTTACTCGTTCTTCGGGAAGCCAGCGAAAAATCTTTTGAACGAGTGCTAATAGCAGATGGTGGTCCTCGCCTTTGAGCTGGGCCTCTCTCACGTCAAAGCTTTGCTCCGGAATGGGTGTTGATGCTATCCAGTTACCTGAGGAGACTGTTAGTATTGCATTGTCTGTATATATATCTCCTTTAGGCTGTGCATGTATCTTACCATCAGCATCCCAGTACTCACGGCACTTGGGACTTCGCTCGAGGAAGGCTTTTGGAGGAGGACCCATGAGCGAAACCATCTCCGCAAGATGTTGCTCATCGTTAAGGATCCTGTCCTTCAGGGCGTAGAATAGGCGAGTACCCTGGAATAGATCCTAAAGCTTTTATATGTGAGTTTTAAGTACAAGTAGCGTGTTTTTGAAGACTTACCATTAGCCCAACACACCAGATATCAATTTTTTCGTCCCATTCCATTCCCAGAATTACTTCTGGCGCGCGGTAAAAGTCAGGCATCACATCCCCTCGATACTTTTGCCCAGGCTGTCCCATGCGAGATTCACCAAAGTCACAGATAACTGGGATGCCCTGAGTGATTGGCAGAGGCCGAGAGCCATATATGGTTCTGTCTCCAGTGGTTTTGAGGATAATTGGGTGCTCGGACTCAGCTTTGTCTATCTGAGAAAAGATAGTTGGATCTGGGACACTGATCAAAATGTTATTAGGAGATAGATCTGCCCCTGGTCAGTATTGTTCATTCAATTTACTCCCAACAAAGAAAACATGCCTGTATGAATGACACCAGCCTGGTGAAGAAGATCTAAGCCGAATGATACTCGCAGCAAGGTGTGCTGTAGAAGCGGAGTGGGCAGCGCTTGGTTTGGCATGGCATTACGCAATTGGAGTAAGTTCATGCCAAGAGGCGTGTAAACTAAGCATGGATGAGTTCCATGAGAGCCCTGAACTTCGAAGTGGCTCAGAAGAAGACGTAGGCTGTTGATACCCGGATGTTCAATCTGAATCGAGTTGAAGAAGGCCGTAACAGCCTCCTCGGATTCTGCTTGGGAGGAGCGTCAATATCTCGGATTTTTTGCCTAAGGGCGCAGACTTTGACAGCAACATATTCTTGACTCCTGTCATATCTTAGCGGAAAGCCGGCAAGTGTCTACGGGAACAAGGCAAACGTACTTGCTGTCTCGGCAGAGCCAGATGGTAGACTTCGTGCCAAATCCGAGTTTAGAGATAACCGTATATCGCGAGTCAAATACTTCTCCCAGCTTCGCGGGGTAAAATCTCTGTGGATCGTATGTTGGGACAGTCTCCTCCTCGACGCGGGAGGAGGAAGTTGGGGTAGACATCAGCGCGAATAGTCTTAATTGAGTGTGACAAATTGGCCTTTGTCGGATACGATGTTGAATAGAAAGCGTAGGATTAGAAAAGAAGCGGGATGAAAAGACCCGAGGAAGAAAGAGTCTTTTCATATTTGCGCCCTGTAAGGATTATATATGTTTTGGTGACGGATGTCATGCGAAATGCCAAACTGGAGCCTCACTGAGTTTGAGGGTAGTCTTATTTGATCAGTTAGTTCATGATGTTAGCTATTCCATAGGCCTATCCCTATCGTAGCAGCCGTAAGTTCATGGAAATACACGTATTTCAAGAAGAGTGATTTTTGAAAGAACATATAAGAAGGGTGAATGGATGATGATTTTCTAGCCATCGGATTTATTTAATATTCCCAATTTAACAGGTGGGCTCTGACGCATGAGTAGAAAGTAAATAATAGCCAATGATATCGCGTACACTGACCCACACAGGGGGCTTGTTGATTCGTCGCGACTCACAACATGAAGCCGTAATTGTCGCCCGCCAATCGCCATTCTTCATAAACAAGTTTCCTAGTGTCAATGTTTGTTCGACTACATACTCGGCGCTGGGAATACAATGACCAGAATCAGTTCTATAATATCTCTTTCTTTGTACCACAAACCGTGGCCATTGACTTCGGCTATTGCCCCTCGACTGGATACCACTCAGCTAGTTGAGGAGGAGAAGACTCCAGACTATCGCCCTGATCGATTTTATCCTGCCCATCTTGGCCAGGTTTTGAATCAAAGGTACCAGCTTGCCACGAAGTTAGGTTACGGGGCCAACTCGACGGTTTGGCTGGCTCGTGATCTGCACCAGTCAGTTTCTTCCGCATCAATTCCATCGAGATCACCTCCTTACCGATATACAGCTGGCGCTGGTCCAAAGAAAAATATGTCGCCGTAAAACTTAACGCAGCTGCAAGTCCATCAAGGCAATTACCTATAGACAACGAGGAACGCATTCTACGGCATATTTCGGAACTGAACCCCCGCCATAAGGGCTGGCACTTTATCAGAAAACTCAGCAACTCATTTCAACTTGAAGGTGTATCTGGTGGGAAACATTCTTGCCTTATTCTTGACGCTCTGCGCGAACCGCTCTGGGTTTATCGAGAAAGGTATATTGATGGTTTTATCCCTGTGGAGATACTCAAAATCCTCGTACAGATGACTCTGCACGCACTCGATTATCTCCATTCTGAGTGCCATGTTATTCATACAGGTATATTAAATTTATGAAACTCCATGGGCATATATATCTAATCTCCGGTCCTCCTAGATCTAAAGCCTGATAATATCATGGTAAGAATAGAGGATCTATCTATTTTCGAAAAAGACGTACTAGATGAGTTCCACCATCCACTACCACAGAAACATATAGGCGATAGGGTTATTTACCTTTCACGCAATAACTATGGGCCTCTCAAAAGGCCAACGGGGATAATTCAGCTCATGGATTTTGATCTTTCGGTATTAACAAAGCCAGGACGGCTACACTTTGGAGCTATCCAAGCTGAGATTTACCGAGCTCCTGAAGTCATTCTTGATTCTGGTTATACCTTTTCGGCTGATATATGGAGTTTGGGTGTCCTTGTATGTATAACCACTTGCTAACAGGAAATCTTGTTGAAAACAAACTAACACTACCGTTCATAAGCTCTGGGATTTATTAGAGAGAAAACGTCTGTTCGACCCACACACACCTGAAAAGCCGGACGAATACGATGATGCGGTACACCTTGCCCAAATAACAAGCTTACTTAGTTACCCACCTGGTAGTCTTGTTTCTAGTGGACGGAGGAGTTCTAGGTTCTACGACGACAATAGTGAGTTCCATTTGCACCATCAATCAGAACGTCTAAGTGACAAGTATAGACCCGGAAATTCCGAAAGGCTCTCAGCCACTTTCCCGTAATGTCAGCTTTGAGGGTAGTATTAACCAGATCAAGGGCGAGGAGAAGAGCAGGTTCATAAGTTTTGTGAAGAGAATGATCAAATGGAAACCAGAGGAAAGAAGCACCGCGAAAGAATTGCTCGGAGATCCTTGGCTGTACGAGGACTTCCCCCAAGATTAAGCGAAGTATAAACCACCCCTAGATGCCTCGATGAGATCTGGATGGTTATTTTCTTCCTTTTCTTCCAGAATTTACTTACAATGTTTACTTCCCCTTTGCCCCTCTCTGTCTTGTACTTAGCGAGCTGTTAGAGGGATTCCTGGACTAGCGTGAGAAATTACTGTGTTGGAGATTCGGCCTGCATCGTTTCCTGCCGCTCACCCTAGCTGCTGGAGAGCGCTTCCAGGTCGTTCAAATAATGGTCGTGGTAGGCTGAATTCACACACCTCAATCTCACAGGGTAGTGTCGGCCGTGCGAGGGCAATGATTTGGGTTGGTTCATCGCATCTTAGCGTGAACTAGGGAAGAAGTTGCATCACGATAAAAAGACGTCTCGGAACCTGGTTTCAACACTAAAGTGACTCCAGACAAACGTTGATGCTTGTGCTAGAATCCATTCCGCACAAGGCCCGCACCGCAGTTTGTCCACATATAATTGGGGAACCTTTTACTTTCTTTCAACCCCTACTCGACTTGGAATCTTGGGGCAGGCTTGCTTCCCAAGTTTGAGGCGGCTGGCCACAATTGATCTCCGGCTGTGTCCGGCCACCCAATAGGTCGTGGCTCAAGCGCAGCCTTCTTGAAAGCGAAGCCGCCCTTGGCTTTCCCTATGCCTTCATATTAAGTCACTTCTCAATATTCTAGCCTTTGTATATGATGAATTGACGAAAGTAATCGTGGACGTAAGTAAGCTCTCTCCTAATAAATAATTACCACTTCTGTTCGAGCTCGGCCATTTATCAGGGGCTACCAAAAGGAAGGTCACTAAAGTTCCATCTATGAATTAAGGTGATACGAGCTATGTTGGAAGAATGGAAACAACTGATGCGGGGGTAACTTGAGTTGGGCAGCTAGATTCCCAATATTGTCGTACAGCTACCTTTACCTTCTGCTTCTGTACTATATCCCTGCTTGGAACCCATACGGAATACAGCCACAGCCCCCCCGCCTACCATTCATGGTCCCAAACGCCCGTCTTGGATTCTATTTGTACCTTATCTGAGACAGTCCTCCTCCAGCAGGTGAGAGAATAAAGGTGCATAGTTGGTGGTATGAGAGATGTAGTTGCCAAGAGATCCTACACTATTTTGTGCCACTTAGGATCATTTGTCCTTGGTAAGAATAGTAAGAATATGTGAAAAAATAAATAAAGGGAAAACTTCTGAAGCCGTACTCTCTATTCAAGCTGAAGAACACTATGCACTTTCTGTGCTATAGGGTTCTTGCAGTTACCGCCAGACAGGCTACGGTGCCAGTTGCTAGAGATGATATGATACCATCTTCTTCATACCGTAACGGCTTGTTGTGACTTCGGTGGGTTCGGATTCGCTCTCACTCACCATCAACACATGGAGGGATTAAACAACAACCTTCCCCAACCAATTCAAGAATTAATCAATGTCAATCAGCAAGAGCTCAGATTGACCTACTACTAACTCGCTATATGTAGTATTGAGAACTGAGTGCAACCAAGAGGGGGAAAAGGATTGGACTTTGGTTTTCTGCAATGGACTTTGGTCTTCTGTTCAGTGCCGGAACTAATCCCACTTCAGCTCGTAGTGAAGGAGAAAATATTATGTCGTCCGGAAATAGCTCATTTCGTGATTGCCCGATCCTATCCACCTCGAACACGAGATGCTTGACTTCGAGATCAGTCGGTAGGGATGTTAATTAACGCAGAGATATAGGGTAAAGAGTTGTCTAACTCTTGCTTTTCAACCTTCTCTACCTCAGCACCTTTCAGCGTTACATTATCTGTTTTCCAGCCCCCTGAGCCAGTCCAAAAAACAACATCCATGTCTTGTTCTCGGATCACGGCTTTCGCGTCTGGGATTGTCGGATAGCACCATCGCCAGATTCGGCAATCGCCGGCAGGATTCCGAGGGGCAGCTTTCCCAAAGTTGAAACCTGCTTGGCATTTGGCTCACCAAAATAGCAACAAAAGGAACCTTACCAGGCTCCCTCAAATTACCCACGGATGCGGCCGAGGTTGAGATGAATATATGAATATGGGGACATCCGAACCATCTCTCCTCGCGTCCCAGCTTTTGCTGATTTGGCCCATCACCAAACCAAGTAGGTATCCGCGCACTCTCCTCCCATCATGCGCTTCCTCTCCTTCTTTGCCCTCCTGTCCACCGCGGCAGCGGCGGTCGTCAACTACCCACGAGCATCCTTCTACCCAGAATCCGAGGAATTCAGCCTGACAGTCGGCGGCAAGAAGATTGACACGATCAACTTTGCCAACAACTACGACTATGCCCACCTCGCCATGGACGCCGGCTCGCCCGTCGAGTTCCGCCTCAAGGCCAAGACGCAGAAGTCAATTACGAGCTACATCCTCTCCCCGCGGGGGCAAAACTTTGGTGCCAAGATTAGCGGGAATGAGCTCGTCTTTTCCGCATCGAAGCCGCAGTACTTCATCATTCTGATCAACAAGGTCAAGGAGATGGTTATCCTGGTCGATCCGATCGAGAAGGACGTGCCCAAGGATAAGGGCGATGGCATCTTTAATGTGTTGGATTACAAGGCTGATAAGTCAGGCAAGGCCATCACCAAGGGGATCCAGGATGCGGCGGATGCTGCTGCGAAGAAACCCGGCAGCATCGTCTATGTCCCTGCTGGCTCGTATCTAATGGGTAACCTGCTGTTGAAGAGCTTCACGTCCTTGTATCTCGCTCCTGGTGCTGCGCTTCGGTTCACTGGAAACCGTAACGACTACAAGACTCTCTTCACCAAGGCCGGCCTTTTTGACGGAACGTGGTGGATTCAGACCGAGCCTGCTTCGGATGGTGTCAAGATCTACGGCCGTGGCACGATCGATGGAAACGGAAAGTACACCCGTTCACAAAAATACATGGCAAGTCTTGTTGTCCCCGTCGGGACCAAGAACTTCAAGTACGACGGAGTGTTGGTCCGAGACGGGTCATTCTGGGCAGTAACGCCAATCCAAGCCAAGGACGTTGAGTTCACCAACCTCAAGATCCTAAACAGACACGACGTGACCCAGGACGATGGAATTGACGTCGTTGAGTCACAGAGAGTCACCGTCAAGCGTTCGATTGCTATTGCCAACGATGACAGCTATTCGTGCAAAACGTGGGAACCTAACCTGGACACCACCAAGCCTTATCCCTTCAAACCGCAAGTCGTTAAAGATATCGTGTTTGATGACTGCATGTCATGGACTGAATGTTACAGTTTCAAGATTGGCCAGGGTGTCGTTGAGGACCAGTCCAATGTCCTTTTCAAGAACGGTGTCGTCTATAATGCCGGAGTGGGCATGGGAGTCCACCATTTATATGGCGGAAAAACAGCCAGCAACATCACCTTTGATACCATCGACGTCGAGAACCTGCACGGTAACAGCGGAGGCATCGCCACATGGCTGGCTCTTCACATCAAGGACAATGGCAACAACCGTGGCGTCGGCCCAATCAAGGACGTGACTGTCAAGAACATCCGGGCCCGTGTGAAGGGCACTCGGGAAGGACTGATCCAGGGATGGAGCGAGAAATACAAGGTTAGCGGAGTTACTTTCTCAAACGTCTACATGGGTGACAGCAAGAAACCCGCCACGACGCTCAAGGAGATGAACATGGTCAACACTACCTTCTCAGAGGGCATCAAGTTCGCCAACACCAATTAGTAAACCAGCTCGCTGTACTTGGCACGGATAACTACCTTTTTGTACATTGCAAACTTATTGCTTTTAAGCAATATATTCTTTTCTAATATATATTTTGAGCTCATCAAAAACAGTCCAAATGTTTAAGAGAACCGTGAATTATTCATCGCCGGGAATATAGTCGATCTCTTTCCTTTGTCGAGAAAAAAAAACCGTTTATCCATGTATGTCCCAAATCAAGGCAACGTCAGCCAACAATGTCGAAACACCTATCCAAGTAGCAATCGCATGCCAAGCAGGACCATGTGCCCAAAAATATCACCGGAAAACACACCCCCGAGAGTGATGAAGAAGACGTGGTTCTCCTGTTATGAAGCGAGCATTGATACTGGCAAGGGATGCTCTCCGGGCCTATTCAATCAAGGAGTCCGTGTATTAAGTCTATTTCCAGATACAGAAGGGAGAAGAGTTTCCTTGAGAGAAAGCAGCTTTCTAGTTGCTTTTACAGGGGTTATCCCTTGTTAGTTCTGAGGATTTGGAAACCATCGAGTGACCGGGATTTCTCCTGCGTGACCACGTAACCCTAGCGGAGCTCTTCGTAGGTGTGGCCTGCAACAGATACATCCCGATGCCCATGACTGCTACAGATAAGCTATTCATGGCGGGGAGGGCTGGCTTGGGCAATCGCTTTCAGGTCAAGGCTTTTCTTGGTCTGAGTCGGTTGCCGAAGACTTTCCTGATGAAACTGAGGACGAAAAGGTAGAGAGTAAGCGCGGACGTGCTTGGCATTGTGATAGTTGTGGGACTGTCAGAAATACAAACGCCAAAAAAGCTGGTTGCGACAGGGCTACGCGACCTTACCCTAACCTTGTACTACTTGTCTTTGATACCTAAAACCCGTAGGGAGTGAATGAATCCTTGGTCTTCGCTGCTCCCGTGCCTGGGACAAAGCGAAATCGGATTTTCATCTACTTACCCCTGGCCTTATATATGGGACGTGACTTGGATGCCTAAAATCCAACTTGAGCTTACCTGCCGACAACGCACTATGCTTACCTACCAAGTATAGATTCACGCAAATGCGTCTCCTGGGGCATAGATGCAGTGACTTGACAACAAACAAGCAACAGTCAAAGGATAAACCAGTAATGATAGTGAAGGGTTTGATGTCGGATCCACCGATGGCCTATAAAGTTGCACACGATTTCCAGCAAAGAAACGGAAAGACCAAGAACAGAGCAGATTTCATCCATCAAAATGTCAGCAGTTGAGGAGCAGCTCGCCGCCACCCCCGATGCCTTCGAGAAACTCGGAGACATCCTCAAGAATCAAGACCATCTCTTTGCCTGTAGCGGTTCCGTACCCATCAGGAATGAGCCTGAGGCCGTGCCAGATCAAAGGCCAGGTCCAGATGAGCAGAGAACTTCACGTCCTGTCACGATCCGATGGGATACTGCCACGGCCAACTCGCCTACGCCAGAGCAGGACGCTTGTGTGAAGCTGACACTGCCAATCGCACCTGGAGGAAACGGCGGTGTGGACCGCTTGCGGCAGCATGCCAAACCTGCGACCTTCGGTCGTGGGGGTGAGGACGTTCTTGACGAGAGCTATCGCAAAGCACTCAAGATTGACACAGACTCGTTTTGTTCAACATTCGACCCCTACACGCTTGGCATTATTGATACGATTGCACAAGTCTTGCTTCCGAGTGCTATTGACTCAACGACTCATAGGTCTGTGAGAGCCGAGCTGTACAAACTGAATGTAAGGTCCTCAGTATCTCCCCAACTCTACCTTGCGTATCACTAACCAAGGCCTTACGCAAGGTGTACTCTGGCCCCTCTGGAATGTTCAAATCCCACGTCGACACGCCCCGCTCGACATCGCAATTCGGCTCTCTTGTAGTCTGTCTTCCTCTTGAACATGAGGGCGGCCAGCTCAAGGTGCGCCACAAGGGCAAGGAGATGACATATGACTGGAGCACCCGCCAGAGCGACCCAAACCATGCCCAAATTCAATGGGCCGCCTTTTATAGTGACTGCGAGCATGAGATCCTCGAAGTCACCAAAGGTGACCGCATCACACTGACTTACAACTTGTACGCTGTGCGTGGGGCTGGACGACTGACGGGCATGAGCAAGACATTGGATCCCACTCATCTACCTCTCTATGAAGCAGTGAAGACCGCGATGGATAGTCCGCGTGCGAGATTCGATGGCAAAGGTGCGTATAAGTAGATGTAGTTTCTTGATCTACTAAACGCTCACGCTTCTCTTAGGCGGCTCCATTATCTTCTGGTGCTCTCACATTTACGCCTACAACCACCAATCAGAATCCCCTCTCCCCGACACCCTCAAGGGTGTCGACGCTGTCATCTGGGAAATCTTTCAATCCCTTGGTCTGCAGCCTCGCATCGCGCCCTTTGTATCGCTCGAATACGAACTCGAGGGCCTTCAGGAGTGGTACGATGAGAAAAAGATTCCAAGCGATGGAGGGGACGCTCTTCGTCGTTGGGCGGCAGAGCGGCCGGCCCCATTGCTAGAGGGCTCCTTTGGGGTTTACAAACACCCCGGGGGATATTTGGATGAAACGACTCATTACCAAGAGCTCTATATCGGGAAGGACGGCTGGGGTGGTAAGTATCACAACGAGTCACAGGTCTGGTTGAATGAACGGCCGTCCAACGAGGAGTTGCAAATCCTGTTCACCGCGGTAAGTTCTCATCATCGCATAGTTTCTCCCTTTCCATCTCTCAGGGAAAGTAGACTAAGTCAGTTTGGTATATTTAGTACGGGAATGAGGCGGAGGCGGCTTATCATTATTCTCATTGTGGCATTTTGGTAGATGTCCCCGGCACCTCAGAGATTGAGGCTGCCGAGGCATTAGCTGAAGAGGTCAAGAACATGAGAATTGAATTACAGGACACTAGCGCATGAGAAGCATTATATGTCGATCATCCACAAATGAATCACGTTAAATATCTGTTCTCAGTCGAGTGCTCCTTGAGAGGACACTGTATGCTAGGTACCCAGATAGCATACAGAACACCAATGACACTGATTCCTCTATTGATCAATTCGCCTTCCTGGTTACCTTTCCTTTACTCATATTCTAATTAATGCGATATTATAATTATCTACTACTCAGATACTACTATTTGTGTTTCTGACTATTAAGACACCTCAACTCCCTAAGGATATCCTTTTATGCTTCTAATGTTAGTTCTCAATATTGTCACAACACATGATCCAGGCCACAATCACTCCTAGGGTATATCAGGCCGTCGTTTCCTGCAAAATCAGGTGAAATAGAATTAGCTGGTCCAGCCCTGGCTTTTCCAACATCCCCTGGAGTCTGAGAAGTTGTGCATACCTGAATACAAGTGGGAAAGTGTGAAACCAACTTTTCCAAAACCTTCTTTCTCTATAGAAGTACTTACTATATTGCAACGGCTTCACGTATTTCGCCTCTTGTTCTATATCCCTTCCTTAGGAAAAACAAAATGGGTTGATCCTTGATATTGAATTTCCATCATGCAGCTAAAGCTTCTTCCAGCATTTAATCAAGGGAATCACCGAGTAGAAGCCATCTGCTCTCTAATATCCAGCCCAGATCTTCGGATATAGTGGTTTAATATATGGGGCAATAACACAGGGTTCGCATCGACCGATTTTGAGCTATATGAAGCACCGGGAATCAAGGTAGAAGCCACATCGGCCAAGGCCAGCCGACTATCTACCAAGTATCTTAGCGACTCAATCCGACGAGTACTGGCGTGAAGTGGATCCCGAGGTCGCCGCTCTGAGGGAGGCGTATGCAGCCTCTATGAACAACCAGAACTAGCATTAGCAAATATTTGGAAACTGATTTCAAACAGCGCTGGTCCGGCTAAGCTGGACTAAGGTGGCATAAGCTGAACTGCCCCGTTTGGCAGCCCCCCCGAAAGGGGACACGGCCAAGTAAGATATTCTTTGTCATCATTTTTGACTGGTATAACTAGATCTCTGACGAAGTATTCTGCCGTAGTCTCTCACTCGTTTACACCATCCTCAAGACAGCAAGACACCGTCAAGGAGAGCACGGAATATGGAGCCGGTAAGCCAAGAACCCAGAGCCAAAGGCGATACAAAATGTAGCAACAAAGGGAGCAAAACATGGGATTCATTCGGACGGGTTAATTCGGATCTTTCTTTTTCTTCTTCTTTTCTTCCCTACCTTTTCTGCAGAAGAGCTTCCAGCAAGCCTTCAGAAGCCTGATTATTTACTCATTTCACCCATTTGGATACGGATGTGAGAAATATCAGATGAATCTTTATTTAATCGGAGCAGGATAGTTTTAATCAAATTGAAAAGAATCATCATCAAGGATGATGACATCAGCTGATTGAGTCGTCTCTCCCCAAGCTCATCGTCTCAAACTGCTCCGCAAATCAGCAGGGCAGAAAAGAGTTCGAGCAACACGTTCGCCCAGGTACGGTTTGAAACTGGACAGATGGCGCTACCAGGCCTTCTTCTTGCGCGTTTGACAGGGTTCACCGGATTCATTGTGTTGAGATGTCGGGTCTGGCATCTTCTTTGCTGTTTTTTACTTTGTACTCAGACTCCCTCACCCGCATCCGACATGGTTCACAGGCCGAGGCATAGCCAAGGTTGCGAGCCTTTCAGGGGGGGCAGGTTCCAAATCGGCGCCAGACTCGGGCTTGTGCCGGACTAGGGCCGCCGTAGCAGCTGCCCGTGCTGCGAGTGTCGGAATTCAACATGAGAGAGAAGGGGAGGGGCACACACGAACCAGACGAACACCGTCACTGAAGGAACGGGAGTTTTCTCCCTGCGGTCATCTATTCTTAGGCACGTATTTGCCTGGATTGTCAACATGCTGACCTGTTTTGTCCTTGATTTGCCACTTAACAGGTTCAAGGGTAACCGTCCAGGCCAACCAACCAACCAGACCACAGCTCTCCTCACCCCAATCACAAAGTAGCGGCCCTCCTACCCTGCCAAGCCTGCCAATTCCCCAAGCTGGTGTTGATCAATTCTAGTCGCGGAAAGGTGGCATGCTGGAGCCTATATGCCATCATTTTTGGGTCCAACAGGACCCTGATGACACCATGTGACATCAGTGCTCATCCCAGCTTTGTGCGTCATAAAGATGGGATTCTCAACAATTCCCCTGTGCTCGAGTAGAATTGCGTATCGTGTTTATCTACATATATAATCTCAGTAGCTTATACCAAAAAAAAAAACAATTGTCCATTATCATTACGCTTCAAATTTTACACTCCTCACAATAAGACACTGCTGCTCTACTCACCAGCTTCCATCGTACCTTGTGCTGTCTATTTATTCGCGTTTTATTCGCGTCAATGCCAAGACGTGCGCTGGCCGAAGCCGCCGACGACTCCTATCTCTACACCGAAAGCAATTGCGTCGCTCCATCTTTGTTGTCCAAGTGCCAATTCATAGAACGCGGCGGGCCAGCGACCCACCTGCCCGTCGCAGGAGAATGCCACCATCTACAGGCCATGTACCTGGAGGCAACGGATCAGGGACCCTTATTCACACCTCCAACTGATGACGACGCAAGGACCATCTCTCCTCCCCCACTCACGGCTGGATCCGAGGCGGCACCAGTCTCGCCGATCATGGGTCCCCATTGTAGTGGGGAGCTGATGTCACCCCGACGATCCTCAGATACTGAAATAAGAACACAAGCGAGGCAGGCAGCTTACGAGTTTTCGCGCGGAGACGAGGACCTGGAAATCATGTTTGAGCTCAACAGCGACATGGGAATAACATTGCGGCATCCCTTTCGGGAAAACTTGGCAGGGCCTCCGCCAAGTGCAGGGAGGAGATGGCTGAAGCGGGGGGCAGAAGAAGCTCCAGAAGGCGACATGGTGGATTCTAGCACGAGTGAGCCGTCCAGCGGCGATGATTGGGTGCCGGCAGGGCTAGACATGGGTCAGGCACCGACATTTTGGCACGGGGGTGATGGTCGTTTCGCGAGTGATGTGAGTGGTAGAGATGCTGTTCGGACCGTGGAGCTGCTCGGGGCTCGATTACACAAAGATGCAAGGCAACAGTTGGAGTTGACTGAATCGTGCGTACGGTTTGGCTCAGGTAGCGGAGTTTAAAAGCCACTATAATAATATCTTTGAGCGATTCTTTTCACAATCTGACCTCGACATGCTGGGATATGCAACCTGGGCCGGCTCTATCGTCTGATTGGATGGTTGGGCAGTCCCTTGCGGTCTAGAATTCCAGCGGAGCAAAATCTCCTAGGTGCATGCCCCACTTGCTCGTGGTCCTCAAGGAAAGTGCGAGAGACGTGCCTGTCGCCTGCTTTTGCGTGTCGCTCGAGCAGAGCATTGGCGATTTGCATTCAATCTTGGCAACTTGGTCATCGTTGTGATGCGCACCCTGAACTTGGCCAAGGTCCCTGTAGCAAATGCGCCTAGAGCCCGATCTTAGCTAAATCAAGGGGATTACATGGATGATGGACCCCCATGACGAAATGCATCTGCAATCCCGCACCACGAGCATTTGCCACTCACCCGATTGCCTCTCTCCTGGTGCAACTTCCCGCGGGGCTAAACTTGGCGCAGAAGCTATCTCACTGCAGATGCGGGGGGGATGGTTGGAGGGCCGGCGGCATTCCAGTCCCGCACTCGCATCCATATCTGCAAGATTGATTTCTCGACCTTGTTGGAGTCCGCACCCACGACCACGACTCACTGGCCCGCGATCCCATGGCTGAGTGCGGGACAAGGCCACCCTGGAGCGCATCCGAGGCTTCGCGGCAAGACGAAGTGACAAGGTATCTTCCCCTATCCTCTCTACGGTTCCGGCGGTGGTGCTTACTTGTGCCGTGAAACAGATACGGCTCGACCCTGCTGAGCGTCTCCAGGTTCAACAACCCGACCGAGCCCATCCCGAGCGTCGAGTTGTCCACCTCCAGCGATGCCGTCCTCACTGCTCTGTGCCAACTGGGAGCCTGGCAGACGGGCACGGGCAGGGCCTTCCTGTCGCTGTTTAGTGCCCAGCGCCAGCACATTGTCGCCGAGGCCATGCTGTCTCTGCCGCTGCAGCCATCACTCCCCAGCGAGGACTGTCCGGCGCCTCTGTGGCTCTGCGGAACCGCCATACCTCGCCCATTGGGAGTATGCGAGGGCACCGTCATCGCCGAGAACTCAGACCATTCGAACCTCCCCCTCACTCTTTGCGACAACCTAGCCACGGATCCCCGGTTCAGCGACAAGCCTTATCATAACTTTGGAGGGGAGGCCAAGTTCTACGCGGCCGTGCCTGTTCGCACACGGAGGGGCATCAATATTGGCGTCTACTGCGTGGTTGACGAGACTCCAGGCCGGCCCTGGAACGATACGTACACGGCTCATCTTCAACATGTTTCTCGAAACATCATGAACCACCTAGAGTCGCAGCTTCTCAAGTCTGTACATCGACGGAACGAGAGGATGAACCGAGGTCTGGGTTCCTTTGTCGAGGGCGAAACAACCTTGTCAGGATGGCGGTTCAGCCCCAACTCCGCCGCCTACACCAACCAAGATAACCTCGAAGGCGCCCTCAACGCTAAACAGCAATCCCTCGGCCTCTTGCCCGCCCCCCAAAACAGCCTGCCCGCGGGAGACGTCATGGCCCGAACCCCCATGTCAGAGATGGACCCGAAAGACTCGTACTTTACAACCGAACCGGCCCCAGCGCCTGAACGTGATGACAAGGCCAACGTCTACTCGAGAGCCGCCAACATCATCAGAGAATCAATCGAGGTAGAGGGATGCGTCTTTTACCGCCCAAAACTGTCATTTCGTGCTCAACCGGACCCCAAGTCCGCCGACCAGGCGAATACGTGGGGCTACACGAGCTCGTCCGCCAGCGGCGGCGAGGCGAGCTACGGCTCCGAGGCTCGTCCCTGTCACGTACTCGGCTTCTCCAACTCGGAGCTCTCCAGCATCGACAGTGTCTTCCATGCGAATGCCGGCCTATCCATGACGGAAGACTTTCTCGCCAATCTCCTCCGCAGGTATCCCCAGGGCACCACGTTCAAGTTCAATGCCGAGGGTGGGCTGCTCTCGTCGGATTCATCGGGCGACGAAAATATCCCCCTCCTCGCCTCCAGCACCCTCTCTAGCCGAACCAAGTCGGCAGAAGACCTCAAGACAACGTCGTTGCCTCCGTCACCATCAGCCGAGCAGCAGCAAGCCACGTCCAGAGCCAAACGGTCGCGCGGCCAGGAGGGCAAAGCTCTACGCGAAGCGTTCCCCAACGCTCGCAGCGTCCTCTTTTTCCCCGTGTGGGATTCGCGCAAGGACGGCTGGTACGCCGCCGCCTTCGCGTACACCTACAGGGAGGGCCGGGCCTTCTCTGTGACGGGAGAGCTCAGCTATCTGCGAGCCTTTGGCGCCGTCGTCGCGTCCGAGATCCAGAAGCTCAACACCCTCTCTGCCGACCAAGCCAAGGCCGACGCGCTGGGCTCTCTCTCGCACGAGCTCCGCTCACCGCTGCATGGCGTCCTTCTCAGTGCAGAGCTTATGAGGGATACCAACATGGACGTCTACCAGGGCAACCTAGCGCACACCATTGAGACATGCTCGCGCACGCTGCTGGACACGATCGATCACCTCCTCGACTACTCGCAGATCAACGACTTCTCCAACCCGGGTAGGAAAATTGGCAGCCCCCTCTCAAGCGCATCCAGCAGGGGAGGCCAGGGGCAGTTTGGCAAGAGGTCGCTGTTTTCGTACATCAGGCTGGACGGCGTCGTTGAAGAGGTCGTCGAGAGCGTGTTTGCAGGCTTCAATTTCCAGTACCAGTCCCTCAGACAAGCGTCCCAGGCGACCGTGGCCAGCGACGTCGCCGCGCACCAGCGCCTTGACTCGGCGCAGGCGTCTGAGCAACTCCAAGGGCGCAGTCAGGGGGTTGTCGAGCATCTAGAGTTCGGCAACGTGTCAGTCCTGCTCTCGATTGACTCGAGCTGTCTGTGGGAGTACCACGTGCACGTAGGCGCCATCAGGAGAATCATCATGAATTTGTTTGGCAACGCCCTCAAGTACACCGACTCCGGCACCGTTATGGTGTCTCTAAGCCAGGATACTATATGGCTTAGGAGGCGCAGAAGACATGTTGTCAGGATCGCGGTGCGAGATACAGGCAAGGGTATGAGTGCCGACTTCCTCCAGACGGGGCTATTTAGACCGTTCAGCCAGGAGGATACGATGTCGCCCGGCACAGGTCTAGGGCTTAGCCTAGTCAAAAATATCACGACACAGCTCCACGGTCGCATATCCATCGATAGCCAAGTCGGCGTGGGAACGACCGTCTCGGTTGTGCTCCCGCTCAAGCGCGCAGAGCTGCCAGCCGACATCCATGCATCCCGATCCGACGACGATAAACAATTCGATGGCCTCGTCAACGATTTGAAGGGGCTGAGGGTTCGTATCATAACCGCTGACGAGGCGGGCAGTACTGCTCCATCGGCCGTCAATGTCTCGCTGCATGATATTTGTCGTGATTGGCTGCACATGGAAATTGTGTCGACTGAAATGTCCTCGCCGGCAGTTGTCCCCGATATTATTCTCTGGTCCTACGATGCTTCGGTCCAAGCACAAGGCGACATCAAAGAGCTCTCTAAGTTCCCAAACGTAGTCATCTGTCCCAATGCTCTCGTAGCCTACCACCGAAATATCGAACCGACATCGCCCGATGGTGTGAAGCTTCTTGAATTTGTCTCGCAACCGTACGTCTGCTGTCCTCTTCCCACGATTGCCCACATATTAACACTTGATGCGCAGAATCGGTCCCCGGAAGCTCGCAAAGGTCTTGTCCTTGGCGTACCGCCGATGGGTTGAACCTTCATACCCATTCAATCCCCAGAGCGTTGAAGCACCTTTGACCGTCTCGAGACCCAAGATTGCAAGGAGGACCATAAGCTCCTCTGTCGTCTCCGACATTGATTCATTGAACATGACACCGCAGAAAACCGAAACGGGTGGCCTTGCGCCCACGCCAGGCTCATCAGTCAGCAATGAGGGTCAGTCAGATAATGATGAGCGGGTTACGAGATGCCTCCTCGTCGACGACAATGACATCAATATCAAGGTGTTGTCGGCGCTCATGAAGAAGCTCGGCATCGACTACCAAACGGCAAGAAACGGCAAGGAGGCCCTTGATGCCTTTAGCCAGAATCCGGGCGCCTATGTATGTATCCTAATGGATATCTCCATGCCGGTCATGGACGGGTTTGAGGCGACCCGGTCTATCAGAACTTTCGAGGTCAAGGAACGTCTCCAGCCCGTGTCCATCATTGCGCTCTCTGGATTATCTTCGAACGAGGCCCATCGGGAAGCATTCGAGAGTGGCATGGACTTGTTCCTAACGAAGCCGGTGAAACTGATGACGCTCAAAGATCTCTTGCAATCCAGAGGTATCATTTGAAGAATGACCGAGGTTTACGACGTCAAAAGTCGTAAAGGATTATGCTCCCGAACCTGCCTTAAAAAGCATCTTATTACTACTATATCGATCCAAAGTCTTTTAGGACTTCACTCGAGATGACAGCCACTGCCATATATGAAGGCATTCGTCGGCTCCGCCATCGCTTCCGAGAGGATCGTCGCTGTTGCCCTAACGCGTCTTCCCACCAGTGGCAGGGTCGCAAACAGAATCCCAGCAGGGTATGACTGACCACAGCCGCGTTCAGCTGTCGACAGTCAGAACTAAATTTGCGACTCTGCTACAGCGCTCGGACCAAAGTATATAAAGCTTTTCGTCTATAGTGCTGACATTGGTCTTCCCACAGTTACTGCCAGAAACACTATCCTTGCGTAGGTGTTACCTTGGATTCTCAAGCTGAAAATAAACATATAGATCTACCAGTCTAGAACATGTACACGTAGTCTAGCTTAGTGTAAAAAGAAAGACGGTTCTCTTAGGAAACGTCTATCGAATGCCTTATAATTGTCATACCCCGAACAAGGGCTTTTACCCGTTTTGTAGTTGTTCTTTCTTCTCCCTATTTCGTAGGTCACGGTTGTCATTTCAATAATCGAGTTGCACCTAGACCTTAGCCTGTGGGTGCACACGGTTACTCAGCCCGATGGAGTGACGGGGCTTGTAACGACATTCACCTGTGTCAGTTTCAAAGCTACGCGCTACGCTCTATCAAATCACGTCGCTGTTTCTTTTCGCCTTGTTTTTTTCACACGTGCGAGCGGAAATCGGATTGACCAAGAGCTGCGAGATTGGCTCGCAAGTCTACCGCCGGAACTGAAGCTCAAGGAGGTCGTTGACCGAATGTTCATGTTGCAAGCACTGGCGGTTTAACTTGCATACGGAAACGCGCAAATTTTACGCATCAGGCTCTGCTCTCACCCAACACCCGCATCCCAGTACCAGGGTTCGCCAAGTAGGCGAGAAGCTGCTCGACAGCAAGACATCTTCAACAACAGAGTAATGTCACTGGAGCTGGCGGCGTCTACCCGTGTGGCATCGGAAGCGAGCAGAGACCATTGCTGGGAGTCTGCCATCCAACCATCAGACTTGGGCATGTACAAGCAATGTCTAGAGCTTGAGCGAGATACCCACGCTGCCACCTTCCTCAGCACACGTTTCTTCACGGCTAGAGTGGCCCTCTGCGTGTTTGCCATGTCGTGTCCCATCATCTTTGCCTCATCATGCAGTATCCCTTTCCATGAAACCTCAATACAAATCAGGTACTATCAGAAGTTAGACCTGTTACTCAGCAGATTCCAAGCTTGTTATGGCAACTCCAGCATGTGACACAACCAGGGAATGCCGTTTCAAACCTGCATTTCGGTAAACAACTTATTTATAGCTGTCTAAACAAAAAGCGAGGTCATCACATGAAGGGCGTGCTGTGTTTGTACCACTGAGACGCGCGTCTTCACTTCACACTCACAACAATTTCGCTCACTTCTCCCTAAACAAAACCTCCCTTTCTAGCGGCTGTTCCCAGATTCAGTTCTTCTCTCTTCATTTAGTCTTCAGGCAAATCAAAAGACTTCATCTCTCTAGCAGACACAAGTTTTCGATTTGGGCAAGCAGCCATTCTCACCCAGGTAAGCGTCTCACTCTATTCCATCTGAGGTTTCTTCTCTAAGTTGTCCCTTCAAGTTGAAGAAAATCACAGGTTCCTCTGCCTTAGATTGTTCCCTGCTTCGCACTGATGGAGCGTCCCAAGCTTACGGGCCACCGCCGACTTCCGGCATCGCTCATCGACAAAGACCAGAAATGTCAGAACTGCCACCAGCCCGGTGCGACCAAGACGTGCTCCGGTTGTGGGATTTCGGACATAGGCTCCATCTGCACCCGTTACTGCAACGAAGCCTGTCAGAAGCAGCACTGGGCCCTACATAAGCCCGTTTGTCGGGATCGTCGCCGCCTCGCCAGGGCCGTCCGACTTCTTTCTGAGGTCTGGGAAGCCTTTTCTACTCTCACCTACGACAGATTCCTGACGTACAAAGTCGAGAAGGGGGGGTTCATCTCTGCTCATGACGAGCCGGATCTCACCAAGGACTTCGGATGGGTTGGGGAGACCATATTCCGCGACTTCCATCGAGACGTGGTGCCTCATGATGCTGACGACGAGGTAAAGCTGGCACTGCTTCATGATTCTAGTTGTGCCGAAGTCATCTCCGTCGGGTTAGAGCTTATCGAGCTCTTTTTGGAGCGTAAGTTTCAACTCTTGCACGACTGATCTCCTTATCTGGTCTATTTTTCTGATATCCGTTCTGCCTCTTGCTGACCTCATTTTGATACCAGCCATTTGTTCCACCATTCGAGAGGCGAGCGTGAAGGGAAAAGACCTCGCAATGTTCATCACCCAACCTAACGGCGTCGTAAAAGTCTTTAATTCCCACTTGGTGCTCCATGTTCAGGTCAACAGCGGCGAGAGCTTCGCCATCGACATCACCGGTGCTCAATTTGGCTGGCACGAGAAGATGTACAAGTGGGATGTCTATCTTCAGCATCGTGCTACCTTTGTCCGTTGTCTAGAGCTTGGAACTTGGGCCGGTTGCTGCTGGACTAAAATGATGGCTTTTGAGTCCAACACTTTCCAACGACAAGCCTACGAGCTTCGAAACCAAATCTGCAGCGCGACTGAAGTGGCTCTGAAGGCATTCCTTGCCCTGAAGCATACGAATGTTCTCTCGCTAGTGTCAACACCTGACGCTGCGGCATTTCCAGCTCAAAAGACGGAGCTCGTCGAGCGAGCTGTCTCCTGTATCAAGGAAACGATCCATAACCTTACGGCCGTGCAAGCTATGGGCAGGTGGTACGTGGAACTGATTAAGGTGCTCCCTGGCAAATTCGCAATAGCGCGCAGGGTTGTCGATGAAGAAAACTTTGCCAAAAAGATGGAAAAGGCCTACCTCACACAAGAACAAGTCGAGAAACTTCGATCTCTCAGTGTGGGTGAGCCCTGGGGGTTCCAAGAAGCTCTAGCGCAGGCGATGTATCTTCGACAGGAGAAACATGGGTGCCTGGGTCATCAGGGACGGAAAATGGAAAACTTCAGTATTGGGTCGGCGGCTTCTTACAGTCAGTATTTGCTCCATGGGTTATGGGAAGAGCAGAGCAAATCGTCTACATCGACTGTTTCGCGATATATCTGACATAGGCTTGTCATTGACGCATATTTCAAACCATATCTCCTTACTCTAAATGTTTCCATTCTTCTACCTACCAATTAGTCTGAGCATAGGTCAGGATGAAGATATTGCAGTTTTAATATTAGGGTCCCAATACCAAGTTTCTTAAACGATGTATCCAGTTGAATATTAAGACAGGTGGTGAACCTCAACTTCATTCATCCCCACAATGATATTACCGGAACTAGAACAAGTTCCAAGGGGGGAAGAGGCTCAAATAACGAGCCCTTCCCAGCAGCATGGGAATCTTTCGACCGCTGATCAATCGATGAATGATTATCTAAAATAAAAAATACGTCAACATAGAAGGCCTAGACTTGCATCGATTATACCAATGAGAGCGGCCTCGAGATAGGAAGAACAGGTGGCCAAAGTTCATCAAGGCAGTTCCATAGCGGGATAGCTAATGATTGCTAGAACCATTAACCGCACCGAAATTAAACTGTAGGTAGTCCTTGCAGCGCTTATTTGATGCTACTTGGTGAGCACTGAAGTTGAAGTATGGTAGACCTCTAACTTAGATCAAGTATTTAATGCCTTGTGGGATGCCATCGTCAAGTCTCTACGTTGCTATGACATTGGGTTTCAACTCTCCTCTTTTCGCAATTATTATATTCTCACTAAATTATAGAAGTCAAAGCAATTTCCGTGTATGTCTATCTAGCATTACATTATTCTTTTTAAGTCTTGATAGTTAGTATTTCAGAATTAAATGGATAAAGGAAACGTCGTATATGTAAAGAGAGGATCGAATAGGAAACTGAGAGTCAGTTGGTCTGTTGGTTCAAAGACGAACAAGAATCAGATAAGCAAGACAAAAGAAAAAGGACAAAGATTGTAATGTGTCTAAACCGCGGCAAAGACCGACACCATAGTGCCCAACGCGGCACCGCAGTAAATAGTGCGGCCACCAGTGCCCACCCTGCATGGACTGTTGCAAGTGTTCCTCTTCTCGTCGGCAGTGGTGCTGGCTGGAAAGGCGTTTCCACAGGTACACTGGTATCCAAGTACACCAATCGCTCCTACTGTTCCCAGCGAAAAGAACTGGGCGGGAGCACCGGTGCCTTGGACAGTGGTGCAGTAAGCGGCGCAGTCGTCGATTGTTCCTGTCAAAGTCTGGGTGTAAACAGTGCCGTCAAATCCCCATTTTCCATTGACTAAGTTGGAGGGGAAGCATCCGAGGTAGTCGTAAGTGGCCGCGTAGGAGGAGGTGGTGGAATCACCCTTGGCACCTTGAGGGCCGGTTGCTCCAGTGGCTCCAGTAGCGCCGACTGCCCCCGTTGCTCCGGTCGGCCCGGTCGGTCCAGTCGGCCCCGCAGCTCCGGTGTCTCCCTTCAAGCCTTGAGCACCAGTCGCGCCGGTTGCTCCAACGGCACCTGTTGGTCCAGTAGGCCCCTGAGGACCGGTATTGCCTGTTGGACCTACTAGGCCTTGGGGTCCGGCCGCACCAGTGTCGCCTCTGGGACCAGTCGCTCCTGTATCACCCTTCACACCGGCAACACCCTGAATCCCCCTCTCACCCGTATCCCCCTTCGGTCCTTGAGTGCCGGTGTCTCCTTTCACACCGGTGGCACCGGTGGCACCTTGGACACCAACATCACCTTTAGGACCAGCAGCCCCAGTGTCACCTTTGACACCAGCCGCGCCTTGAAGGCCCTGCGAGCCAGTGTCGCCTTTAGGACCTGTTGGGCCAGTTAGGCCGGTAGGGCCCTGGATGCCCGTGTCACCCTTTACACCTGCTAAGCCCTGGACTCCTTGAGCGCCAGTATCTCCCTTGGGGCCAGCTAAACCTTGAGGACCTTGCAAACCAATGGGTCCTTGAGCGCCTTGCGCGCCAGTATCGCCCTTTGGTCCTGATGAACCAGTTGGGCCGATAAGACCCTGCTCGCCCGTGTCACCCTTGACGCCTTGTGAACCGGTATCTCCTTTCTGTCCAGTCAGGCCCTGGATGCCAGTATCACCTTTCAAGCCTATTGGGCCTTGAGCACCGGTATCGCCTTTCAGACCAGTCAAGCCTTGGGGGCCCTGTGCACCAATGTCCCCCTTGATACCAGCGGCTCCGGTGTCACCCTTCGGGCCTGCAGGCCCTTGTATGCCTTGTAACCCAGTATCGCCCTTTGAGCCTGTTAGTCCAGTATCGCCTTTGGCGCCAGCTATTCCGGCCGGACCTTGAGAGCCAGTCAGACCTTGAGGGCCTTGAGAACCAATATCTCCTTTCGGGCCAGTTAGGCCTTGAAGCCCTTGAGGACCTACGTCGCCTTTCGGGCCAGTTAGACCCTGGGTGCCTTGCGGGCCAATTTCCCCCTTGTCACCAGCTACTCCCTGTATGCCTTGAGAGCCAGTATCGCCTTTTGGACCTTGGGCGCCAGCACTACCAGTTGGGCCTTGAGCACCAGTATCCCCCTTCAAGCCCTGCACACCGGCATCTCCCTTGGGGCCTTGTACACCAGGATCTCCCTTGAGACCCTGGGGGCCAGTATCGCCTTTGATGCCCTGTGAGCCAGCGTCGCCCTTTACGCCCTGGAGTCCAATGTCCCCCTTGACACCTTGAGGGCCCTGAGCACCGATGTCCCCCTTGATTCCCTGAGTTCCCTGGGCTCCAGTATCGCCTTTCGGGCCTTGTGAGCCAGTATCGCCCTTGTCTCCTTTAGGTCCCTCAACTCCTTGAGAGCCTTGAGAGCCAGTGTCTCCTTTGGGGCCTTGTAAACCAACATCTCCCTTTTGACCAGTGATTCCCTGGAGCCCTTGAGGGCCTTGAGCACCAGTGTCACCTTTGGGTCCCTGTGAGCCAATGTCACCTTTCTCGCCGGTATCTCCCTGTATTCCCTGTGGTCCAGCAAGACCTTGAGGTCCTTGAAGGCCGATAGCGCCAGTGTCGCCCTTCTCTCCTTGAAGACCTTGGAGCCCCTGGCTGCCTTGAAAACCTTGAGGGCCTCGTGGTCCTTCAGGACCTTGGGGCCCTTGAAAGCCAATGTCGCCTTTTGGTCCCTGTCCACCAGTGTCACCCTTTAGTCCTATTGGTCCCTGGGGCCCTTGAGGTCCTTCAAACCCAATGTCACCTTTCGGGCCTTGGGGGCCAGGATCTCCTTTGACACCCTGAAGGCCTTGTGAACCAGTATCACCCTTTCCGCCGGTTGCTCCTGTTAAGCCTTGAGGGCCTTGAGGCCCTGCAATGCCTTGAGCTCCAGTATCTCCCTTGGGTCCAGTCGGACCTTGGGACCCTGGCAGCCCCTGTAGACCTTGGACACCTTGAGAGCCAGCGTCACCTTTGGGACCTTGTGAACCGGTTTCTCCTTTAGGGCCTTGTGGTCCGACATCGCCTGTCGCTCCCTGAATACCTTGGGGGCCAGAGTCACCCTTTGTTCCAGTGAGCCCCTGAGGTCCTTGAAGGCCTTGAGGTCCTGCAACACCTGGGTCACCTTTTGTTCCTTGGGGTCCTTGGGGTCCCTGAGGCCCTGCACCACCTATACCGCCTGTGTCTCCTTTTGGGCCCTGGGCACCAGCATCACCCTTTGGACCTTGAGCTCCAGTGCCGCCTTTAGGGCCTTGAGAACCTGTCTCGCCTTTGGGACCTTGAGTGCCGTTATCGCCTTTGGGGCCTTGAAGTCCTATGTCGCCCTTGGTTCCTTGTGGTCCTTGAAGGCCAATGTCGCCCTTCACACCGTTGAGCCCCTGGAGTCCTTGAGGTCCTTGAGATCCGGGAGAGCCAACCTCTCCTTTTTCACCAGTGTCTCCTTTTGGTCCTTGAGGCCCTTGCAGGCCAGTGTCGCCTTTTACACCATTGAGGCCTTGAGGACCCTGCTGTCCGGTCAAGCCAGTATCACCCTTTGGACCTTGGAGACCGACGTCGCCTTTGGGACCTTGTGAACCAGTAAGACCAATTGGACCTGCTGGGCCGACTTCTCCCTTGTCACCATTCGCTCCTTGGAGACCCTGGGGCCCGATTGAACCAGTGTTGCCTTTGGGGCCTTGGGGACCGGTTAGGCCTGTAGGACCAGAAGCACCAGTATCACCTTTGACACCATTCGCGCCTTGAAGACCTTGAAGACCCTGTGCGCCAGTGTCACCCTTGGGGCCTTGAGAACCAGTGTCACCTTTCACACCAGTTGTTCCTTGAAGACCTTGAGGGCCCTGTGAACCGGCGTCGCCCTTCGGACCTGTCAATCCCTGGGCGCCTGGAGCACCCTGAGGACCAGTACTACCCGTGAGGCCAATTGGTCCCTGGCCACCTATGCCTCCAATCTCGCCTTTGGGGCCCTGGGCACCGGTATCGCCCTTGACACCTTGACTTCCGACATTTCCCTTGGGGCCCTGCGCTCCAGCATCGCCTTTTGGGCCCTGGGAGCCTGTGTCGCCCTTGAGGCCTTGCTGACCTGTAATCCCAGCCTGGCCTTGCAGTCCGATGTCTCCCTTGGGGCCTTGGGTGCCGATGTCACCTTTGACGCCCTGCGAACCGGAGTTTCCTTTTGGGCCTTGAGGACCAACCGGCCCAAAAGGTCCCTGAGGTCCGATTGGTCCCTGATTGCCTCTGACACCTTGGGGGCCTTGTGGCCCAGGAGGTGCATAAGGCCCCTCTGCGTATGGGGCTTCGACGATCTTGCTACCGTATGGCGTCGCCTTTTTCGGAAGACTTTTCGTGATTTCTCCGGGTGTTTCCAATATCGGTGCCGTTGATGCCTGTTCCTGTACTTGGCCACGTCCTCGACCTCGACCACGTTCACGTACTCGCGCTCGTCCTCGCGCTCGTGATCGGGAGCGCCCACTTCCACGGCTTGTCGAGTCCAGGAAGATAACGTTGTAATGCTCTACAACGTGTGTAGAGGACTCCTTATGGGACGACTTCCTCCATCTAACAGTTATGTTATTAGTCTGAAGATCAAGCCAAGTCTTGCAAGTGACTTACCTCTCCAAGGCTATACCAGGAACGGGCACGGTATAGTCTAGGCTTGGACCGATAATAGGCTCTAGGTAGTCCGAACCTTCATCTATGATGGACTCGACATAGTCCGGGACTATATCGGTCATGAGCTCGATATAGCCCGGGTCTTCATCGGTGGCTGGCTCGACATAATCGTTGCTTGGACTGGTGACGGACTCGAAATATTCCGGGCCATTATCTACTTTCCCGTCCTGATGAAGCACCAAGGCGATGGGCTTGAAGTTACCAGGGGCATCCTCTGCTTTGCCGTCCTGATGGAGCACCAAAGCAGCGACGCGACTCAGAGGGGCCAAGAAGGACGGAAGGGCTACAAGGCGCAGTAGCCTGACCAGGATCACCATATTGAAGCTTCAGCCGAGCGAGGGGAGCAGCCGCCACCACTTGAGGAGACCGACTAGAGGGATCGGGAGTGGTGAGGAAGACAACCTCTTCCGTGCGGCGTTTCAAATTCATCTTCTCTTTATATAAACTGGTTTAAACGAGGTCATATCGCGTTTACATTCGGTTCCCCGGTAACTGTTTCCATCTCAACGGTCTTGGCAAACTCAACTTCCTTGGTCCCCGCCAACTACGCCATGCCCTCAACTGTCTTCTGGAAAAGCCAAGCCATCAAGGTATTTGGAGATAATGAATGTCTCATCTTGGCCTTGAACATGGTGCTGAAGAACGAGTAGCACATAGCAACATAAGGAATGGGATGAGGTGGATTGCTGAAGATATATGTCTAAGACGTAGTTAAGCCGCCTTCTTCCCTGCCGTTACGCTGATCCTAAGGGCGATCCAAAACGGGCTCCTCCACCATCCTCTTCCTCTACCCTACCTATGTGAAGATACCAAAATTTTTGGAAAATATAAACCTAATTCTTGTATCTTTTATGCTGTTTACTCAGTTTAGATCTTAATTCTCAGTTCAACCCTTCTTTCTGCAGGCGTTTTTAAGCTTACCCTGGATGAATAGATGGCTGGCATGTTGTCTCACCCTGCCGAAGCATGCCCGATGATTTTCGGTGCTGTCCTTTGTTACAAGTAGGTTAGCCCCCGAGGCTCTACGGGAGCAGTACTACTAGCCCATCAAAGACGCCATCTAATTCATGGTCGGGAGCGGTCTTCGGCTTCGACCTTAGATATCACCTAGGTGGAGCAGCGGCTTAGCATTTCTACTCGGAGAGCTCAAGGGATGGGCCCAATGGCTTCATCTACGAGATTCTCTGAGAATCCATCAATTGTAGAATAACCATAATATATACATACGAGATGGCAAAGATCCAACATCTACACTACGTAGAAGTTTTCCAATGCTGTAGTATCCTTACCAATATAGCCTCATATAGTGGGAAAAGATGATACATAATGACTCGAGTCAAGCCTTTCAATACCGTACGCGTAATCTCGCGGAATTTATTCGAGACGTGTCTCATAACACGCTGCCCTCCCGTCCTTCACTAAACTACGTATAGTAACGGGCGTGGCGGCTTGTAGATTCTAGCCGCAGCTAGCATCCAGCTAATAGGGCATGCTTTCATCAAATTCCTCAGCCCTGTCTTACCCTTGAGTGACGGCAAGAAGGGTGATAGTTTTAGCCGTTTCGGCAAGGGCATGACATGAGCCGAGGAAGTACTGAGGCAAACGTCACCTACGGCTAAAAATTCCGGAGCATCATCTTGTTTCACATCGAGCGAGCCACTGATCACGGTAACTTGAACCCGTTGATGATTCTTGTAGCGCTAGATTTCATACGGGTTTCATCCTAAGAAAAGCAGGGCGGACATGGTAGTCTCCTTCAAACAAGTGGCTACTCAATGATCGGCCCGTGGACGTCGGTATCGACGAACTTCATCTGACTTGGCCGGCGATAAATCATGCCGCTTGCAATCTCCGTTTTCACCTCCAATGCAGGCGAATCCGAGGCCATGGTGTATAGCGTCCTATTGAAGAGATACAAAAGGCACAATAATTGTCACGCCATCTAATGCGCTATATTTCGGAAAAACTAGCCTATAATATGCGGTGATAGTAGAGACTATTTAAAGCATCGCTATGACGGGAGAAACTTACAGCCACCCTTTTCTCCCAGTTTCCTGAATGGTATTTGACCGAGTTCAGAGGGAATGTTGTGGATGAAACGAAACGATCCCACCCACCTACTTGACACAACACCCATCAAATTTTGTTACACACTCTGCAATGTGTGGTCTGCATTCCGCGTTTGTTTTCTGCCAAGCCCTTCAGAGCAGCTTCCAGTTGTTATGCCAAAGAGCTACAGTCTTGCAGGTCGTGAGCCCCAGAATGAGCCGTGGACTATGACTGGCACACAGGATCATAGAATCACAGCCGATAGATTTTATTTATAAATGTTACTATAGCATAATTCCGATCCAGTGAGGCGCAGAACATCGCAATTGAAATCCCAACTCAACTGAGTTTTGGTGGCCGAGAAGGCTCATTCCGAACCACTGAACTGTCGATCATATCCCCCCATTACGTCGTACGTACTTCGTGCGATATCAGGGTGAATCCAAATATCGATGAAATTGGCGTTAATGACAAGTTAGTCCTGCAGAAGTCGGGAAATTCGCTGTACCAACGAATGGCATCCGCATATTGCATGTGCCATGTGTATATTTACTACAGCCCGACATCCCTCAGGAACTTGTGCAAGAACATAAACATCTATAGCTACGAAAGATATACTTCGCTTTCGTGAAATATTATCAATGGAGTTCAGAGCAACACCAGGTTTCCAGAAGTCGCAGACACTCAAACCCCCAACATGTTGGGTTCTATAACGATATACCTGTTGCTCAGGGGACCGAAAGTAGTGGTGTTTACTAGATATAGATGTACGAAGAAGTACGGATATTTACTATTGATAAGTTCAATCCAAAGCCAAGATGACTGAGACTAGTTTCAGACGACTTGAGCCAAGGGGGACGGGATTCAGCTTCTCGCAAGGCCACTCTCAAGCATACAGGCGCCATACAATTTCAATCTATCTATATTCCATGATCCATTTCACACCTTGATAAACGGATTGCAGTCTCTGTCGAATTTCTCATAGGCCCTTTTCCGCAATTCGTTGGAAGACGGGTGAAGGATCCAGAAACGTCTCGGCCTTGTAGCACCGGAGTTTCCCGTCTTCGTCATGTTCCACATTGAATACCGCGAACCCCGGGATTTCAATCACATCTCGGTCGGGGTTGTCTCCTTTCACGAGGTACCTAATCTTAGCTGATTGGTATATCCGATCTCCAACGAAATCTATGTGGTTTTAGACGGTCGGTTGTCTTGTTTGGAAAGCAGGAGATCATTGCGTTACGTACCGAAATAGAGTACCTCGTGTGTCATTAAATCAAGCTTTTTGAACACTTCCTTAAACATCTGTTGAAAATTTTAGGACCCGGAAAAGGTTATAGATGGTGGAGCTATGCTGACCTGCCGGACGCTTTGCCCAGATATGACGGGGTTGTTGGCATATTGCAAGCTGGCATTTTCTGTGAAAAAGTTGTCCAACCAGTAATCTGCATCCAGGGACTTGCTACCAGAGTGAAACTTGAGCTTTGTCAATTGTTTGCTTGGCATTATCAACAGGTGGTATCACTGACCTCATGGAGCCACGCAAGTATTTCTTGCCTTTCGAATGCAGGAGTAGCCATATTGGTCGGATAATGTGAAAAGAGTCCAATATTTGATAGTATTGTTAGATTTCAAATTAAAAAAGAAAGAAAGAAAGAAAGAAAGAAGGCACTTGGGAAAGATATATACCCCCAGAAAGCACGCAATTTATCATCAACCTACACCAGCTGGGATCCATCAGTTGACGTTAGACTGGGTTTGGAAAGCTCTTACTTCCTATCTGGGTATTGTGGGACTCGCCGATCCTTCTCTAGCTTCAACCCAGAAGGTAGTCAATATTATTAATAAACCATCAGGAGGGCGCTGACAAATATTGCTTGCTTAGTATTCATTGTGTTGAGATGTCGGGCCTGGCATCTTCATTGCTGTTTTTTACTTTGTACTCGAACTCTTCGCCCGTATTGCTTGCTTATTGGAATAGATAGGATATCCCCCCCGCCACAGCACAATTTCAAGCCAGGGGCTTGCGGGCTCTAATTTGTATCCCATGAAACAAAAGTAATATTTCATTTTGTTTCTAGTTCTGTAGCTCAGAGTGTTAGCCTCTGAGCAAATCATGTTGCAACTTCGTAGTACGAGTTGATCTAAAAGGAGGGGAAGGCAAATTTTCATTATTGCTAGTATGTTCTAAAGTAAACAAGATCCTTGAAGAAAAGCACCCCTTAGGTTTAAGAAGTATACATAATATACTTCTATCTTATCCGGAGGGTCTACTAAGCTGTCAAACAAACCGACTTCGCATCAGAGTTGTGGGTCTGTTTCTTATTGATGTCACGACCATGTGCCGTTGCTCTCATTGTGTGGGTGTCCCTCGTCTTCCTTGCCATGAGTACTCTCCAGCTCAGCTTTTCCGTCGGGTAAAATGTCTATGCTGTCTCGGCGAGGCAGGTCCTCGTCCTCTGGGTCGCCATATTCCACCAGGGTTCGCATTATTTCAGTCTCATCTACTTCAAATTAGAAAATCAACTAAATTACCATGACACCATGGTTCTTTGGCTTAGACTTACCTGACTTGGTATCCTCATCCTCATCCTCATGTTCAGCAGTTACCGGGTTCTTGCTACCGTATTCTGTCACCGTAAGGTCTGTCATCTTTCCACTAGAAGCAGCCGCTGTACCGATGGCGTCATCTTCCCGCTTTCCAATAGCCTCCCTTTCTCGACTTCTGATGATCTCATTCTGCTCCTGCTCCTTCAGGGCAAAGCGCTTGAGTGTGACACGGGGTTGTGGTTTCTCTAGACTTGTTTCCTGCGACTTTCCGTTCCTTTTCTGGTCATCGCTGGGTCTGAGGAAGTTCGGAGACTCCTCTCGCTCTCTGTCACCACTCGATCTGTGCGGCCCTGGAAAATGGAAACCTCTCATGGGAGGACGGGAGCGCTCCCGCGATGCCGAGCGCTCCCGCAATACCGAATGCTCCCTCATCCTGTAGGGAGCTGTACGGCTATTGTTGAAGTCATCTGCCTCTTTTTGGTAATGGTTCCTCTCTCGCTCGCTAGTCGCTAAGGCGGCCATGACCCTACACCGGGCATAGTAAGCCCACCCCGTGCTCGTCTCGCCATCCAGAAGTATACGGTGACGAATCTTGTCATCATCTGATGGATCTTGTATCAGGAGGTATTGGTAAAGGTGCATTTGAGATATGGAATCCGAATGTCCGCTCTCCTCCCAGAGGCCCTCAAGCTTCTCCATGATGCCTTCTGTTCCTTCTGCGCCGTTCAATACTAGCTCTTTAAGACATGCGGTCCTCAACAGAAAATCGCTAATTTCTTCTGCAGCCTTGGCGATGGTAGCAAGTCTTTTGTTGATAACGGCATAGTTTGTTCCTACAACTCGGATCTGCTCGTCGCCAAAGGGGGCATACAACGGCCAAAGTTGATCTGGAAAGACCCCTATTGGAGTCAAAAACCCCCGGACCAGGGGGCTGGAAGAGCCTAGTTCATCCTCGATTAAGGTCCATGCTCGATGCGGACACTCTTCTATCATTGCTTTGGCCGCCATCCACCTCAAGTACGGGCGGGACTTGATATTTCTTGGGTCTTGCGATCGGAGCCGGGCTGCGTACTCGCCTGCCTTCTCCAGGCATTCTAGAGCTTCTGCCTTAGTGTCCCGCATTCTCAAGTAACGCAGACCAGAGGTTGTTGAGATTTCCAGAAGCGCGAAGTTGACCGAGGTGTCCGTTCCTTCCCCGACCCAGTCTTGATCCAGCTGCTCTAAACAGTTGGAGGGAATATTCCTCATCCTTGGGAAAAACCAACGCCAGGTGGCTTCGGGGCCGAACTTGGAGGCCATGCTAACGAAAAGGTCATGAAATTCCCATATCATATTCTCGTCGCAGAAGTGCCTATAGAGATCATACCAGTCGGTGTTATGGCCGACACGGTCCAAGCTATACGTCAATAATTGAACCTGCGAGATAACTCATTAGGAAATTCAACTGGAACTTTATACAGGTGGGCCGTACATACTTCTGTTGAGTCCAGTCGAGGCCAGTTTCGGTGAATTACTTTGGATGCATCATCCAATACGCCTTGCAGGTCAAGGGGGAAAGTTGTATGGATGTCTGGCCGCAACTTCATGAGTACCCAATTTAAATCGAGGCTATCCATGAGCCTATCTGGGAGCTTCATGGACAATTCCGAGAACTTGGAAATCCGCCCAGCCTCTAGAAGACATTCCGCATATTGAACCATGACATACTTGATTTCCAAGAACTGTCCCAGATCCTGCTCGTATATTTCGATGGCAGCCTTGAAGTGACCAATTCTCCTTAACCTAGCCGCTTCTTCCAAGGCATCTTCAATGTCATAAGCCGTGGGAAGGGAAAGGTGCAAAGTGACATCTTCCGCCTTAGAAGGGTCGATAGACACAGGGGCGGCGTCATGCGTGTTATGACTTTCCTGATGCTGGTCATCAAATCGTTGGCGTGGGCGTGAAAACGAGCCAGATGAGGAGCTGGAGGAGCTACGGTCCCGGCGCCAGCGCCTGTCTTCTCCTTGATAGAACCTAGAACCATAACGAATTTGGGGTGGTGGACTATGGCGTCCTGTTGGAGAGCTCTCCCTTCTCAAGGCAATATATGCGCCGCCGTCTTCAGCAAAGGCATTGTTGGGCTTGGGGCTCATCCTGTCTCTTTTGGCCACACGATGGCGTTTTACAACTGCCTTTGACTCATCCGGGGCCTCCTTCAGGGAGTCAAGAAACTTCGTCCACTGCTTGGATGGGCCAGCATCTTCATTTGTGTTGTTGTCAGGTCTCCACGTCATAGAGGGCGGGCGTGAATGCGATGTCGGTAGATGATTACAGTCAAGAAGAGAAGTTCGTGAGTTGACTTGTCAAGATGGAAGAGAGAGAAGCCACAATAGACATGTCGGCGCAGGCTGACACGAGGGCAGATTTAGGGCTGGCAGTACGAATAAGGCTGGCGGGAGGAAAACGCAGAACAAAGTTCCCAGGGTCTGACCACCTCATCCTCTTCTTGCATGAAGGATGTAACACTCGTTGGTCGTACGGTCTTATATGCATGCAGCGCCACCAAGCACTGCCTCTCATAAGCGGAGGTTCAGGGGTCCCAAAATATTGCCTCATATGATCTGGTTCGCCTCAAAAATGCAACCTGCCTCATTCCTCCGAACCAATCTTTCGCTTTCATTTCATCTCAAGCGCGCGATCGCCAGCTCAAAGCCAACCATTGACGAACCACACCAACAGCCAACTGAAGGCGAGTACGTCGACATCTCGGTCACATTTGAGTGCCCTGCTAACCAGATGTGCAGTTTTACATGCGATCAATCATTTAGACAGTGATTACCAACCAATCACTCCGTTTGCCAATCTTGCCTCGTCACCAGTGGTGCCTCGCCTTGAACCAAGCAGCCAACCATGCCCGTAGGACCACCCATCCAGGTACGATATGGCAGAAATGACTTCGAGAAATTCTGCCAGAAGACAGCCCGAGGATCTAATCTCTCCATCGGGTCGCATTCAATTGGCAAGATTGACATCGACTGCAAGTACCGGTGGAAAAAGTCGCAGTGGGGTGTCCTAGGGAGATCAGACCCGGCGGGCATTATGTACATGGACATCACCTTCCACCAGCCCGCAGGCTACAGCCTGGAGCGAGCCAACGTCTATGTCACGTTGAGCGAGGACCCCGAGTCTTATGCGTTGAGGAAGGACAGTGGAAATAGCCGTGCCAGAAGACGCGAGCAGTCTCTAGACGCCGCCTGCGCTGTGCAGTTTACTGATCATTACGGCCCTCGATACCTCACCGGAGCGAAATCAACACGCACCGAGGCAAAGTCCAACAAGATAATCCCCACTCTCGGCATGATGGGCTTTGAGCTGGGGGGTATCGGGCATGAGACGACGGTATCTCGCGAGTTGACCGATCGGTGGGTGTTCAAGGGTCTCGTCCGGAAGCCCAGGACGGGCCCAGGTTATCGCACATTGGAGTGGGAGCTGAGCGGGAACAGTCTCGACGCTACTCAGGATCATAGGCAAGTGTATCACACTGCCTTTGCTTTTGAACACAGCGAGAGACCCGTGTACATGCGGGTTGAGATTGACGGCAAACTGCGCGACAGAGGCCGCAAGCTCAAGTACAGCATGATCAAGTTCTCGTCCAATCTTACCAAGCAGGATTTGTCCACCTTGACTCGGATAGACCTTACTGGTGTGCCTGGCGCAAAACCGCTTGATCAGATTGCCGAGGGGCTAAACATGGACATGCAGAGGGAGAACTACATGGATTGCCCCGTCGAGCTTCCCTCTCCAAAGACGGCCAATTTCTTCTCTGAAGCTCTTCCCCAGCCCGTTTCTGCTCAACCCGCTCCAGGTCTGCTCGCATCAAATCTAAACACGATGGAGGCTATATTAGATCTGGACGATGATGAGTTATTGAACCTCCAACTCAGCAAGCCAGTTGGGCAAATTGAGGACAGGCCTGACGAGGCTATCACAGAAGACGACAACTGTTCCGACATGACAGAAGCCCAGCAACAGTTATCGGACAGCATGGCCTCAACCCTCGTCAATACAGAGATAAAGGCCAGGCCTGTCTTAACCAACGATGTCGCTGCCGAGCTTCTCACCATTCCCGCTGTTCTAAGTGTTCTCAGGGTGCTAGCCATTGTGTTGCAGTGGTGGAGCTTTTTTTCAATCCGCGCAGAGGCATCATCCCAAAATAGTGCCCCGTTTCAGGCAGTGGAGTGTCGAGACGAGCAGACTAAACTCATGGATGAGGAGGAGGAGGAAGAGGAGTCTGTAAAGGCGAAGAGTCCTCAGAGTCGCAATTCAAATACACGGCAGGGAAGGGTAAGGTGATCTAACAGGATCGTATTACCTGAGAAGGGACGGATCGGAAATGACGACCATGAACAAATTAATGCACTATTAACATACAAGGGGGGAGATAGCGTGATCGGAGAAGGTCTTACAGGTAATTGGAATGCAAGTAGGCCAAAGCATCTTCGGCTAACGTTGCTTGATGAGAACGAGTTGGAGAAGAAGGGAGGTTGGGATGATGGTTTATTTCATTTGGAGCAGAATCGCAAAAGGAAGAGGAAGATCTGGTTGAGACATCGGGCAGACGCTCAATCATGAATTGAGAGATATTTACAACTTCATTCAAAGAATTCGACACTGGCTAGACGAGCAGCTCTGCAACATGGGAGAAGAATGATGGCACGCACAAGTGTAGGGTAGTCGGCGTTACCGCTAAGCTTAAAATTAACCATGTTTTCGTGCACTACACTCGCCGAGCAAAATTTCCCTGAGCAGTCATACCTAGGCACTAAAATGATCAAGAATAAATATTATTTATAGATGTTTTTATTTAACGTATTTTACGAGGAGCCCATAAGAAGGCCAGCTATGATCTGCGCGCTCCCGGACTAAAAACCAGGCCATCTCGCTTGAGAAATTTCATGCGTCTTACCTGGAGATGGCGAGATTCCTTTCGGCTGCCCAATTTCGAACTATACTGCTTTTTGTAATAGTTGACGGACAAAGCCTTCTCACTTGTCCGACACCGATGCTTCCGTGAATGAGACAGGAAACCATCCATATGGCATGTGATGACGGGACGCGTCAATGACTCATGCGTTGAGCTCATCTCGCAGAGCACCCCAATCCTTCCTCTCAGTCTCGTTCGGCCACGGTGAACATCCTCGAATTGCCAGCGCTAGGCGGAGGAAGGACAGCTTGATACTTTACCCCATTTGCCGACGACACCGGTGTATAATTCGGTGGGTTATCCAGGTTTGACCGGTAGGATGGTGGGCGGGAACCCTTGGGCCGTGGAGCCGCGGAAGTTTGTGTGGCAGGCTGCGGGAGAATTTCGTAACCGCCGTCTTCATCTTCTGGGACAAAGTGCACCAGGCGATTGCGGAACCGGAAAACGACGAGGAGCTGCATGGCGTGCCACAAGCTAAGAATAAAGAATTAGTCGTCTTGATTGAGGAAAGGCCAAAGCTGGGCCAGCTCGAACTGGACCTACCAGTAGAATATGGCCAAGATCCATGTGCCATTGACCATGGGACACTGCGTTAGCTCATCACCGTATGAATTGCATTCAGATAACTCTGATGATAGAAGCGGCACGTAGGTTGACGCAAGACCCAAGAGGACACCGAAGACAACAACGCAGAAAATATGCCATGGAATACAGCCCAAGTTGATGACGCGTATCGCTCGGAACAGGTCGTCTTCGTCGTAGTTTAGTCCTCTCAGCCGGTAGACATAAATGAGGGCTGCAAACGACAGATACGACTCGAGAAGTATACTGACGGCGGCCTAGGGACCAAACGGCATTAGCAAACAAGAGAAGGAGGGATTTCGATCACTTGCGACCCAAAGCGATGGGATGCTCTTACCATTGCGATGAATGCCCGTTGTACATGTTGACTAATGGTGGTGAATGTAATCCGAACGGAGAGGTCCTCCCGGTTTCCACCACCAGTGTACGCGAGGCAGCCGATGATCATCAGCGCCATGTGCATACACAAACCAACCCAGTACAAGAAAAAGTACGCCCCGGCCGACTTTGCGGCCGCTGTTTTTGGCGGGGGAGGACCGTCGGAAGCGGACATCTCAACAGATCTTCCTCAACGGCCTTGATGTCATGTCCGAAGCATTCAGAGAAGCCATGCGGGAGTGGCTTGCTCGGGATTTTTATCAGCTCTGCTCTTGGCCCTGGCTTAGCTTGACCGATGATGCATCTGCTCCCGGGCAATCCAGGTACCCCATTTTTTAGCCGTGAGTGCTTGATCTGAGGCAGATTCATTCATCATCGGTCTCAGATGTAGACGAATTGCCCGCCTGGGGACCAATGGATTTACTGGGCCAGAGCACGCGCTCTGGGACGTGCTTCAGCCGGGGCTGAGCATGGCCTTGGCGCCCAGCGCAAAATGCAGCACGACGGCTGGAATTCCGCGCTACGGAAGTTCATATTGAGCAGCTGCTGGGGGCTGGGAGTGGGTTGGATTGGATTGCGGTGAACTTTCAGATGATCAGGTCACGCGAGCGGAGTTGGCATGGTACAGGGTAGGCTAACATTCGCGGTCGGTGGTCGGGTTTGATGAAAGCCGACCAAACCAGCGCCCCACCCAAAAAGTTTTGAGGTTGGAAAGTCGATTTGCAGCCAAACATTTATTTCTTTGCGATCGCCATCAACCACTCCCACCAGCTCGTCCGAATGGCCACCCGCGTTTCCAATTCGGGGCGACCGCCCAAGTCCAAGGGCCAGAAGCATGGAAAGCAAGAAATCCGTCAACAGAAGCGCAAGAGAGAGCAGGAAGACTTGCAGAGCCTCGAGGGTCGCATCTCGGACCTGGTAAGGAATTTCCTCTTGACACCCATCCCAGCATTGTCTCCCTCACCGTGCAGCATGCTAACGTCTGCAATGAATCGTATAGGATCTCAAGAGCAGCGAAATCAAGCTCTTCTCTGATCTCCCCTTCTCGCAGCCGACCACCTCTGGCCTGAAGGCATCGCATTTCACCACCCTTACCGACATCCAAGCGAGCGCCATTCCTCTGGCCCTCAAGAACAATGATATCCTCGGCGCAGCAAAGACAGGCAGCGGAAAGACTTTGGCGTTTATTTTACCTGTGCTGGAAAAGCTCTATCGGGAGCAGTGGACCGAATTCGACGGACTTGGCGCCCTCATCATCTCCCCGACCCGTGAGTTGGCTGTTCAGATCTTCGAGGTTTTGCGCAAGGTCGGTCGATATCATGCTTTCTCCGCGGGACTGGTCATTGGAGGCAAGAGCTTGAAGGAGGAGGCCGAGCGACTTACGAGGATGAACATCCTGGTCTGCACGCCCGGGCGAATGCTGCAGCATCTCGACCAGACCGCTGGCTTCGACGCCGACAATCTGCAGATCCTTGTTCTAGACGAGGCCGACCGTATCATGGACATGGGTTTCCAAAGGGATGTCGATGCCCTGGTTGAGCATCTGCCCAAGTCCCGGCAAACACTAATGTTCAGCGCCACCCAAAGCAAGAAGGTTTCTGACCTTGCACGTCTCAGCCTCAAGGATCCCGAATACGTATCCGTCCACGAGTCCGCCGCTTCCTCCACGCCTTCCAATCTCCAGCAACACTACATCGTCACCCCTCTCCACGAGAAAATCGATACCCTGTACGGCTTCATCAAAGCGAATCTCAAGAGCAAAATCGTCGTGTTCCTAAGCTCGGGGAAGCAGGTGCGCTTCGTCTACGAGAGCTTCAGACATCTCCAACCCGGTATCCCTCTCCTCCACCTCCATGGACGGCAGAAGCAGCTAGCACGACTTGAGATCACGTCAAGATTCACATCAGCAAAGCACTCGTGCCTGTTCGCCACCGATGTCGTCGCGCGAGGTATCGATTTCCCTGCCGTCGATTGGGTCATCCAGGTCGACTGCCCCGAAGACTCAGACACCTATATCCACCGTGTAGGACGAACAGCGCGCTACCAAAGCAACGGGCGGGCCGTCTTGTTCCTCGACCCCAGCGAGGAGGCCGGCATGCTGCAGAGGCTGGAGCAGAAGAAGATCCCAATCCAGAAGGTGAACGTCAAGGAGAAGAAGAAACAGAGCATACAAAACAGCCTGCAGAACATGTGCTTCCAAAATCCAGACCTGAAGTACCTGGGACAAAAGGCCTTCATGAGTTACGCCCGCGCCGTCCACCTACAAAGGGACAAGGAGATCTTCAACCTCGACAAGCTTGACCTCGACGCCTACGCCGCGGGGATGGGTCTGCCCGGTACGCCGCAGATCAAGTTCCAGAAGGGCGAGGACATCAAGCGGATCAAGAACGCCCCCCGCGCCGGCATGTCGAGCGACTCAGAGTCCGACATGGACTTGGACGGGCCCAAGGAGAAGCCAAAGAAGAAGAAGAAGGACGAGGTGCGGACCAAGTACGACAAGATGTTTGAGCGGACCAACCAGGACGTCTTCTCCAGCCACTACAGCAAGATCGTGGACGACCAGGACAACGACGACTCCGACGACGACTTCCTCGCCGTCAAGCGCCGGCTGAACGACGACGACCTGGACGCGGAGTCGAGAAAGGCGCCCGGGACGGTGATCAAGGCCCTCGACCTCGGCGGCGGCGAGTCCTACGTGGTCGACTCGAAGCGCCGCGAGAAGGCCCTCAAGTCCAAGAAGAAGATGCTCAAGTTCAGGGGCAACGCGTCCAAGCTCGTCTACGACGACGACGGCAACGCGCACGAGATCTACGAGCTCCAGGACGAGGACGACTTCAAGCAGGAGGGGACGGCCGAGGAGCTCAGGCAGAGGTTCCTCGAGGACGAGACCGCCCGGGTCAGGGAGGCCGACGTCGACGACAAGGCGCTCGCGAAGCAGAAGAAGCGCGAGAAGAGGGAGAAGAGGAAGGCGGCGGAGCGGGCCGAGTTCGGCGCCCTGGACTCGGGCGACGAGGCCCCGCAGCTCATCGGGGGCGGCGACGACGAGGATCCGCTGGCTTTGCTGCGGTCGCTGCCCATCGCTGGGGAGGACGGCAGCGGGGACGAGTCTGGCGACGAGCCGCCGAGGAAGAAGGCCAAGAAGTGGTTCCAGCAGGACTCGGACGTCGAGTCGGACGCGGGCAAGAAGAGCGCCAAGGCCAAGAAGAAGAGCAAGGGCAAGGGCAAGGTGTTCGAGGTGCAGGAGGAGCCCGAGACGCTGGAGGATTTGGAAGCACTCGCTACGGGATTGCTGGATGGATGATGGCGCTCTCTATGATAGATACCCACCTGTATATAGATTCTTATCATGGCCCGTTCTCGTTGAGTTTTCGGAAGAGGAGAAAAAAGTTCAATGTTCAGTTAATCGTCAAAACAACTATTTACGAGTGTATGTACTTGGACTGCCTTATTTAACCAAAAAAGTACCCCATTCCTTTGCGTTTCATAGGACTGCCGTAATGAAAAAAACGCCAGTGCTTGCTTCTGTTCGTCATATCACAAAAAATGTGGCAACGCCAAATCAAACCACGTACACTTGCTCTCCAGAAATCTTAAAAAAGGAAGACAAAGAACTGACATTTAAATAACAGGGGAGGAGATTCCTACAAGTCAGTTCACGGGTCTAGTCATCCACCTGTTTGCCGAACAGCCTCAGTCGATAGAAACATGTGTGGTTCGGGGCGCCGTAGTTGCTGATGGCCCTGACAGCCACTTGGTCAGTGGCAGCTCCCAAGTGGACCAGCTCCTCACTAAGGCGGTAGAGTTGCGTCCCGTCATGCAGTTCAGCTCCTTCATATACGAATCGGCCGACCTTTACGAAGCTTGCCGGCAGGTTAGCCTGGTGGCTGTTCCAGTCTGTCGGCTCGGGGAAATGTGTAGCCGAGAAGTCGCGTACGCGCTCTCGGATGGTGGAATCCTCGATATCGGCGTAGATTTCAATTTCGCGAGGACGAGCGCCTGGTTCGGTCGTGGCTCCTGGCAGAATGTGGTCGATGACGAGGTGCTGGGGAATGACTCGACGTGCAAGCTGAATTGCCAACGTCACACCGTGGGGATTACCTCGGTGGTTGACATCACGGGCAGCACACCAGCAGTCGCCTTCCTCAAACCAAGTGTCCAGGGCGGCAACGTGTGGATATGCTAGAGGGCCTCTAACACCTCTGGAATAATCTCTTGTGACGCCCCGACCCATGGGGTCCCATGTCTTTGATGATAGGCCCTTGTTGATGGTAGCCCCGGCACCCTGAGCGAAGTGATTAACCTCGTTTTTCAGCTCTACTTCAAAATGGGCGTGGATCTTTCCGTTAGCCAAAGCCTCGAGGCTCGCTTCCGAGAGGGCCTTGCGAAGAAGGCCATGAACAAGGCTGGCAATCTCTTCACGGGTCATAGTATTGGGGGCAGGCTTAACATCATTCGCAGCAGCCACAGTATCCTTGATGAGCTGCTCAAGTCGTGGTCTGACGTCGTCCAACTCGGATCGAATCTCAGATCGATGCTTTGCGAACTCGTTCTTCAAATGGCGGAGAAATTCTTCCCTCGACACAACAACTCCTTCTTGGGCCGGCTGTCTGCTCCCAACATGCTCCTGGACCACCTGCAGGATGCGAGCGTCCAAGTCTATGTCAGGAGGAGGGGTTGGAAGATTCTTAAGAAGCGGATCTACCAGCCTCAGCACTCTTTTGTCGTTTTCTTTGATCCAGCCATCCCACTGGTTGGTCATTTTCTTGTCGATGGCATCTTCCACGCCCTTTAGGCTGAGGTTGAGTTTAGACTGGAAGACAGGGTCCGTTGTCAATTTGGCCGCAATGGCCCGCCACCTCCGATCCGATTTGATATGGGGAGCACCATTAGTGTCCTTATCAATGGTCAACACATTCTCATCACCCCGAACAAGATCTCGCATCGCATGCCAAAATGCTTCAGAGACTACGGGCTTTCCGTCCCTCAGCTCCATATGTACAACGGAGGGCACGATGTTTTGCAGCTTTTTGATGGCATCGCTATGAAGAAGTCCAGTTTTCTTCACAGAGTCAAATTCTTTCTGGTATTGCCTCAGGTAATCCTCAACTTCGTGGAGGCCCTCGCCCAGGTCCCAAAAGCCTGATTTGTCTTTCCCCCAGGATGGCAGCGGTATCGAACGGATGTACCCGCCAATGGATTCAAGGCTCTCTCCCACCTTCCATAACGCGGGCGGCGTTAATAAGCCGTCCCCACGTCCCAATATTGCAGCCCAAGGAACAAACATAGCGAAGAACACCGGCGCCAAGACTAGGAAGACAAGCGACGCTCCGCTGGAGTTTGAAGGGGCCGATAGGCGGGTGATAGACCGCTTAATAGTAGAAAGAATCACAGCCATTGCATCAAGGATAGAGTCGAGAAGCGTGAAAATGGGCCGAAGATATGGCTCGGGGTTCAGAATACGCCCCCAATCGATCCCTACTTCGCCAGGTAATATGAAGTCGCGTGGAGCTTCGGGCTCTTCTTCTTGCTCCTCCTCGTCAGTTTGGCTATCCTCCGCTGGGGCGCGGCGAGCACTTGCGCTGAAAGGCGAAAATTGTTGCACTTTCATCCATCGATCTCTCCAGGGGCTCGATGCAGCAGCACTCTGAGACCTTGCCTCGCTTGCTTCAATCTCCTGCTGGATTGCATCATCCTGCTCACTGTGATGGGATGCAAACTGTTTCTCTCGTGCGTGGCCGTTCGCAAACGTGACTCGAGGTTCTCGGAGACCAAGCAATGCTTTGCCCTTCGTGATAATGCCTTTGTGCTGAGTCTTCTCCTCCTGGGGCAGTGAGGTGACCTCTGCACCAAATTTCGATTTCCGCGGACTTCTCCTCAATGACCCGGTGGCCGACGCTTGAGGCTTCGGCTTTTCGCCTGTGCTGAGTGCTTTCGATATACGGTTACGGGTAAGCGGCTCCCTGGCGGGCTGTACCTCTGATTCTTCTGATGAACTTGGTCGTGGTGCGCCCTGTAGGCGCCCAGACAAGAGTGACTGCGATTGCTTGCTGACTGGTTTTGAAAAGTTCCCAATAGGAGGCAAATTCCCGGGCGACGAGACTATCGTCGCATCAACGAAATAATCGCTTTCTGTCCCAAAGCTGCGCAAGTCATCCGCCGGATCTGCAGACTGCGTCTTCTGCTCTAGAGCACTTGTGATGCCCTTGCGCTGCGGAGGAGCTGTGTCTTCTGAGTGTAAATAAGAGCGAGAACTTTTAGGTGCTGCACGGCGTTGTTTGTCTACAATTTTGTCAGCCCACGAGTGCGTAAGCACTTGCAGAGATGGTTCATACCTTGTTCCTTTGGTTCCGCTGCCGGCTGCACATGATCGGCTGCCAGCTCGTCCGTCTGGTCCCCGTCATCCACAGCAAGTTTTGGCGGAGGAGGAGGAGGCATGCGAGCCCTGGCAGAACGCTGGTCCTCCTCATGTTGACGGTTTAAAACACCCTTTACGGCGTTGCTAAGATCAACAACAGGCTGATCATGGCGATAGCGAGGACTAGCCACAGGCTCGGCGTCTGAACCATACGTGTACTGCCGCCTAGAACTAGGCGTCCCCCTCAATTTTGGTAGGTTGGGCTTCCCCAGGGCCGGAATTGCAGTCTCCTCGTCATCAGTGCTGAAATCTGCTCCGCTGAAGGCCTTCGTGGCCCGTCTTCGAGGCATCCTGTCGATGAGTAGCAAATAAATTGAAGGCGAATTGAACAGTTGCGTTTTGTGCTTGAGAAGATTGGCTGCAAAAGAAATGGCGGGGGGCTGTAGGTCCTCTTTTCAACTCAGACAAAGGAAGCGATGTTTGTGAGCTTGAGCTGGAAGCCGACCGCACGGGCTCGAATGAAGCCAGAGCTCGGTATTGTTGTTATGCGACACAATTATCGACTAAAACGTAAGAAAGGAAACTCCGCCCTTGCGCCCAAAGGTCATAAGGCAGCTAAGGTCCCGATCACAACAAAAGATGCTAGCCGGTGCCCTGGTGGCGTAAGGCTAGCATGGCAGGCTGATGCTATAAAGACAGTCGCTGTTGATCCATGCGAGGCGGGGTGGGTTGCAATGGTCGCGAAAGAACAAGATGCTTTGCGAAACAAAGCGGCGATAGGCGGTAATGAATTTTCGCCGTGGCTGGTTTGGCTGCTGGGGATATTTTTGGGTGGCTGGTGTTGATCGTCAATTGCGCTTTGGACTAGTTCCTACGCGACGATGCGGCCTGCAGGGGTGAAGCGCTTCGACCAGGCGCTCTTGCACGTGCTGTATCACGTGAGCTGTTTTGTTTCCTTTGTGCCTGATGGTCGTCCTCGGAGCAGGCCCAGTTACCTGGATGATAATTATTTGGTAGGCAGTCAGCCAAACGGAAAAAATGTTCGAAGTTCCCTATTTAGCGGAATCTTATCATTGGTTGTGCCCAACGGTTTTTTTCTAGTGGTCCAAAATTTTCTCCGTTTTGCTGAGCGCCGTTTGGTAATTGGGTTTCACACCGCATTCTTGGTCGCGAGGATCTACATCATATGCAACCCTGCCATACTACCCCTCCGGAATCACAAAAATCAATCAATCAAGACTTGGCTTTTGGCGCAAATCTGGAGACACCACCAGAGTAACATCAAAAATTTTGCTGCACTTGGTCATACCAATTACACGTTGGTGCAGCAGGGAGCATGCTGCGTTGACCTGGAGAACATCAGGAGAAAGATACTTGGCAGTACCTACCCCAATCCTACCTTAATCCCTGGAGGCGGGAGGATGGTGCCAGAGCACGTTTATCGGCGCAACCAAACGGGAAGAACGTATTAGATTGCCAAATTTCCGTCAAATTAAACTGGATTGTTTACTCGTCAAGATGGTCTGCCATTGCCCGTCCAACTAATATGCCTCACCTCCTGGCGTCGAGCTATCGAGCAATAGAAGCCACATCATTAAATTGGCCCGGCCAACAGGGGCTACACGGCACGCAGCGACCAGACCTGCTAGGCCGTCTCGTACCCGGCTGAGGTGATACGCACCGTCTCCCACAGGTACCGCTTTAGTATCGGCGGTACCAAGGGTGGTGGGTTGGTGGTGAGGGGCAGCCCACTTCAATTTTGCCCCGCCATCCCTAAACGCAGAAGAATCTCGCGCTATCAACCACCTGGTCCCCATCCAACCTCGTACTCCCTTTACGATCTCTTCTAGCTTTCCTTCCCGTACGGATTCAACCTGCATCTTCGCAAGCTTCTTCCACACAGAAATCCCGAGCGAAAGCCGCATCATAACACACAATGGCTATTG